CTTTAGCGGAAGCATGCGGAAGCATCATTATGCTTTCCTTAGCAAGGGCTTAGAAACGCAGTGTCGCCGGAGCTCATGTTAGTTTTCCCTGTGACACGTGTTATCTCCCGAGGTTCATGATCCTTTACTGCTGGCCACAGACTTCCACTTGGCTGGGGCGTTTTTGGCCAGAAGGTTGCTTCTAAGCGTCCCTGTGCCGATCGCCAGCCCCGGTGCCCAGTTGCAGCCGTCGCACGAGATTTGTGAGGTACGTCAACATACAGGATGCTTTCAAGTTGCCAATATGATTTATCCAATATGGGCCTGCGATCGATTTCACCGTGGATTCCGCACGCTGACCAATATTCGAAGTAACCTAGGTTTTCTATCCAAAATGTCAGCCGCCGGAATGCAACATGCATCTGAATTTAGCATCTCAACCAGCAATACAGACATGTTTCGGAAAGGCCATGAGCTGCTCACTCCACGCAGGCAGAAGCCGAAACTTACGGAGAGGTCTTCTTCGAAAAGCCGAATCCAGCTAGCGTGCCTCGATCTGATCTCCAGCATGTTTGAGCTTGGCGAGTGGTCCATATGATGACACAGATGTCGAACTTTTAAGTTTTAGACGGAATCACACATAGCAAGAGAAGCCGCCGCGCGTGAAACGCAGGCAACAAATATATGCAGAGAGCGCTTGCCAAGTGTGGGAAGTACCATCTGCGGGAAGTTGTGCGGGGAAGCTTCGCGACACTCGATATGCAATGGCCAAGACGCCTGAAAGAATGACCTGCAGGCCATAATTTCGCAATGTCAAACAGAGTGCTTTGCTGTTACTCTTGGCCGATTTCGGGAGACGGCCCAAAATATAAGCTACATTTGGGGCTCATTTCAAACCCCAGGCTTCTGTTTTAATTACCGCCGGGGAGAGTGCAAAGTTGGCAAGAGCTACGCGTGCGCAAGGAGCGTGCAAGTGCGGCCCAACGGATGCGCAACGGTTTCATGCTAGCTTCATGAAGACGACACAATTTAACCATCAACAACTAACACGAGCAAACCCGCCCAAGCAACGCGCAAGCCGCGCACAAGCTGCGCGCCAGCCCCAGCAAAGCATCTACCCTTTGCTGCCTGGATGTCCTTAGCGAGGCCTGAATACCCTTCGCATGCCTGTGGCACAAACCACACGAACATTTCGCAAACCGAGGTCACCAAAAACTAGTTTATGCGTTACTGCGCGCAAGTCAAGGGCCCAATCCCAGGCCAAAGAATTTAGGAAAATCTTGCGGTAATGCCCTGGGCTATCATCCCGACGAGGCCCAATAGGTGCCCAGTAGGAGCCAATGGTCAATGGTGCCCAAGGCCCAACAGGGCCCAGCAAGGCCACATCGGGCCCAACAGCTCCTTGCTGCAATCAATGGTGCAGGACAGATGTTCTCCCTTCGGCACTCCATTCTCGCTCATTTTAAGTGATCGATCCGTTTTGTGAGCACATGTGGATTGAACATGCTTTGGACCGCCCGTGCAAGTGTATAGACCCCATTCAATCCGTACAAGTCAATGTATCACAAGGCGCGACATTCCTTGGGCGATCGCAGGGAATGTGGCGCCAATGCCCATTGGCGTAGCGCTCGGATCCGTGATTTTAGTCCGTTGAATTGCGCGCGTTTGGCTTGCAAAGCAAACCACTCCGCACCTCGCGCAAGCCCCGGCACTGGCAGACATCACCAGTCTTTGCCAGCTGGCAGCATTTATTTGTGCCACTTCCGTATACTTCCGTCACTTGCAGGAGCCAGTCCAGAGTACCTGATGCTATGGCTTGCGGCGTGTTTCCGCTCTTTGGTTTGTAAGGTGTGTGCTTCAACTTCGTGATTTTGCCGTTTCTCTCAACATACGACCGCCATTGGCTTGTGGCTCGGAGCGTGTCTGGTCCAACTCAAAGCCTGGGAAACGATCGCGCGTGTCTGGCTATGCGCAGACCACGATGTTCTCGAGTCTTGTGAGTCGACCTGTCTGGGTTCTGTCGATGCGTTTCGATGTGAGGACAGCCTCTTTGAGCTGCCATCTTTTGAAGCGGGTCCGGCCGGTCTGCAAACATTCCTTGCGTCTTGCAAGACTGTTCGTTCAGGCGACTCAGGTATTGGGCTGCGATGTTCTGGGAGTGCGGTCTCGCCAGCTTGGGTTGAAACTTCACCTTCCAGCAGCCTTTTTTGCTAGGCTTGCCAGGCTGAGCTTGCCCAGGGACTGTTGGGGCGGACACCTCGTGATGCCACCTGTCCTGGCTTGTGTTGGGACGGCAGCCAGAAGGTTCAAAAGCAGGCGGCCCAAGCAAGTGCGCCCAACGTCGGCGCCAGCCCGGCGATTCGTTCGCAACATCGAAGGACTAGTGGCCGCAATCATGGCACCTTCACTCGGTTCTGTCTCCCTTGCGGAAGGGAAATATGTTTGACAGGGCTTTGGAGAGCACAGTACCCAACCACATAAGCGCGCACCACTCGGGCTCATTCCACAACTTCCGCAGAGGACTCCACATGCCGCTAGACGGTGATTGTCGCTTCTGCACTGGGTGAAAGATGTTCCAGTGACTTCAGTGGCTTGCCATGCAGCTGTTCATGCTGCCATGTGGGATCGATGCCCAAACGAAGGAAGTTGTGGTCACAGCGGCCGTGTAGGGCTGCTGTTTGAAATGCGCCTTTGTTGACCCTACCCCCAGCATGGCCAAGATTCTGGCGATGGCAGTGCCAAACCCCAGGAAGTCCAGGTTTTGCAGGATGCCCAAGGCTGGCCTGGATTCAGATCCAACTGCCTGTTCCCTCCAGCCGTGCGCCGGGCTACGGTTTGAATCTATGTTGAATTGCTTGGGAGATCTGCAGCTGTGTGCCGGCGAAAGCTTTCGTGGGCGCCCAGAGCTGGCGGCTTCAAACGTCAGCGGACCGGAGAGGTTACGACGGAATGCGTAGGGCCAGCGTAACCCAAGGATTGGCAAAACGCCAGGCCCACATTTGGAACGAAACGGTTCGGACCGCAAGTGGTTTCACTTGTTGTGTGATGGTCTCGTTCCCCTTGCGCCCTTGATTCTTTCCTGGGCAAGTGATGATGATGCATGTTTTCACCGAAGCCGGCGTGAAAATGAGGCGATTGCATCCGAGCAACGTAGCACGAAAGTGTGCTTTGGGAAAGCCTAAGTTGTAAGCAGCGGTGTTGATCTATCAATGTTGTTGCGTTCCCATCAGCATGTTTGAAAGGAAGCGGCCTACCAACACCACTTCCAACAAGTGGCTCTTCGTTCCACAGGTTGGCCCATGTCAGTGACTTTGTTGATATTTGGCTCGTATTGGTGTTTGCCTTGCCAAAAGAATGGCCCTTGATTTGAAGAAAGCCACTCCAAGCCCATGTTTGGCATCTTGCGATATGGAGTAACGGACCATGAGAAGAGGTTGCCATTGCACATGAACCAGTAGTGCATTTGAGCATATGCCTTGTGCAGAGAGGAACGGAATTGCTGCAGGGGCCCTCGTGCCAATTGGTTCCTTCCGATCTTGGGCTCGTGGGGGCATTCACCACCTTTCATAGCAGGTGAGCTAGCTGCACAGCTCACGCCAAGAGGCCTAGCTGATCAAGCCAAATCACGCATTGCAAATGTTTCACATGCCTCGCGTGTTTCATGCCAGTTTGGGCAAGGTTCTTTGCACAGAAGAGAAACGTGCGAGTGCTCAGCAACTTGCTTGTGCAACCCGTGCAGCCAGCAACACGCAAGCTGAGCAATGTTTGTGCTCCGCTCCAACACAGGCTGGGTATGTCGGAGTGCTTGTTCGGTTCTGCTCCTGTCAGGCTCATCGATGTTGTTTGCGAGCGGATTGCCGTATGCAGTTGGATCCTCGTAGCTGGCAGTTGGCGTCCCGGGGCGGAGTGGCAATTCAATCGCGGTCCCTAGTCTTGCAGCAGTATGTCAACGCAACTCGGAGGCCGCTTGAAAGGCAGTTTTGAAAGCGCTGCGTCCCCGGGCAAGGCTTACCTCCAAAGCACATGCCTCTATGGATCTATGACGTACTTTCCACTATCCAGTGGCACACTTAAGTTCTCAAGCTTTAACGCGTAACTTGAGTCCCGGCTGCAGCGTGACGTCCTGAGCCTGGTCTTCCGAGGCACGCGCAGGCAATGCGTCGCACCATTGGCAGCTGCGGCATTTCTTGACAGGCTGGCCTAGTGCTGTTCGGAGCTCTTTACTTTGCAGAGGTATCCTAAGAGAGGCGACAACCTGACACAATGGAGGAAAGCCGTCCTTGAACCCGCAAGGCAGCTTCCATCAGAACCTGTCTTGGCCTTCCCGGCAGGACGCGACAGGTTGGCGAAAATGGAGGCGGACCTGTGGTTTGCGCCGAACGGCAGCAGATGCGTATTGGCCTCCAAAGGTGCCCAGACAGATCCAGTGAAAATGCGCTCAGAGTATGACCTTGGCCAACATCGTCACGCGGTTTGCGCGTGGGCGTCCGAAGCTCTTTGCGTGCCCAATCTGGATGGCACTCATTGCCGCGAACTGGTAGCCATGCTGTGACTCAGGCGGCTAGCGAAGCCTGACTTGGTGTTTCCAACTCTCCATGACTAAAGCTCCAGCCTCCCCACTGGAGCGACTGCTGTGGCTCACTCCAAAGCTTTGGTTCACTCCATTGCTTTCGCTCCCTTCGGGCCCCGGTGGAAATGCTGGCCAAGCTACGGCGGCCCCAGCAAAGCTGACCAGCAAATGGGCACTGCGCCATGCTTGGTATTCGACACCCCGGACAGCGCAAGATGTGCAGACACCAACTGCTGGGTTGGTGGGGGGGCGTGTCTGAGCTGCGTGCTTTGCATTGCACTGGCCTTGCCTGGTTTGTGCGCTGAACTATGTTGTGTTGGCGATTCCAGACTCTGAGTGCCGTTCCCGTTCCAGTGTGGGATCAGAGTGCTGGACGTGCTTTCAGGGCTCTCGAAATTGACTGCACCGGTTGAGGGGCCGCGAATGTTTTTGCGGTTGCCATGCTTGGCACATGCGCCGCGCAAGCAGCAAGCAGAGGAACGTCTTTGAGCCCAAGGCGAGGCAGTGTGCCAGCCTGTGCGCCTTGCGGTTTGCACTTGAAGCAGGCAGCGTGCAACCAGGCACGAATGATGCCAACAAAAATCGGCTGTCGTCGAATTGCTTCGCTGCAAGCTGTCATTTTCGGAACGGGGTCGAGCTTGCAATTCACATGTTGCCATGGCTGCGCACGAGTTTCCTCTTGATTTGTCCTGGAACTGCGTTTGTCAGCCTGATGCTCCCGTGCACGCCTGAGGGAGCAAATGCCCTCTCAATGGCAACCATTTCAACCATTTGCTTTGTGAGGCTTTCATTTTGAGACCATTTGAACTAAAGCTAACCAGCATGTCAAACCAGCAAAGCACCGCCTGAATATGCCAAGCAAGTCAGATTCGGGTGTGTCAGAACAGTTCCTTCCAGTGTCATTTCAAAGCGTTCTTTGCAGCTACATGTGCAATCGTTCGACTTTTGGCGGGCCAAAGAAAGCCCTTTCGCGACTGCACAAGCTTCCCTCGAAAGCTTACGATTCGATTTGCATCACGCGCGTCGCATGTGAACATTTCCGGGCTCGCGTCCGACCAGCAAGAAGCGTGCTAAGCAGCGAGTCTCTGTTGCAATCGTTGTTTGAGCACGTTCTAAGGTAGCTGCACCGGCAGTCTGTCCAGCTCGGCCATGCGCCCGGCAGCTCAAGCTTCACGAGAAGGGCCGTGGCCAGCCTGTCGCCAGAGGAAATGCGACTTGGGTTTCTGGTTGGTCACCATCACCTGCAAGAAGCTCCGGAGGCTCCAACGCACTTTGTGCCTTGGACGCTTTTCTTTGCGCGCAGGACACTTTGAAATTTGCCACTTTGCTTTGCGGTTAGGGCGTTTAAGGCGTTCTGTTCTGCGCGCACATGAGTGCGCGCGCTCTTGCGCTGCTAAGGGAGGCAGAGGCTCAAGTTCCCAAGATGGACACAAACGCGCGCGCTGTCACAGCCAGGGCCAGAGTTGCTGGATGGCATCCTTTGCCCTCTAGTTTGACCAGATGCGCAACACGTCTTGGAGAAAAGACGCCTTTCCACAAACAGAACAAGCGTCTCAAGAGCAGGTGTTTTTTTCTTTCGCTGGAAGATATGTTGAACAGAGCTCTTTGAGCCAAGATGCAAGCATTTGCACTGGGCCAAGCCGTCTGAAAGACCAAATCCTAGACAGGAATTTGGTCCCAGGCCATTCTTCTAAAGGGGGCTGTTTCCGTGAGCCTCGTCATCTAGATCGAACTCTTGCCATTCTATACTCGTTTAGTTGGCTCAGATGCCCAGTGTCCATGGGGAAAAAGAGCACCCTTTTTTTGTGTGGTTGAGTTTAAAGGGAACCCTTCCCAGAAAAAGGAAAAAAGGACGCCACTGGGCAACTGGGTTGGTGTCGAAGGCTAGGGGGCTGCTTTTGACCAGCCCCCCGTCGCTCGCTTCGCTCGTCTCGGCCTGGCCACCATCTGGGAGAATTGTACCCCGACAAATGAGGTCGCAAAAGGATGGAAGGCCGCCGATTGCGTGAATGAGAGGCACCTTTGTTTCGAACGACCCCCAAGCAATGGTATAGTCAACCATAGTCAACCTAGAGGTGCTTCAGAATCACCCGTTTTGGAAATCAAGTTTGCTGATGGCAAAAGCACGACTTGCAGCCTTTGGTTGTTGACGGCCAACAACGTACCAATGGCGATGCAAGCGGAAGAGCGCTTTCAATTCTCCCGAAAGCTGGCCTGAAAGAGGCTTTGCTTGTACCTGAAACCCGTGTGACGGTGCCCTTTGCCCAATGGGACCACGGGGTCGGCACGGCAGGGGTCCCACGGATACATTTAACCTATGTGTGGACAGCGGCAGGGGGGTCGATTCCCGCCCGGTCCAGGTGGGGGGGTTCTCAAATGCATGCACAGCATGTCCGTGAATAGCCTGCGCAAGGAATCACATTCGCGCAAGATCTTTAATTGGGCACATTCACTGTGCGGCAGACATATTCCAGCACGGTGATAGAGCCCAAAGATGCGCAAAGCATGATGGGGTTGGGCAGGGCGGCGCACCCACAATTTTCACAAATACCAGGAGGTCCCCAATTTTCCAATGTCCTCTTGGGGAAAGATGCAATCTTGCACAAGGCTCATGTTTGTTTGCCACAACAGCTTCAGAAAACCTTTGCTCCAGTCGATGCTCGTCTTGCTTGACAGTGCGGCGAGAGTGCACGCTTTACGCTGAGTGAGTTGCCCTGCTGTGCAACTGCTGGGAGAAGGTTGCTGGAGTGTTTCAATTAGAAAGCAACTCGTGAATGCCCGTGCTAGAGTGGCCAAGGGATTTGCCACAGGCTCTCCCAGCTTGAACCCAAAGGAGTTTGGGCAAAATGAGGTAGATTCCAGGTAGATGTGACAACTAAGCTGACAAGGTTCACAGGGCGGGTTTGCGCCCTGATCCTGCCTAACCGTCAGCGCTTTTGACCCAAGGCGATGCGCAACCCACAGCTTGCCCAGCATCCCTTTCAAGTGACACGCCCGCAACGGCATCTTGGCTTTTCGAGGGCAAGACATTTCAACATTTTAAGTCGCAGGAGTTGTGTTAGCTGTGTTTGTTTGAAGAGCTGCCGTGAAGGGCTTGGGCAATTCGAGCGTGTTTATGTTGTCAGGTCTGGAAAATGGGTTTCGACCCCACCAGTAGCTTCGCTACTGCGAACGGTGCGTTCTCGTGCTGAGCCAGATTAGGCCTGATCTTCTCTTCAGTTCAGACTTGTGCGCAAAAGATCGCAAAAGCAACATCCTACCTGTCCGCCTCGGTTCGTTGGGGCGATGGTGCAGAGTTTAATGCCTTACCCTGCTCGATTGGGTGCATTCTGAGGTGCTCGGCTGCCTGCAAAAAGCGGGCAAGCTGCGGATGTTTGCAACTCGCCATGCTTTGCACCCCTAGCGACACTGCCTTTGTTTGCGCGAACGGTGCATGAGCCAGGCACAAGCTGTGCCGTGTCAGATTTGTTCGGCACAGTGCATATCTCTGGCTCCGCTGTCAGCGCTGCACCCTTGCCAAGCTGTTGCGACTTTTTGCCTGGCTTGTCAATGCCGCTTCTCCAGCAAACGGATGTGAGACTCCCAGCAAACTACTCGCAATGAGCGTTAAATAGGCGTTGACTGCCAGCTACTCTCTGCGAAAGTGTTGGGCGACCTGAAACGGAAGTGCTTGATTTGAGCTGCACGAAACACAAAACCGACTGCTGCCGCATTTTGCCGCCCGCGCCTTGGTCTTGATTGATGCTGCGCAGCGAGGAAAACAGCGGCACGCCATTCACGGAGAGATTTGTTTTTTGATGATTGTCGGGTGTGCGTGCGTGTGTGTAGGCATGTTGGCGAAGCTGACAGTGAGACATTGGCCTTTGAAGCTGGGGGATTTGGGATGCTCCGGTCATGCTTACGTAGCCCTGTCCTGGTTGGCTTGGCTCGAGCTGTGCGTTCGGCAAATCCTGTTCGAGGATAACACGTTCCGAGAAATTGCGAATCATAGGCGCCTCACAGCCTTCAACGTCCTTGGCTCAGAAGCTCAGTTTTCGGATGTGGAATCTGGATGCATCATTTAAGGCTTCGGGTAAACACTTACACACCAGACATCCTTTCAGAGACTGGAATTTGTGCTAGACCTGGAGTCTTTGTCAGGTTAGCTTGATGGGGTGAGTGAAGAGGGGCCGGGTGTCCCAGTTGACCGAGCGGTGCGTTTGGCTGATTCGTTCAAACGCATTCCTCAATCCTTGTCTTGGAACGGTTATTGAACGGGAACCGATTGCCCGCAGGAAATGCAAAAACACCCTGCTTGACAGGAGGATCACAGGCAGTGGACCAAATCCTGTCAATCATCCCTAGGAAACCTCTGCAAAGGGGCCCCGTTTGGTAACTAAGGGGCCTTTTTAAGAATCTGTGTTCTTTCTCCGCACTGCTTTTTCCCCAACAGCTAAAAGTTTGGGGTCTCAGCCCAGATAAGCTCCAAGGTGGTCTGGGGCGGCCCTGAGGTAAGGTTCCACAAAGGTTCCACCAAGGGTTCCACGAGATTCTGCGAGAGCTGCGGGGTGGTCCGGGGCAGGCCCTGTGAGGTAAGCTTACACAGGTTGAACAAGGGTCCACAAGGGTTCCACAAGGGTGCCCTGCAGGGTTCCAGAGAGTTCCACAAGGGTTCCACAAGTGTTCCACAAGCGTCCCACAAGGGTTCCAGGTTTACCAGGGTTCCATCGAGGTTCACAAGGGTTCTGCGAGGTAAGAGCTAAAGCGACAAAGCAAACCCTGCGAGCATGCGTGCGTACGTGCGTGTGTGCGTGCGTGGGTGGGTGGATGGGTGGGTGTGGGTGGGTGTGTCTGTGGGTGGGTGTGTCTGTGTGTGGGTGTGTCTGTGTGTGTGCGTGTGCGTGCGCGTGCGCGTGTGCGTGGGCGCGTGCGCGTGCGTGCGTGCGGGTGCGCGTGCGTGCGTGCGTGCGTGCGCGTGCGTGCGAGTGCGAGTGCGTGCGCGTGCGTGTGCGTGTGCGTGTGCGTGTGCGTGTGCGTGCGTGTGCGTGCGTGTGCGTGCGTTTGCGTGCGTGTGCGTGCGTGTGCGCGCGTGTGCGTGCCTGTGCGTGCGTGTGCGTGCGTGTGCGTGCGTGTGCGCGCGTGTGCGCGCGTGCGCGCGCGTCTGCGCGCGTGTGCGCGCATGTGCGCGTGTGCGCTTGCGCGTGCGCGTGCGTGTGTGCGTGTGCGTGTGCGTGTGCGTGTGCGTGTGCGTGTGTGTGTGTGTTGTGTGTGTGTGTGTGGTGAACGTGGTGTGTGTGTGTGGTGAACGTGGTGTGTGTGGTGTGTGTGTGTGTGGTGTGTGTGTGTGTGCATGGTGTGTGTGTGTGTATGGTGTGTGTGTGTGTGTGGTGTGTGTGTGTGGTGTGTGAGTGTGTGTGGTGTGTGTGTGTGTGTGGTGTGTGTGGTGGGTGTGGTGGGTGTGGTGGGTGTGGTGGGTGTGGTGGGTGTGGTGGGTGCGGTGTGTGTGGTGTGTGTGTGTGTGTGCGCGCGTGTGTGTGTGTGTGTGTTTCATCCATACAGTGTGGTTGTTTGATTGCGACTCAGCCGAACGATGCGAGGTGCTGAAGCGGCGGGCAGAGAAGGAAGTGGCAGGGTGCCCCGAGAGTCAACTCGGCGGGTCACTGGATTCATTGCCGGCGAAATGTAGCCAAAGCTACAAGGGAAAACCGGCCACAAAGGGCCTCATAAAGTCTGTGCGCCAGTGTCTCAGGAAACAAGGGAACCCCGACAAGTCGTTGAAGTCGAATCTGGATGTCTCCAAGTCAAACGATGAAATAACTATTCTCTATGGGTTCCAATGAAACAAACTGCACTGGAGGCAACCCAAAGGTAAACTTGAGAGACCGCCTTCGAAGCGCGTGGTTCCACACATACTTGGCTTCTGTGCAATATTGCATGTCTTGACGCAGTGAATTGTCATAGGTGGATTGATGAATGCGGTGGCAGATTGTGGGAGATACAAAGGTATGAGATGCGTTGCTTACCTTTTCTTTCTTGATGGGGAACGCGTTGCTCCACTCTTTAGCGGAAGCATGCGGAAGCATCATTCTGCTTTCCTTAGCAAGGGCTTAGAAACGCAGTGTCGCCGGAGCTCATGTTAGTTTTCCCTGTGACACGTGTTATCTCCCGAGGTTCATGATCCTTTACTGCTGGACACAGACTTCCACTTGGCTGGGGCGTTTTTGGCCAGAAGGTTGCTTCTAAGCGTCCCTGTGCCGATCGCCAGCCCCGGTGCCCAGTTGCAGCCGTCGCACGAGATTTGTGAGGTACGTCAACGTACAGAATGCTTTCAACTTGCCAATAATGATTTATCCAATCTGGGCCTGCGATCGATTTGACCTTGGATTCCGCACGCTGACCAATATTCGAAGTAACCTAGGTTTTCCAGCCAAAATGTCAGCCGGAATGCAACATGCATCTGAATTTAGCATCTCAACCAACAATACAGACATGTTTCGGAAAGGCCATGAGCTGCTTGGCACTCCACGCAGGCAAAAGCCGAAACTTACGGAGAGGTCTTCTTCGAAAAGCCGAATCCAGTTAGCGTGCCTCGATCTGATCTCCAGCATGTTTGAGCTTGGCGAGTGGTCCATATGATGACACAGATGTCGAACTTTTAAGTTTTAGACGGAATCACACATAGCAAGAGAAGCCGCCGCGCGTGAAACGCAGGCAACAAATATATGCAGAGAGCGCTTGCCAAATGTGGGAAGTACCATCTGCGGGAAGTTGTGCGGGGAAGCTTCGCGACACTCGATATGCAATGGCCAAGACGCCTGAAAGAATGACCTGCAGGCCATAATTTCGCAATGTCAAACAGTGCTGTGCTCTGTCCCCCTTGGCCGATGACGGGAGAGGGCCCAAAATATAAGCTACATTTGGGGCTCATCCCAAACCCCAGGCTTCTGTTTTAATTGCCGCCGGGGAAGCTATGCGCAAGGAGCGTGCAAGTGCCCAACGGATGCGCAACGGTTTCATGCTAGCTTCATGAAGACGACACAATTTAACCATCAACAACTAACACGAGCAAACCCGCCCAAGCAACGCGCAAGCCGCGCACAAGCTGCGCGCACAAGCTGCGCGCCAGCCCCAGCAAAGCATCTACCCTTTGCTGCCTGGATGTCCTTAGCGAGGCCTGAATACCCTTCGCACGAAAACTTCGCAAACCGAGGTCACCGAAAACTAGTTTATGCGTTACTGCGCGCAAGTCAAGGGCCCAATCCCAGGCCAAAGAATTTAGGAAAATCTTGCAGTAATGCCGTGGGCTATCATCCCGACGAGGCCCAATAGGTGCCCAGTAGGAGCCAATGGTCAATGGTGCCCAAGGCCCAACAGGGCCCAGCAAGGCCACATCGGGCCCAACAGCTCCTTGCTGCAATCAATGGTGCAGGACAGATGTTCTCCCTTCGGCACTCCATTCTCGCTCATTTTAAGTGATCGATCCGTTTTGTGAGCACATGTGGATTGAACATGCTTTGGACCGCCCGTGCAAGTGCATAGACCCCATTCAATCCGTACAAATCAATGTATCACAAGGCGAGACATTCCTTGGGCGATCGCAGGGAATGTGGCGCCAATGCCCATTGGCGTGGCGCTCGGATCCGTGATTTTAGTCCGTTGAATTGCGCGCGTTTGGCTTGCAAAGCAAACCACTCCGCACCTCGCGCAAGCCCCGGCACTGGCAGACATCACCAGCCTTTGCCAGCTGGCAGCATTTATTTGTGCCACTTCCGTATACTTCCGTCACTTGCAGGAGCCAGTCCAGAGTACCTGATGCTATGGCTTGCGGCGTGTTTCCGCTCTTTGGTTTGTAAGGTGTGTGCTTCAACTTCGTGATTTTGCCGTTTCTCTCAACATGCGACCGCCATTGGCTTGCGGCTCGGAGCGTGTCTGGTCCAACTCAAAGCCTGGGAAACGATCGCGCGTGTCTGGCTATGCGCAGACCACGATGTTCTCGAGTCTTGTGAGTCGACCTGTCTGCGTTCTTTCGATGCGAGGACGGCCTCTTTGAGCTGCCATCTTTTGAAGCGGGTCCGGCCGGTCTGCAAACATTCCTTGCGTCTTGCAAGACTGTTCGTTCAGGCGACTCAGGTATTGGGCTGCGATGTTCTGGGAGTGCGGTCTCGCCAGCTTGGGTTGAAACTTCACCTTCCAGCAGCCTTTTTTGCTAGGCTTGCAAGGCTGAGCTTGCCCAGGGACTGTTGGGGCGGACACCTCGTGATGCCACCTGTCCTGGCTTGTGTTGGGACGGCAGCCAGAAGGTTCAAAAGCAGGCGGCCCAAGCAAGTGCGCCCAACGTCGGCGTCAGCCCGGCGATTCGTTCGCACCATCGAAGGACCAATGGCCGCAATCATGGCACCTTCACTCGGTTCTGTCTGCCTTGCGGAAGGGAAATATGTTTGACAGGGCTTTGGAGAGCACAGTACCCAACCACATAAGCGCGCACCACTCGGGCTCATTCCACAACTTCCGCAGAGGACTCCACATGCCGCTAGACGGTGACGGTCGCTTCTGCACCTGAAAGATGTTCCAGTGACTTCAGTGGCTTGCCATGCAGCTGTTCATGCTGCCATGTGGGATCGATGCCCAAACGAAGGAAGTTGTGGTCACAGCGGCCGTGTAGGGCTGCTTTTTTAACTGCGCCTTTGTTGACCCTACCCCCAGCATGGCCAAGATTCTGGCGATGGCAGTGCCAAACCCCAGGAAGTTCAGGATCCCCAGGATGCCCAAGGCTGGCCTGGATTCAGATCGAACTGCCTGTTCCCTCCAGCCGTGCGCCGGGCTACGGTTTGAATGTGTGTTGAATTGCTTGGGAGATCTGCAGCTGTGTGCCGGCGAAAGCTTTCGTGGGCGCCCAGAGCTGGCGGCTTCAAACGTCAGCGGACCGCAGAGGTTACGACGGAATGCGTAGGGCCAGCGTAATCCTTAAGGATTGGCAAAACGCCAGACCCACATTTGGAACGAAACGGTTCGGACCGCAAGTGGTTTCACTTGTTGTGTGATGGTCTCGTTCCCCTTGCGCCCTTGATTCTTTCCTGGGCAAGTGATGATGACGCATGTTTTCACCGAAGCCGGCGTGAAAATGAGGCGATTGCATCCGAGCAACGTTCCACGAAAGTGTGCTTTGGGAAAGCCTAAGTTGTAAGCAGCGGTGTTGATCTATCAATGTTGTTGCGTTTCCATCAGCATGTTTGAAAGGAAGCGGCCTACCAACACCACTTCCAACAAGTGGCTCTTCGTTCCACAGGTTGGCCCATGTCAGTGACTTTGTTGATATTTGGCTCGTATTGGTGTTTGCCTTGCCAAAAGAATGGCCCTTGATTTGAAGAAAGCCACGCCAAGCCCATGTTTGGCATCTTGCGATATGGAGTAACGGACCATGAGAAGAGGTTGCCATTGCACATGAACCACTAGTGCATTTGAGCATATGCCTTGTGCAGAGAGGAAAGGATTGGCTGCAGGAGCCCGCGTGCCAATTCGTTCCGTGCGATCTTGGGCTCGTCGGGGCATTCACCACCTTCCATAGCAGGTGAGCTAGCTGCACAGCTCACGCCAAGGCAGGCCTAGCTGATCAAGCCAAATCACGCGTTGCAAATGTTTCACGTGTCTCGCGTGTTTCATGCCAGTTTGGGCAAGGTTCTTTGCACAGAAGAGAAGCGTGCGAGTGCTTCAGTGGGCTTCGGACCAACTTGCTCTTGCAACCTGTGCAGCCAGCAACCAGCAAGCTGAGCAATGTTTGTGCTCCGCTCCAACACAGGCTGGGTATGTCGGAGTGCTTGTTCGGTTCTGCTCCTGTCAGACTCATCGATGTTGTTTGCGAGCGGATTGCCGTATGCAGTTGGATCCTCGTAGCTGGCAGTTGGCGTCCCGGGGCGGAGTGGCAATTCAATCGCGGTCCCTAGTCTTGCAGCAGTATGTCAACGCAACTCGGAGGCCGCTTGAAAGGCAGTTTTGAAAGCGCTGCGTCCCCGGGCAAGGCTTGCCTCCAAAGCACATGCCTCTATGGATCTATGCCGTACTTTCCACTATCCAGTGGCACACTTAAGTTCTCAAGCTTTAACGCGTAACTTGAGTCCCGGCTGCAGCGTGACGTCCTGAGCCTGGTCTTCCGAGGCACGCGCAGGCAATGCGTCGCACCATTGGCAGCTGCGGCATTTCTTGACGGGCTGGCCTAGTGCTGTTCGGAGCTCTTTACTTTGCAGAGGTATCCTAAGAGAGGCGACAACCTGACACAATGGAGGAAAGCCGTCCTTGAACCCGCAAGGCAGCTTCCATCAGAACCTGTCTTGGCCTTCCCGGCAGGACGCGACAGGTTGGCGAAAATGGAGGCGGACCTGTGGTTTGCGCCGAACGGCAGCAGATGCGTATTGGCCTCCAAAGTGCCCAGAAAGATCCAGTGAAAAGGCGCTCAGAGTATGACCTTGGCCAACATCGTCACGCGGTTTGTGCGTGGGCGTCCGAAGCTCTTTGCGTGCCCAATCTGGATGGCACGCGTTGCCGCGAACTGGTAGCCATGCTGTGACTCAGGCGGCTAGCGAAGCCTGACTTGGTGTTTCCAACTCTCCATGACTAAAGCTCCAGCCTCCCCACTGGAGCGACTGCTGTGGCTCACTCCAAAGCTTTGGTTCACTCCATTGCTTTCGCTCTCTTTGGGCCCCGGTGGAATTGCTGGCCAAGCTACGGCGGCCCCAGCAAAGCTGACCAACAAATGGGCACTGCGCCATGCTTGGTATTCGACACCCCGGACAGCGCAAGATGCGCAGACACCAGCTGCTGGGTTGGTGGGGGGCGCAAGCAGCGCGGTTAATTGGCAGACCACCTGCATAGGGGCGTGTCTGAGCTGCGTGCTTTGCATTGCACTGGCCTTGCCTGGTTTGTGCGCTGAACTATGTTGTGTTGGCGATTCCAGACTCTGAGTGCTGTTCCTGTTCCAGTGTGGGATCAGAGTGCTGGACGTGCTTTCAGGGCTCTCAAAATTTGACTGCACCGCGTGGTTGAGGGGCCGAGAATGTTTTTGCGGTTGGCATGCTTGGCACATGCGCCGCGCAAGCAGCAAGCAGAGGAACGTCTCTGAGCCCAAAGCAAGGCCGTGTGCCAGCCTGTGCGCCTTGCGGTTTGCAATTGAAGCAGGCAGCGTGCAACCGGGCACGAATGCCAACGAAAATCGGCTGTCGCCGAATTGCTTCGTTGCAAGCTGTCATTTTCGGAACGGGGTTGAGCTTGCGATTCACAGGTTGCCATGGCGCACGAGTTTCCTCTTGATTTGTCCTGGAACTGCGTTTGTCAGCCTGATGCTCCCGTGCATGCCCGAGGGATTTCAACCATTTCCTTCTGAGCCTTTCATTGTGACATTAGTTGAAACAAAGCTAGCCACCCATCTCAAAGATCCGGGTGGGTCAAAACGGTTCCTTCCGGTGTCATTTCAAGGCGTCCTTGGCAGCTGCATGTGCAATCGTTCCACTTTGGGCGGGCCAAAGAAATCCCTTTCGCGACTGCACAAGCTTCGCTTGAAGGCTTACGATTCGATTTGCATCACGCGCGTCGCATTTGAACATTTCCGCGCTCGCGTCCGACCAGCAAGACGCGTGCTAAGCAGCGAGTCTCTGTTGCAAGCGTTGTTCGAGCACGTTCTAAGGTAGCTGCACCGGCAGTCTGTCCAGCTCGGCCATGCGCTCGGCAGCTCAAGCTTCGCGAGCAGGGCCGTGGCCAGCCTGTCGCCAGAGGAAATGCGACTTGGGTTTATGGTTGGTCACCGTCACCTGCAAGAAGCTCCGGAGGCTCCAACGCACTTTGTGCTTTGGGTGCTTTCCTTTGCTCGCAGGACACTTTGCCGTTTTGCTGTGCGTTCCCTGTTAGGGCGTTCTGTTTCGCGCGCAAACGAGTGGGCGCGCGCTTGCGCTGCTAAGGGCGCAGTTGAGAGCCTCAGGTGCTCAAGTCGAACATTAGCGCGCTGTCACGGCCATTGCCAGAGCTGCCGAATCACCCGCTTTGAAAATCAAGTTTGCCGATGGCACAAGCACGACTTGAAGCCTTTCGTGGTTGATGGCCGACAACGTGTCAATGACGATGCACGCGGACGAGCGCTTTCAATTGTCCTGATTGACTTGAAAGAGGCTTTGCTTCAGGCCTGTACCTGGAACCAGGGGAGAGGGCAAGATTGTGGGCAAAGTACGTGTGATGGTGCCCTTTTCCCCATGGGAAAACGGGGTTGGCACGGCAGGGGTCCCACAGATGCATTTAGCGCATTTGTGGGCTGCGGCTGGGAGGTCGATTTCCGCCCTGTCCAGGCCAGTTTCTTTTGCTACTTGCATACCCACCTGCTGGCAACGGTGCCAGCTTTCTGTCCGCCCTTTCCCAAGTGGAGGGGTCGAAAATGCAGGAGCAAAAACTTATGTACAGTATGTTCATGATTATTAAATTTATAAAATGCTCGAAAGGGCTGCAAACACGAGGAATCAGTAGCACATGCTGCATAAATGAGGCTTTGTCCGTGTTGGAGCGGGCAAACTGTGGGCACCTTCCTTTTTATGTGTGCCGAACCCGAGGATTGCCGCACGTTTTGCGTTTGAGCGTCTCCGTGCTCACCTCCAAACCAGCAAGAGGCTGGCCAAGCAGCAAGTCTCCATGAAAAGCAGTGTTCTGTCGGCATTCTGAGATCACCGCATCGGAGGTTCTTTCAGCTCTGGCATGGAGCCGGAAGGTCAAGCGTCGTCTTGAGGGACTTGGTCAGCCTATCTCTAAGCCCTGATTTGTCGTCAGGTTGAGAGAGGAATGGCGACTTTGATGTTGGCGCCTGCAAGAAGTGCTGGAGCTTCCGATTTGCGGGAGGCGCTTCTTTGCGCCATGAGCGCTTTGCTTCGCGCGTTGCACTAGAGAGTGGGCACGCGCTGACGCCAGCCTCAAGTCCTTGCAAAAAGTCCGCATAGCACGCGCTGGCCAAAGCCTTGCAGAGAATGGGCCACAGCTCCGGCCTCGAAGTGGCTTTTGCTTGAGGCTTGCACAGGGCGCGGCTGACAAAAGTGTGGGCACAAGAGTGGATGCACCGGCGCCCTTTCCCCAATCTGGGAAAAAACGTGGTTTTCACAGCATTTGGCACATTTTTGGGCGCGACCTGAGGGCAAGCGGTGCCAGCTTTCGGTCTGCCCTTTCTCGTCAATCTCGAGCTTTTTCAGAATCACCCGCTTTCGAAATTAAGTTGGGTTTCGACAATTTTGAGACAAAGCTGCTCGCTCAGCGAGCTTCAAGCCTGAAAAGCCGAAGCCAAGCGCGGGGATTAAGTGCCGACGATGAGCACGTTTGCTTTGCCGCAAACTATCCCAGCGCGGAGTGATACTGCAGAGCCCAAAGATGCCCAAAGAATTCCGAAGTTGGGGCAAACTGAAGAGGACGATATGTGAGAACTGACGATCGGAATCCTGAAGAGGCTCTAGATCGACTAAAGTGAGCGGTTGGTTGCCAATGCGTTGCCGCTCAGGGGTTCGCACGTGCGTGGGTTTGCGCTTTGATCCTGCTTCACCGTCGACGCCTAGTCCACAGAGTGCCCGTTGCAGTGCTCTGCGATCCACAAGCGCGCATCGTTCTTTGCACCCGCAAATCAAAAGTCGTAGGGAGAGAGACATCATTCTTGAAAATGTGCAACTCGCCACGCGGGAAGCATGCGGAAGGTTGTGCGGACGGGATTTCTTTCGCGGAAGGTGTGCAGAATGTTTGTGGTTCAACATAATTGGTTGCAGTTTGTAAACAGCTCTTTCAGCGCCTATACTCGCGGAAGCAACGCTTGTTGAACATGTGCCGCGGAAGGATGCAGAAGCAAAGGGTCCATGGAAGCTTTAGTCATCGATCAAGTTTATGGGGACTAATAAATCACTCTCATGTGGCTCCAGCTTGACAATGTGTTTGCTCTTTGCGATTCAAGGCGGTGTGCGACCCACAGCCTACCCCGAGTCCCTTTCAAGTGATACGCCCGCAACGGCATCTTGGTGTTACGAGGGCAAGACATTTCAACCTATAAAGTCTTGATCGGGAATTGTGCAACTGCGTTTGTTTTGTTTGAAGAGCTGCCGTGAAGGGCTTGGGCAATTCGGATGGCAATTCGAGCCTGTTTATGTTGGCAGGTCTGGAGAATGGGTTTCGACCCCACCAGTAGCTTCGCAAATGCGAACGGTGCGTTCTCCAAAAATGGCAGCACGTGCTGAGCCAGATTAGGCCTGATCTTCTCTTCAGTTCAGACTTGTGCGCAACAGATCGCAAAAGCAGCATCCTACCTGCCCAGCGGCGCCTCGGTTCGTTGGGGCGATGGTGCAGAGTTTAATGCTTCACTTTGCTCGATTGGCTGCATTTTGAGGTGCTTGGCTGCCTGCGAAAAGCGGGCAAGCTGCGGATGTTTGCAACTCGCCGGGCTTTGCAGCGCTAGCGACACTGCCTTCGTTTGCGCGAACGGTTCGTGAGCCCGGCGCAAGCTGTGCCGTGTGAGATTGGTTCGGCACAGCGCATATCTCCGGCTCTGCTTTCAGCACTGCACCCTTGCCAAGCTGTTGCGACTTTTTGCCAAGGCCCGCCTGCCAAGCACTTGCCTTTTGGCTTGGCAACGGCTTCTCCAGCAAACGGATGTGAGCACGCCCAGGAAACTACTCGCAATGACAGCCACATGGTTTCCGCGAAAGCATGCAGCAACCTGACATGGAAGTGCTTGATTTGAGCTGCAAGAAGTACAAAACCGTCTTCTGCCGCATTTTGCCGCCCGCGCCTTTGTTTTGATTGATGCTGCGCAGCGAGGAAAACCGGCACGCCATTCACGGAGAGATTTGTTTTTTGATGATTGTCGGGTGTGCGTGTGTGTGTTTACGCATTTTGGCAAAGCTAGGTAACTGAGTGCTTCAGATTGGCCTTATATTGGATTTGAGATGCTGCTCCGGTCGTCCTTGCATATCCTTGCGGTCCTGGTTGGGAGATTGACTCGCGCTGTGCTGTCGGCAAATCCTGTTTGAGGAAAACACGTCTGCATTGTTAGATCAAGTGGGACATAGCGAATCGTAGGCGCCTCACAGCCTGCAACGTCCTTGGCTCAGAAGTTCAGTTTTCTGAAGTCGAGTCTGGATGCATCATTTTGCCTCGGGTAAAAAGCAGCAAGCTTTGCACAGCTGAGCTTCTTTGTGCACCTCTATCTTCACCTTCAACCAATCTTGTTCACTCACCTGCACGTCACGACGCCGAAGGCGCCGACGCTTTGCGGGCTGCGAGCAACCAGACTTGTGCAGAGTTCCACGCGTTTCCAATCAATCACCACTCAACCAGAAGGAAACGTACTTTGACGACCTTAGATCGATACATGCTCAAAGTTGGACATGAGATATGACCATTGACATTGAGGATCTCTGAAAGAAGCTGTCAAGGATAGCTGAGGTTTGGCACATTCGATTGCAACAGCTTGCGGGCAACAGGATGTGACTGGTGATTCAACCTGCTGGAGATGATCGGTTAGGGATGGCTGTGGCTGTACTCGTGAATAAACTTGGTCCATCATCATCAGCAGCAGCATCATCATTGTCATTGTCATCGTCATCGTTATCATCATCATCGTCGCCGTCATCGTCATCAGCATCATGGTCATCATAATCACCATCGTCACCATGATCATGGTGATCATCATCATCGTCATCATCATCGTCATCTTCATCATCATCATCATCATCATCGTCGTCATTGTCATCGTCATCAGCGTCATCATCATCATCATCATCATCATCATCATCATCATCATCATCATCATCATTATTGTCATCATCATCATCATCATCGTCATCATCGTCATCCTCCTTCTCATCATCATCATCATCATCATCATCATCATCATTGTCATCGTCATCGTCATCATCATCATCGTCATCTTTGTCATCATCAGCATCATTGTCATCATCATCACCATCGTCACCATCATCATGGTCATCCTCATCACCGTCATCCTCATCATCAACATCATTGAGTCATCATCGTCATCGTCATCGTCATCATCATCGTCATATCATCAGCATCATCATCATCGTCATCATCATCAATGAGGATGACGATGATGAAGATGATGATGATAATGATGACGATGCCGATGATGCCGATGACGATGATGATGATGACGATGATGATGACAATGATGATGACAATGATGATGATGATGATTATGACGATGATGATGATGATGATTATGATGATGCTGCTGCTGCTGATGATGATGATGATGATATGGGATGATGACGATGATGATGATGACGATGATGACGACGATGATGATGATGACGATGATGATAATGAGGATGATGATGACGATGATGATGACGATGACAATGATGACCACAATGATGATGCTGACAATCTGGTAGGATATTTCATCATCGTCATCGTCATCATCATCATCATCATCGTCATCATCATCATCATCATCGTCATCCTTATCATCCTCATTTTGAGCGGCATTCAAAAAGCCGAACATGAAGTGTTTGCTCGCAGCCCTGGGAGGGTGCCATCGCTGCCAAGCACATTTGTCGCTTGATCTCGGCATCTGGGGTCGCTTGAGCTGGATGGATGTTTTGGACCCAGACATCCCAGACCCCGCAGACTCGAAGGTCGTTTTCGTTTGTCGAGTCGCTGGAAGGCAGTGCGTCTGCTGTTCGGTCCAAGTGCTTCCATGTGGGTTGCCAGTGCCATAAAAGGCCCAACATGCCAGGATCTGGGCCATGTGCAAGGTTGATCCATGTTAGTCCAGCAAGGTCGGAGCTGGCCAAGAAGCCGAATGCAAAGCAAGTCCTCGGGGGATGGAACACAGCACAGAATTTACTCCACGTGCCAGGCTATGCAAGCTGTGCCGGCTGGGCCACAATACCGCGCAGAACGAGAGGCGGCAGCTTGGCCTTGGGCTTCCATGGTGCCATATGCATCATATGCTGGTTCAAAATTATTCTTGTGAGCATCAAACTATCAAAGTTTAGCCTAGTTTGGACGGTTGGTTAGGCTTTTGAATCATGGGCATTTGGAACGGGTTTTGATGGTCTGAGTGGTGGCGTTTGGAGGCTATGGATGATCGTGGATGTTTGGGTGGTTTTGGAATGCTTTGGATGGCAGCCATGGCATTGGACTTTTAAATTGTTTGATGCATGGTACTGCCATTGTTTCGAGTCATCATTTTGAGAAAGGAACTTCACCACTGACAGGCCCCGTTTTGTTTGATACTCTTGAGATCTCTTGAGCAGACTCTTGAGAGCAACCATCCTGGGGCCTCCCGATGGCATGAATCACCCATGTTTGGAAATCTCGGTGGTGACTGGCCAGTCGTTTAGTCGAGGTGTCTCCACATGGTTTCCCACTGCACTGAGGAAACAGAGGAAGGCGCCAAACCGAAGCTTTTGTGCGAGATAGTTAATTTGGGGTTAAGCCATCAAAGCTGAGTTATCACACTATAGACAATATAACATTGTATGTGATACCATATAAGCATCATAAATCATATGCAACCCACATTGTAGGTCAGATCACTTTAAACCGTCTGGCAGAGTAGGATGAATCAGGAGTCAACCGCGAACACGAAACAGGAGTAAACCATTGCCATCAAAATGTGTGGAGGGGAAAAAAAGCGCTGTCCACGTGTAACTACACATGTTATGCATGTTAAAGCTGGTTCATTGGAAGTTGGAAGCTGATTGAACCCCGACCTCAGCAGCTTCAAGCACAACAGTAGCTGCCGGGTCCGGCAGAAAGCTGGGCTTGCGCGTGAACAAAGCTGCGCAAAGACCAACGGAAAACACAACGGGGGGCAATGAGTCGCTGTCACGAGCCTGCCATCCTCGGATCGATCGCCTGGAACCTTTGACGCCTGTTGCTCAGTGGCGAGAAGTTTTTTTGGGGTCGAATGGACCCTTTTGAAGTTTCCTAGATGCCCACTGGCCTTTGATCCCTTTGATCCTTTAAAGCAGCAGGGTGCTTTTTGCATTTCCTGTCAGTTGGTCCCTTCAAGATCCCAAGAGGCTTGAGGAATGCCTTTGAACGGATCACTGAGGCCAGGTTTCACCTCGAAGAGTCAGCCAAGCGGACCCCTCGGCCAACTGGGACACCTGGCTCCTCTTCACTCACCCCATCGGCTGGGTGGCTTTTTGGTGGTAGATGATCGTCGAAGCATTCTGGTGATATTTACACGTATTGACATTTGATCAATGTCTACAAGGGTCTACGATTCGACTGTTTGCGAACAGCCGTCCAGCCTGGCAAGGTCGGATGTGGACTCTGAGTCAGCGGCGTGGCAGCGTGGGACTTGTGTGCCGTTGGATCAGTTGCACCCCTACAAGTTATCCGAAGATGGAGGCCCTTGGAAAAGAGTTTGATCTAAAGAGGTTTTTTTTGGGGGGGTCCACATTCATCTGTAGGTGAACTCAGGTTTGTTCTTTTTCTTCCGGCGGGTTCTTGGAATGGGGATTTGTGCAGCCCTGGGAGCCGGCGCTTGAAGCCCCGTGCTCGGGAGAAGGTACGGCCGGCCCCATGGCCGCCGCTTCTTTCACCCGGAGAGGGCCGGGCATAGATTCCTGGTATAGTATAATTATCAAATCCACCCTTTGAGATGAACGCCCTGATTGATGTTGATTGTATGTTTACTTGCTTGTAATGTTATGTTATGTTATGTTATGTTTACTTGCTTGTTATGTTATGTCACTCTTTTGATTTATGTTATGTTCTGCTTGTACTTGAAGTGTACTGTTTGCATCCGATAATTGCCGAGTAAGCCTGTTGAACTGCCAGCCTGCTCCATCTAAGCACAGGGTGTGTCTCATGGGGTAACCTTCAATTTGCCTTCCGTTTTGTTTCCAGGAGACCAGCCATGAGATGCCAAGGGGCAAGACCTTTGGTTTGAATGCCAGGTGCAGGTGTACCTACCATATGTCAAATTGTGCCCTTCTCATTCGCATGAAAGTTATGGCACCAGCGCACTTGTATCTCGCTGGCCCTTTGGATGTTTTGCTACGTGTTTTGATTTTTAGTCTTGGTTTTCACGGCTCATGCCGCAAGTGGCTGTTGCTTTTTTGGAACCTTCTCAGATGGGGCTGTTGAAAAGAGTCCATGCCACATGGGCTGCAATCGGGTCAGGTTTGGCCATATCCTGCCACACATGCGACTTGATGCCTCTGGCAGTGGATCTTGCAACAGGATCCTGGGCGTGTGTGATTGTTTCTGGCAAAGGTCGATGACTTTGTCCCATGCAATCCTTGCGAACTGTGAAAAGCAGCTGAACAAGGCCTCAGAGCGGTTGAAGCGCGTCACAGACGTGAAGAGGAAGCCTTTGAGTTCTGTTTTCGAGTGCATGACAGATGCCACGTTCGCATGGGACTCGCGCGACCAGCATTAAGCTCAAAACTCCAGATGTCGGTCGTTTGAAACTGATTCTGGAGCTTCCGCCGCGCGGCGTTGAGGCGTTCCTTTCGGAATGTTCTTCATACTTCTGTTGTTGACCGTATGCCCCTATGCATCTTGGCTGCATATGTGAGGCTTCCCAGCACTCATGTGGAGTGAGATGGGTACTTGTCTCGGTCAATCCAAGCCGACCCATTTCTACCTACTAATACCTATTTTTTCCCGGGAAATTTGAGAGGGTCCAGGTACCTGTTCTTCTGCAATTTCGGGTGCCCTCCCATGGGCCTTCGAGGTGGCCCGCAAAGTGCTGGAGCGGTCGGCCGCTCGGACTCTCTTTCCGGGCAAGAGCTTTGAGGATTCTGGGGATCACCCAAACCTTGGCAGCCTGGTTTGGGGGTGCTGGCTTTGAATGGACAGAAGTTGGAAGACTTTGTAGGATTCCTGGCCTGGGGCGGACGTTGCAATATGTTGCAATACGTTGCATGTGAGGGGAGAGATGGTGGACACAATTCGGGGTTTAACTTTGCCCGCTACCACGGCTGCAATGACGCTCAGGACTCAAATGAAGCAATTGGCTGGCTTGGCGTTTCTCGTCCCAGCGCCCCTATACTTATCAATGAAGAAACTCGCACACTTTCAGCTGTATGGCTGAATGTCAGCAAAGTGAATTCTGCAACTTGGCAAAGACTGTGAGTTTGCTTTCCGAAATGGAAAGCCTAAAGGCACGATCAGGAACCCGCTTTTCTCAGGATTGCTATGCATTACTACACTCAACAGAGACTGCGTGTCAGAGCAAGGCGTCGAATCGCATTGGAGTAAGACCCTGTCACAAGCCCAATAGGGGCACCATAGCCAAAAGGTAAATGCCATGTTGGCAAGGTGCAAAGCCACGCAACCGCCTTGACTGAGCCCATGGGTTCGGCGACAGCAACAGCCCCGAGGCGAAATCTACGTGCAGCTCCTGCTGCAAGAAGGACCCCTACAGCCCGGATATCCTACCTTGGACTCCAGGACATTTGGGAGGCCTTCCTGGTGTCTTCCCATAAATCCATGTTTTGCGGCCCCCATTCGCCTCGGGAAGTGCAACCGTTCACCCGAATCCGAATGTGAGGAGATCTGGTCACGACGCACTACCGCGAGGCCGGCTTGCTGTCGCAAGCGCGCAGCAGCGCGTTGGCCACGGCGATGGTGAAGAAGATGGAGGGCACGTCCGTTCAGGCCAGCCCAAGCTTGGCCAACTTTGAGATGAGAAGGTCAAGGACATGATAGGACATCTATGGAAATCTCGGACTTAAAGGGAAATAGATCCTTGAAGCAAGTTAAAATTAAGGGAGGCTGTGTTTGTTACAGGTCCAGCTCCTCTCGCTGAAAGACAGCACCACCTTTGCGCCGGGTGACATGGTCAGGGCCCACCTGCCCATAGGGAGCGAGAAGAAGAAGTCGCCAGATCCGCTTCCAGCAGTTGTGGTGAACAGCACAGACACTGAAACTACAGTACGCTACAAGCACAAGTTCCTGGGGGAGCTGTCCCTGGCAAACTCCTGGATTGAGCCGTCCTGGGCAATGTCGAACCAGTTTATTCCCGCGGAGTGGATCCAAACCGCCCCGAGGGAGGTGCCAGAGGTGGATTGCTCCTTGGATCAGTTTGAGGCTTGCATCTCCACCAGTGGCTGCGTGTGGAAGGAGCCTGTGTATGAAGAAGTGCCCTGTGTGGTGGCTGACTGGGGTGAGTGGAACCCCTGCACGGTGACCTGCGGTGTGGGCAAGCAGAGACGCATCCGGCCCTTCCCCACGCAGCCGAGCTGCCGGCGGCTCGAGCCAGCGCCCGTCGTCCAGGAAGACCGCTTCTGCATGCAGCCCTCGTGCCCCCTGGTGCCAGATCACTGCCAGGCTCAGGGATCCCCATGTCGTTGATTTCCTCCGGGGGAGTTATGTTTTTCTATCACATCTGCTCTCAATGGGTTAAATAATTGAACATATCACGGAGAACCCTGGCAAGGCCGCGCCCAACGCCAGCGCTTCGCTGCTGCAATTCTACGGCGCGCTTCCTGCGCGCGAAGAGAGCGCCGCGAGCGCGAGCGCTCCCAGCTGGGCGCTGGGTGCCCTCCTCGAGCTGCTGGCCGAGTCGCACTTCGGCAAAAACCCGCGGCAGGCCATCGAGCAGGAGCTGCAGAACATCGCAAGCGTCGCAGACTCGAAGGAAACGGGGCCCTCAACCTTCCAACAACACCCACTCTATGTGGAGGGTGAGACTGTGATTGCCTGGGCTGAGAAGGGTACCGGACTTGGGCCTCAGTGTCCTGAGTCTTACTTCGCCATTCAGATCGACATCGACGTCCAAAGAAACGTCGTCTCCGCCGCTTGCAACCATTGCGCTGCCGGGTGCCTCCACTGTAACGGTCCAGGAGCGGATCAGTGCACAGCCTGCCCCGCGCCTTTGCGACTCTACACGCACATTGACGGAAGATCCACGTGTGTCGAAGCCTGTCCAGAATGCAGCTCAGCTGTTTTGAGCTGCTTGTTGTTCAACGTTGGGGTGTTTATCTCAGTTGCGTATTTGGGGGATTCTTTGTCTCATGGGGGCCTATGGGCCTTTCCCAACAATCTAGCTCCAGAGATACACCGCGTGCCACCAGGTTTTCGCCCTTCGGATGAGGAGGACGACGCCTGCGTCTTTGATGGTAGCCAGTTCGGGTGCGACCACGTGGCCGCCTTCCACCCCGAGGTGAGTGATTTTTACTAGAGGTCTATTGTTGGTTTGAGAAGCGGGGAGGAGGCTTTTGGGTTTGGGGAGGCTTCTTTCAAGTCACGATAAAGACCACCTAATTTTCGCATGTTTGGGGGGCACGAAGAACTTTCCTGGGGTCGGGCCTCGTTGTCGCCGGAGCATGCGCGTCAGGTGATGCCGGAGCACCGGGGCGCCCCAGACTCCTGTCAGGCGCTGGACATGGAGGCCGGTTGTGCGCGCCCGTCTGACTGTCACCTCCAAAATCCGAAGAGACCAACCTATGTGTACCCATGTTTGAACAAATCCACAAACATCAAAGGATCGCAGCCGGAAGGTGGCAGGGAAATGGAGGGAAGCTGTTTTGGACTGGATTCCATGTGGGCCAAAGAATATGGACAGGATGGGGATGAGCAGCCTGGATCCAAAACGGCTTTGCTCTCCTGGAAAAGCTCCGCGGGGCGTTCGTCGCTTTCCAGCTCGGTCCCGTCAGTGGAAGAGCTGGCTGGGGAGCCAGGGCGTATCGAGGCCAAGAAGGAAATTATCAAGCGGCTCGGAACCCAACAAATGAGAAACAGTGTTAAATGGTTTCATTTGGTTCCCTATTAAAGAACCCAAAAAAGGTTTCCTGTTCAACAAAGACACCCTAAGTCGTTGGCTCGAGGCAGACGCTCCACTGGCTTGAAACGGAGAAGATCCCCGAGTTGCTTGACGGTATCATTGCTGGAATTAGCGCCGACTTTTGCTGCAACTTGCCTTGTAGCAAACCATGAAATCACTTTGTGCAAGGTATCGCGCAGTACGCGGATGCGACCTTGCAATTCCTTGCCAGTAGTCTTGTGCAAGACCCGGAGCTCTTGAAGCCACTTGCGCTGGCTCTTGGACACTCTCCAGAGTCAGCACCTTTGACGCCCCCGGCGTCAAGCCGCCAGGAAGCAAGCGCCATGCGAGATACTTGGCGTGTTAGGGCATTTTATTCGCTTTTTTGGCTCGGGGTTCTGCTTGCCCAACACTTCGACCGTTTTTGGCTCGGTCCAAACCTTCGCTCGGCTCAGGACGTGCGGCTGGCACGGGAGGTCCGGGAGCAGAGCCGCTTCGGCCTCTGGACGAACTCCTCGGAGCCGCACTTCAGCGAGGTCCTGCACGACGTGGCGCAAACCTTGGCGAAGGTGGCCCTAGTGGAGCTGCAGAACGAGGATCCAAGGAGGACGGATCGTATTTGGGGGGGCGTTTCTGTGTCATTTGTGTGTCGTTGTCTTCATTTGTTGGTGTCCGTTTTGGTGTGCATTGTGTGTGTCATTTGTTGTGTGTCCTCGCAGTGTTTTTGTTTGATCTTGTTTTTCGGGAAAGGGCAGCTCAATTGGACTGGAGGACTACACACGCGGATGGAGACTCAGGTGTCGCTGGTGCCATGGCCGAGCAGCTCCAAAGAGACGCCCAAGACCTGCTCCGCTTTAAGCTGCTGAAGTTCGACTTGAGGCCGCAAGACAAGGATCACCTTCTCAAGCTGGGAGCGGATATGGTTCAGGCTCTTCTTTCGTCAGGAGCCGAGCATTCAAGCAGCTTGCCAGCCAATCTCGTGCCTTCCGGGCAGGAATCATTGACCGCCTTGCCGCAGAGATAACATCACAAAAGAGGCTCCCACTCGAGGAGGACAATGCCGCTTGGCGCTGCGATTCAGGTCCGAACTTGTCGTACGCTGAGTATAACAGTAACTGTCACAAGTTCAGATTCAGGTATTGCTCCAATCCGGCTCTGGTCTGGGGATGGCCCACAAGTTGGAGGTAAAGAGCAGCAAGCTCAGCGGTGTTGCCCTCGCGCTCCTCTCCAGCGGACAGCAAGCAATGGACCGCCAGTTGCAGAGGCTGCTGACGCAGGGAAGCTTTGCTAAGACCACAGTGAGCATATTGCATCAGTGATCTGACTCTCGTCAGTCCTGATTTCTCGACCTAAGGAGCTATAGCCTTCGGTTTGAGCGCCGAGGAGAAGGCGAACCTTACGGGACACCTGGAAGGCGAAGTGCATGCGGAGCTTCGGGCGCTAAGCCAAGGGTCCGTGGCCAAGATCATGCACGACGTCTCAGAAGACCTCCGGACAGACGAGCTGCGAGACGAGGCCGGCAGTGCGCACAGTCCATTGGGAGTTTCTCCGCGCCCTTCTTCCCTTATTAACAGTCTGTGACTGTTTGTGTGTTTGTGTGGTGCGGGTGGTTTCATTTCATCACCGGCAAGGTCTTGGCAGCTTCTCGGGCAGTCCTTGCCAGCGAGCTGGGCAAGTTGGCCGCGGAAGCCAAGACTTTGGCGGCCGAGAAGCTGGAAGAGAAGATCCAGCTGGCTGCGATCGGCACCAAGCTGGAAAAGAAGCAATTGGACAGTGCCGTCAGAGAGGCGTGGTCCATGTTCAACGGTGCAACCCAAGCGCCTCTGTTTTTCCCCCAGGTCCTGGAGCATGCGGAGGTCTCCGCCGCAGATGCCTTGTGGGCGGCGCAGACGGTTCTCAGCGAGTCCGCTGCGATCAACGAGCGGGTGAAGAAATCTTCCGCGAGCGCTCTGATGCAGTTGAGGCTCCAGAGTAGCAGGGCTTCGGGTTTTGGGCGGTTGTTTTCTTGCCACAACAAGCAGGTCCATATATTCTTGACCACAAAAGCTGCTGGGCCCACTCAGCATTTCGTGGTCCTCTTTTGCGCTAGGACAGGGCAATGGCAAGCGGCAACCTCCAAGATTGCCGCGGAGGCGCCAATGTTCATGGCTGAGCTGGTGATCTTTCAGAGGACAGGGTCCTTTAGTTCGAGTTGCTCCAAATTGAGGGTTTCAGGAGCCGGGATCCATCACAGAATAATTATCATCATGGCACCGAGCATGAGTTCCAAATAAAGCCAGTTTCGAATACCCCTAAATGATCATACACCTTCGGGGGCAAGCAGTTCCGCATGGTGTGCAACAGCACCAGCCAGGTTGGTAGCCCGACAGGTCGCTTCTTTTGCTTTGGGCCCCCAAAGCCTCAGGCCTTGCTGAGTGAGCCCATAGGAAAAGTTTCAACGCCAAGCCAGTATGTCACGTGTGCAGGTTGAAAGTTGAGAACCGCTGAGAGGGTAAGAAGTGAGTTGCAGGAAGGATGCTTTGCGCTTAGAAGTCCGAAAATTCAGCACTGCGCCTGCAGAGGCGTGCTCGAGTGTTCGCGCGAAGTTTGGGCCAAAGAGTTCATACCAAGAACTTGGGAAGAGTTGTGAACTTCAAACTCTTCTCTCCTCGGGGTGCTAGGCTAATATGTTTGCGTGAGGATTCTCGGTTCTTTTGTGGAGCCGGATGTGGACGGGCAGGATGTCCAGCCGCCTGGACCACTTCGTCCAAGCGCTCTCCGAGTCCCTCCACCTGGACCTCTCGGAAGTGGGTCCCGGTCCCGCGCCCCATGCGGCAGTGCAGCGAGCGGCGCAGGCGCCCTGTCCCGTTGGCCGTTTCATGATTTCTGGGGGGGTCTTCCGTACTTTCTGGCAAGGATGGTGGTGCCCGTTGCTAGGTGGGGTATGGGGGGGTCAATCATGAAGGTCAAAATGATAACACCAAGAGTCGCTTTTCGGATGCTCAGGAGACCTTGCAGCAGGCAATCGCGGCCCAGAGCCAAAGTCCATGGAAGGAGCAGCTTGCGGCACGCCTGAAGGGCCGTGTTTGGAGGCTGGTGCAGAACAAGTGCCGGGCCCTTACGGGGACCGACATGGAGGAGGTTCGCAGGCAAGTAGCGGACGCCTTCCAATCCTTCGACCTGCCGCAAGACGACATGGCCCGAGCCCTAAGCTCCAAGTCTTTCAATCAGAAGGGGCGGATGGCTCGCTCGCATCGCTTGTGACTCCCAGTGAGGTTTTCCAGCTGCAAGAGGACCTCGAGCATGCTGTGGAGGAAGTGGCCCTAGAAAACCGCCAGGAAGCAGAGGACTCCTACCTGGAGGCCCTCAGCAGGCCAGTTCTAAAAGATCAGAGCACACTCAGCCCTCAGTTTGGAAAGACGGAGAATCACCCAAAATATACTTCATGTTCAGCAACTGCCAATTGCGACATGACATAGACATATCGCCGGTTTTTGCTTGGCTTCCCTCAAAGCCCACTCTCAAAAATGAGTCTTCAGGGGGTGATGAACAGCCAGGCAAGACGACTCGGCCTCTGCGCATTGCTTGGGCGTCTGTCTGGAGTCGGCCAATGACCTCGCGGAGTTCCTCGGGGATCTCAGCGCCTACGCCCTACACGAAACGCACCGCAGCCTGAGCCCAGCTGAGCAGAGGGCGTGGAAGCTCGGGCGGGTTCGGGCAACTCGGCTCAGTGGGTGTGACGCAAGCATTCAATGCATTTACATCATTCTAGATCGCGCTGTTCTGATCCACACGCGCCATGCGGAGCGCTCACTCAGCACTGCCAGCTGACGCAACCGTCAGACTTTATACTCTCGCTGTGCTGCTTGAGCAAGCACCTCGCCCTATGGCAATGCCACGCTCATCTTGATCAGTATTCTCGAAAGTGAACCAAATAGAATTGCAACTGTCACACATCCAAATGTCCGCCAGTTCTACTGGATTTTCCACTGCTTGCATGGCACCAAACATCTGCGAAATTCTGACTTTCAAACAATTTCAGACATTTGTCCCTGCGAGCGTTGCCAAACCTAGTGTTTTGCTGGCAGATGTTGGTGTTCAGATTTATTAACGCAAGCCAAGTTCTCCTTGTTGCATGCGCCACAGTGTTCAGATAAAGCATCAAAAAATCGTCTTTCTGTGATCAAACCAGTCGTGTTCTTCTACGTTCCAATTGGAAGAACGCCTGCTTGATGGCCTTCTGCAACACAAGCGAATTGGGAAGGCTTCTTTCTACTCCAGATCTCGGCAGCCATGTTCGCCCACTGCCGCTGTCACTTCGTAGCTGCAGTTGCACCTCCGTGTTTGCTGCATGGAAATCCCAAGCTGTTGCATCAATAATCCTCTACTGCCTGCTGATGTCGGCGCCGCCGAAAGTTCAGCAGTCGCTGCCGCAAACAAACAAATGCGACTCTCATTCCAATTTCGTGCTTTCCAGTAAAGCCAGCGAGGTGCTTTCAAATACTTGTACCAGTAAAGCCAGCGAGGCCGGTTGGCCGAGAATGCTTCTTTTCCCCCGCTCTCTCTTTCTCTCTCTCTCTCTCGTTTTCTTTTGTTTTGTCTTTCTTTATTTCTTTCTGTTTGTCTGTCTTTCTGTCTGTCTGTCTTTCTGTCTTCTGTCTGTCTTTCTTTCTGTCTGTGTGTCTGTCTGTCTTTCTGTCTGTCTGTCTTTCTGTCTTTCCGTGTTTCCTTCTTTCCTTCTTTCTTCTTTCTGTCTTTCTTTCTTTCTTTCTTTCTTTCTTTCTTTCTTTCTTTCTTTCTCTTTCTCTGGAATCTGCCTCGAAATCTGCACCTGACCTGGCGAAGTGCTTTGCCTGTGAGGAAGTCTGTGCCTGACCTTTGCCAAAGTGCGGCGCTGGTCACAAAATCTGTCCTGGCCTTGCAAAAGTGCTGCGCCTGTCATGCAATCTGTACCTCAGGTTGCCGAAGTGCACAAACTGACAACGCGATAGTAGGAGCATCCATGCCAATGGTCCTGGGTCCGAGTCCGTTCCGAACCCGCTCCGCACCCGCTGCGAGCCCGTCGTCCGTCCCGCAGAGGGTAGGACTTTTAGCGATGTCTGTTTCCTCTTCTCGCATGCATTCATTCTTGTGTCCATGACACGGAAGCTCCTTCCATTCCTTCCAAACTTATTTGTTTGTAGAATCCCAGATGTCACATGGGTAGGACATGCTATCCATGATGCAAGTTGCTTGATTGCGTGTTGCATGTCCGGTCTCTCTTGTGCAAGACACGTTGCGCTGCCTGCGGCACTCCCCGCACCATCCTCGTTTCTGTTCATAGAAATCCACCAAAACTTCTGGGGTTCAGGTGAAACGAGGCTGGAGCCTTTTGGTCGCTTCGAGAATCCCAACGCTTTCGGATGGATCCTCAGGCGAAGGCCGACCATGGCCTTCTGGCCGTCGTGAAGGCTGCGGCATCCAGCGCCCAGCAGCACTGCACGGAGAACCGCACCGGCTTTGCCACTGGGCAAATCAGCCACCCGTTTTCTCGCCTCAGGAATTGAGGACAAAATTTGGGGGTCAATATGGATGTTTTTCGGAACGGTGGCCTTCAAAGGGAAGCCCAACAAGAAGTTTCACTTTTTGGAGGGTCCCCAATGGATGTTTGGGTGTCAAAGTTAGACCAAACCGCGGGCATTTGGGCTTTGAACGGTTCCAGTTGTCGAGCTTTCAAGGTCCAAGCCGTGAAGGCGGACGTGCGAAGGGAAGCGGACAGAGCGCTCCAGTTGCACACAGCGCTCGGATTGCCACGAAGCTTTGGGCGAAGCACTCTCCATTTGGTTGCGAGCCGCCTGGACTTTGGGCCCCGAACCATTTTGGACATGATACAGGGCGCTAGTTGGCTAACAAAAACCCTGGGGCCCGGCCCACACAACTGTCCAGGCAACCTAGATCTTCATTTGGCATGTTTGTGTCTGCCGCGACCCCCAAACGCATGGCTTTCGGCAACACGGCCCTTTTGAGGAAAACACACACTTTTTGAAAAGAGGTGTTGTTGGGCACCGTGTGAAGCAACGAGATTCCGGCCAAACAGTTAGGCCGCGCAACAGGCGCAAGTCCAAACTTCAAGTATACTTCTTTTGTTTGCCATGTTCCTTTCCACATTGGGAACAGCACGAATTTCTGGAAAGCAATTTATTCCTGAGCAGAGTCAACAGCCACTTTGTGTTGATGGACTGCATTGGAACAAATGGATAAGGATTCCCTAGGCGGCCATCTCCTCACGGTGGCAAAAGGACACCCCTAAATTCATATCTTGTGAGAACTCAACCTGTGAACCTGTTTGCTCAACCATGAGGCGCGGCACTCGTTGATGCTCCAGCTTGAGGAGAAAGATGACTTGCCAAGATTGTTTGATCGTACAACCCGTGTGGCTTGTAAGAAGATACCAAAGCGAAACCGTTGCCATTTGGGGAGTCCGATGCCAAGGCCTGAAGTTGCAAGGTAATTAGTTCAAACTTGTCCAGAGGCTAACCGTTGCCAACATGACACGCCCTGAAATCTCTTGTTTGCTTACAACAGCCCCTGGCAGGACTTGGTAGCCGCAAACAAGACTGGAGTTACGGCCAAGGACGCATCAGACGATTTGCTGTTGACTTGGGCCGGCAGAGGATGGTTTCAGGATGGGCAAAGTAATGCCAGAAGCAAACCAGGGAAAGGGAACTCCGTGACTTTTTGCCCGATATGTGATCAGTGTTCAGGAGCAGCAGAGGTTTATGACCCTGGTGGATGAGAGGCTGTGGAAGCCCATGGAGGACCGTCGAACCCGTCGGCTCGCGAAGGCCCAGGCTTGCGCTGGAAGGCCTCGCTTTCGCTCAGGAGGCCGTGTTGAGCTATCGACCCTGTGGAGCCGCTTCTTGGCCTCGAGTCTCCTCTCTCAGGCAGTGCGAGTTGACAGCTCGAGCCGAGGACAGCACCTCGCCTAGGAACCAGGCGCAGCTTCTGTATCACGGCACGGTGCGGCGCTTGCTCCAGGAAGCTCGGTGACGCATTCGTTTTTGGCCTGTGGGCTAAGGGTGTTCAGCCTAGAGAATCTGTTGCCACAGTTGGGCGAGATGCCTTCTGAGGTAGCAAGTGGGTTTGTCTCATGGTGAAGGTTTCCCTTGACACTGCCCCGAAAAAGTGGCTAATCCCTCTAAAAAAGAGAGCCAAGCAGCAGAAGATGTTTGGGGACCTAGGAAGCCAGCATCAAGCTGGCCGCCAAGTGGTCCACCAAGATGGAGTCTTTGAACAGTGTCCTGTTGGAGGAGGCATTTTGGCCAAAGGTCGGGGCAAGGCGCTCCGGCGATCAGGGCTTTCCCAATGGAATCATTCTTCTTGAGACGGAGGAGACGGATGAGACGGGCGAATCTGTCGAGTCACTCCTTTCCCAGGCTCAGGCGACTCTGACTGCCCTGGAGGTGACTGGGAAGCCCAAGAAGTTGCCTTCAACGAAACCTAGCGAGCGCAGACAGAAGATGGTGACAGCGATGGGCGATTGGGCCGCCAACAACAAGGACCAGGGCCCAGGGTAGGTTCTGCTTTAACAGCCCGCACTTTCGGGAAATTGATTGGGGTCCTTGCAAATTGTATGCTCAAGGACGACCTGGAAGCGTACTACTACAAGGCACGGGACTCAGCCATTAGCAACGCCGTGGAGCTGCTCTATGGCAAGGGCGCCTTGGGCCCCCCACTCTGCAAGGCCGCGACGACCCTGGGGGAGAACTTGGATCAGTCCTACGCCAAGGCTTTGGAAGTCAGAAATGGGAATATGTTCAGTACCTTTAAGGAAGCTGGAGATTTGGCCTGCAAATTGGAGTGGGGCATCGATGAGGTGGTTGCTTGGCACAGCTTGGCACCAAATAGTATGATTATTTTGCTGACATGTATCATTTGGGCCAAACCCTCACCCCGTGAGCACCGGCGCAAAATTCAAAGTGCTTCAATCCAAGGAATGTTGAATGAATCCTTGCCAACGCCCCCGCAATCCTTCACATTGACACCACATACCCCCTGCGTGTACATGGGCATCGCAAATTCCTGGTTTCCCTTCACTTTCCTACGAAAACGGGCTCAAAAAGTACAGTACAACCTTATTGGCGCAGCTTTGCATGTGAGCGTTTGCCTGAGACCGACCCAGCGCTACCCCAGTCTTTGGATACTTGTACTTAATTGTAAACCCTTCGCCGCCTCTGCCACGCCCAGCACGCAGCATCAGCGACACGAAAGGAAGGAACAGCCGGCCCTGAACAGTCGCTCCAGAGGATTTGGGTGTGGAGCCAGGCACCGATGGGCAACAGCAGGCTAGGCCGGCCTTGGCTCTTTGGGGCTGGTGCTGGGTTGGGGCCTAAGCCTGCAGAAGCAGGCAAGGCGGAAACAACCACGCAGCACGCCCCAAGTCCACCCAGTCGTGCCTCCGGCGCCATGTAGCCGAGAGTGCCCGCGCCTCACGAGAGGTCCAAGAGACCACTCGGGGAAAAAACAAGAAAAATATTGTCGTTAAAGGACATTTCTGGAGCAACCCCCCCCCCTATGAGAGCAGGAGCGTTGATTTTGGGTTGAGGGATTGCGAGATAGAAGAAGAGCGTTTGACCGCTTCCAGGTAGCTGGAGCAGGGATTTGGGTCGCTGGGGCGAGGGGGGGGGGGATGGGTGGCTGGGGGGCCGGGGCGAATGTTGCAATATTGCGGTCGTCAAGTTCAATCGCAGCTTTGCTTTGCATGCCATGGAATACCACAAGCGCAAGAGTCATGCAGAAAAATCGCATGCGCAAGCAGGGAGACAAGTAGGCAGACAAGGGAGACACCGCGACAGGTCCCAGTCAGCAATCTGAGTCAGCAACTTCAAGCTAAGGAGACAAACGGTTTGACAATGGGGAGGGAAGCTTGGGAGACAAGCAGGGGGACACGAGGGAAGACAAGCCTCGACAGGGAGACAAGTGGGGAGAGAACCCGCGACAAGGCCCGGGTCAGCGTTACAAGCAAGGAAACAGCGGGCCGACAGGCGGGAGAGAAGCTGGGGAGACAAGCGGGGAAAAAACGCAAAGACAAGCCGTGTCAGACGAGCCAGCAAGTGGGGCGATCGCCAAGCACAAGCGGGAAGAGCAGGGCGAGCGGGAAAACAAGTAAGGAGACACGAGTGCGAACAGGGAGACAAGCAGAGAGACAGATGAAGAGACAGGCCGCGATCAGGTCCGAGCCAGCAAGCACCAGCAAAGAAACAACTGGGGAGACAAATGGAGAGACAAACCGTGATGGGGAGACAAGCCATGTCAAGGTCTGAGTCACCATTCGTCACCAAGCATTGCAAAGCGCAGCAAGGAGACAAGTAGGGACCGGGGGCGTACCAGAAGCAAGCCTTTTCGTGAGAGGAGCAGCTTTTCGCACCCCAACAGCGCAGAACAGACATTCAAGCGCGCAAACTGTTTGTGGGAGGCAATTTCGGGAGGCCAGCCATCCTTGGTTTTTTTGGCTACCTTCTGCAAACGCTGCTTTCCACACATCAACTCTAGTCGTTTGCTAGCTGGGTTGTTCCGTGCAGCGAGGGGTTGAAGCTGGGCACACAGTCCAGTCAAGCCCCCCCGGTCCCAACCCAAACCTCATGCGGGCCCCTGTGCCATCCCTTGTCAATTGGCTTTTCTTCCTGCTGGGGGGGTGAATAGACCTCGTCGCGTGAGGTTCAGTTCATTACCAATATCTACGACATCCTGCAGACTTTCAAGATTCTCTTGAAGATGGTCTCAGGTTTGCCCATAGTTGGTGTTCTGGCCAAGGTTCTGGACAAGCCTGTGGTTTATCTTATGAAGTTCATGGACAGGGAGCTGATTCCCGTCCGAGATAGGCTGAGAGATAACTTCCACCCAAAGTTCGAGCTGGCCTGCGAGTTCCAGAAGACGGTGGTCACCAGGGTCGGCTACGCCATCGAAGCCATTCGGGTTTTGAAGCTTCAAGCCTTTCCCGCCAACAAGGCTGCGGGCCTGGTGGGCGAGGCGATGAACGTTTGCGCTTGGCTACCGCCTGTGGCCCTGCTCGCAGACGGAGCGCTGACCAGCGTGGCCTCTCTGGACAGCTTGGCGGGCGCAAGCACGGACTTGGTGAGGGACATGGTTTCCTGGGTGGAGACCTTAATCCCGACCTCCGCCCTCAAGAAGATGGAGTCTAGCAACCAGATAATGAACGTCATCCTGCTTCCTGTGCGGAAGACCGAAGCGACCCTGTCCACGGTGTACAAAGTGTGCATCCCTGCAGCCGCTGGGTGCTGAAGAAGCATTTGTTTAGCACAAATCACCTAGAGATGTTTTTTGTTTTGGATACCCCATGTACCACCAGGGTGTCATTTGAAACCCACACTTTCGGAGCAATAAATGTCAAAACGATGCAGAGCTTCTCAGGTGAAGTGCTGGAAGTTTACACTTCTGGGCCTGCTGAAAGCCCTGAGCAACTTCCTGGAGAAGATCTTCAATTTCGCGTTGAAGCCCTTCCAGCCCATCGTGGAGGCCAGTATGGGTGGGGGATGGTTCCTGTGGGTGCCCCCATCTGGGACAGACGGTGTTCGTTCATTTTCCGCATATTTGAGGTGCGGTCAAGTTGCGTGGAAGAAAATTTAGGCAATTGGGAACAAAACCAAGACCATATTCGATGGGGAAGATAAACAATCTCCATCAGCAATTCGGAATTTGAACTAGCCAACCCACGTTGGCGGTGGTGTTTTGGCTAAACACCCAACCACTCCCATTGAACCAGTCATGTGATATCCATCCATGTGTTATATGTCCAATGGCTGCAGAAATGGACGCCTTAGGTGAACCAAAGGGAATCCATTGACCGAGGCGGCTGTGGCGCCGGTGAGGAGGACGCTGGAGAAGGCCTTCAGCAGTCTCCTGCCGCCCCTGCAGATCCCCTTTCCGGAGTTCTCCGGATTGTTCGAGGAATGGGAGAGCGCGCTAAAGCGATCAGTTTTTTTGCCAGGAAAATCGGTGAAAATTGCGACTTGTAGAGGAATCTCAGTTTGAACCCGACGGGTTCTTGGGCGAGCAATAGCCAGAGGTAACACGGACAGTTCCCCAGGACGAGCCTAGCTTGATGGACTTGGTGCGGAATGCCTTCAGGACAGACACGGATCAAACTTTCAGCGGTCAGATCGAGAAGGCCATGCAATTGACCAAGAAGCAGGCTAGCTACTGCTATTCCTACGGTACAGAGCTCCCTGCAGCCGAGGGAATTTGCAATGACATCTCTGCGAAGTACGGGGCTGTCAGAAATCCTTTCGAGCGCCTGGAGACGTTCAGAAATTGTGTTTTTGTTGTATTGTTTGACCCGCTTGTCAAGAAACACCCTCAAATTGCAGCATCAGACCATGGGCCCAAGAACGTTTGAGGTGCCAACAGCTCTGCCAGAGCGCTTGCTCTCGGTGCGTCCGCTGGTCCTTCGTGACCACTGATGCTGCTGTGGGAGCTGGCGTTTGTCGCTTCACCAGAAGCAACGCTTACTATGAGGTCAAGAGCCCGACGTCTGTCAGTGGGCCCAAAACATGTGGCGATGTGACCAAGTATCAGCCGGACACTTTCGTGCAGCATGTGGAAAGCCGCTTATGCAAGGACATGGGCGCATTCCCCGAAATCAAAGGGGCAGAAGCCTGCAAGAAGGCTTGCTTCGTTGACGGAGGCGCCGAGGGCTTGTGCTGCGTCTGCTTGCACGCCATCATGACGTTTGCCAGTTTTCCTGTATGCGACTAAGGGGTGATCCACAATTTGTTTAAGATTTTGAACCCATCGATTGGAATTTTGGTGCGAGACCAGGCACACAAGTCAAACATGGGCCGTCACAAGGAAAGCGCAGCGCAAGTTGCCCCCAATTCCGTCAAGACAACTCATTTGCCCGCAACCACTCGCTTGCAGGCGCAACACCTTCTTTTTCCCGTTGCACGCCACACGTTTGCCGCCAGAAGAAGACCGCGCCGTGTTGAGCACAAAAGAAACTTTGCGCAGTCCCGTACAGCCCCCAAATGCCCAGTTGCGCTGCACCCCCTGGCTGGTACCTTTGCGCACGCGTGAGAGACTCGGACGTTGGGCTTGGGGCAACAGTTGTGTGAAGCCTATGGCAATGTTGCGCATTTGTTCGGCGCTCGAGTTACTGGGTTGGATCCTAGTGGACTGGATAAATACAGCGGTATCGATTTTGGAGGCTACACACTGTTTTTTTGAAACGGAAACCAAAAAGAGACCACCCATGCTTGGGGACCACCGGAAACCAATCCAAATCCTGTCAGATTGCCAAGTCGTGCAAATGTCCGGCGGCATGTGCTACGTTGGCGCGGGCAAGAAGGGTTGCAGCCGGGGCCCGACCAGCATGTCACTTCACAAGACGAGAACCGCGGCTTGGCACCAATCGTGAGCCCTAGGTTTCGGCTTTCGACCAACCTCAGGGGTGATGCATTGGGTTTCAAGTCCTTTGGGCCGAGCTCAGTGTTCATCAACTCGGACCCCGTGAGACTGGCAAACACACAGGCCTTTTCTGACGCGACAGTCTCTGTGTTCCAATTGAACATGGAAGGCTTGCCCTCGTAGTTAAACTCGGTTAAGCCAGTCGACCCAATGCGAGGCCAAAGAAGCGCTGCAAACAAGGCGCGGGCATGCTGTCAACGTGTGTGGCAGTCGCGGTTTTTGTACGGCCCTGAGGTGCAACGCTGCTACTGGTGTGCAGAGGGCTGCCGAAAGACTGAGGGCAACATGCCCACGTTCTGTGCAGGAGTGCGCTTCCATTTTCACGGATCTGGTCTTTACATGTACCAGATGTGGGAAACGAATCAAGCCCTTGCTGTTGGATGTGTCGACCAGAAAGGTTTTGACGCCCTCCCCTTAAGCTTCCAACTGTACCAGGGACAGACCCACAATACTTAATACTTTAGAAATCCAGGGTTCTAGGGGTTGCTTCCCCATTCTTGTCTACCATCGCTCTTTTCAAAATCCGGCCGTTTTCCCTTTCCGGAGGTTTTCTAGAAAGATTTGGATCTCTGGAAGGAACGGACATGGAAGGTACGCTTCTCAAGGGTTCCTTTTAAGGACATTGAGCGCCCTTGGTTTGGGGTCGGGTGGTTTGGTCAGTGGAGCCTAGCCGTCCAGGACTGTGATGCCTGGGCTTTGGAGGAGGCCACCAAGGAGGTGCAGGGGGCGGGCTCTCAGGCGGTCCAGGACGCTGGGTGTCCGAAAGTGGCGGCTTGGATTTGGTGGGGTACGCCAAAACCCCTGGTGGCGTTCAACATAAAACCATGACACTGCAATTCAGGTTGGTGTCCTCAGACTTCACACATTCTTTGGGTGAAACATGTGAAAGTTAGGCTACGGGTTTGTCTTAAAACTGGGAAGAACCCAAAAGCGTTGGTCTTTACCCAAAGGGGCTACCTCAAAGAAAGTTAGGTTGCACGGGCGTGTCTTTTCGTTGATGGATTGGCCCTATGTTGGTGGCTGTGTTTAAAGGGAAGGCTAAGCAAACTGAATCCTTGGGCTTTGCTCAAGGAAGCCAGAGAATCTACCCGGATGTTTCCCAAGTTTTGGACCAGCACTCGTCTTGGAGGCATCAAACCCCTTAGGTTTCAACGATTGCCCAAGAAAACCAACCCTCCAGGGTAAGCCCTTGGCAAAAAATAATCAAGATCTGGAAAGCTACCCTCCCAACGTGGAACCTCACAGAAGGCGGAGCAGAGTTTTTCACGCGACACCCTCAGGTTCCGTGTGGGTGGGCAAACTGCATTCCTTGAGGCCGGATATGGCCCGATTTTTTGGAAGGATTCTCCACTGTAGAACATGTGATTCAAGAACGTGTCAAGTTGGGAAAGCAGCTAGATGTAACCCATGTTGTACTTCAGAGCAACTATTCATTCAGTCCAGTGAGGGGGAATGCTAGGCGAAACATGTTGATCAGGGTCCTGTTCAGTTGTTCTGGAACCCGCAGGAAGTCATGGAGTTGACCAGCACCTCCTATCAGAAGTTCACGTGCGAGTTGCTAGAGCTCGACGTTGACTGCCCCGACGTGAACAAGGGCGACAAGGTGGACAGCTTCGACAAGTGCAAGGAAGGAGCAGAGTTCGTATTCAAAGAGTCAGAGGAAGAGATCAAGAAGCAGATTGATGCAGAGGTACAAGAGCAGCTTGCAGCTTGTCGCCGGGAAGCTCACGAGTCGCTGAAACCATTGTGCCCCGTATTCTCCTGGCGCGGAATAAAGCGAGAGAAGAACAAGAAGGTCCCTCCCAAGTTCAAGAACCAATACTGCCTTTTGCGTCAGAAGATTCAAGCGAGCGCGGCCTACTGCGACTATTTGATCAAGACCCACGGCAGCTTTGGAGGCAAGACTTCCACGACTCTGGCTGCGGAAGTCCGAGCCTCCTTCGTGCCGACGGAGTCTTGTGCCAAGGCATCGGGGGATCAATTCCTTTGCGAGATGAAGTTCCTCAACGAGGGGGGTGGGGAAACGAAGCAGATGGACCTCACAAATCAGATCCAGCTGCAGAACATGTATCAAGCCAAGCAATTCGACAACCTCGCGGCTGAGACGCAGAAGGTCAAGCAGGAACTGGCAGGCATCCAGACCCAAATGGATGAAGGCTTCTCCAAGACACGCGAGCAGCTGTTCAGCATGGACAAGGCTGCTGCCAATCGAACTGAGGAGCAGACAAGGCAAATCTTTGAGAAGCTTGAGTCGTCGCAGAAGGAGCAGAACGCGCGGATGGCGTACATGATGCAGGCGGCGCAGTGCGACAGCAAGCTCCAGACCAAAGAGCTGAAGGCGGGCGCATGAACCTCGCTCGTTGCCTTTCCCCATTCCCCAGCCACCCAAAGGCCAGGTTTTGGAGAAACACCTGGAAGACAGGACTTCATGACCAGCGGCCTGAACAACCTCCAGTCAGCGGTTTTGAGCGGAACTGGGCAGCAGATTGATGAAGCCACTTCGAAGATCAAGGCTCGGGGAATGCGATCTAGACATTGCCAAGGCTGAGGCCTTTTTGAGGTGTGTAGTTTGAAGGCGAGCTCACGGGTTTGCGGGCTCACTCGCCGAATTTGAGACAAGAGCTCAGACAGATTTGTCTTTGGGAGTTTCCTGGCATACATTAGGCGCTCAGATTGGTTTCGGGCAGCTGAACATGTTCTTAGGTCTGTTTAAGGCGTGGAATCTGAGAGGATGCAGTGGCCAACAGCCAACGGGCGGTCCAGAAGCAGATGAAGGAGAGCTTCACCGATCTCAAGGACACAGCCTGGAAACCCAGCAAGCCTGCCATTTTCAGGGATGGGGTTTATTTCCCCAGTTGAAGACAGATCCCGAGTGGCTTTCATGAGTGGTGTGGGTGGGAAGGATGCGAGGCCGCGAGTCTTGGCGATTGTTCCTTTGACAAACCGGCGGTCAAAGCGCGCTTCAGCTGACCTTGCGAGGTCACCGAAGGTTTTGATCAAGTGCAGAACAAGCTGGATGCCAACCGCAAAGCCATCCAAAAGCAGATGACTGACCGCTTCAACGCGGTTGACCAGAAACTGGTGCATGTGCAAGGACCACAAATTGGGGGTGTCAATGAACATGCTGGTTTGAGGTGCTTACATAGATGTTCAACATTGTTGTACCTGGATCCAATTGCAAACAGTCCCATGTCTTCCGTTCATGTGCGGCACGGCATCCGGTGGATCTTGCTGTCACAAGCTCTCAGCTTCCGTCAGGACAGCTGGATTCCGCGCTGAAAGGTATCGAAACCGTGGACAACAGGAGAGCTGGGGCAAAGTGCGAAGTCGGTGGAGTGTTCCCTCAGCTTTCAAATTGGAGGGGTATTTATTTTAGGTGTGTGTTTTTTTTTCTCGCTTTTGGCTTCTTGGCTTTTTGGCTTCTTGGCTTCTTGGCTTCTCGGCTTTTGGTGGCTTTTTGGCTTTGACTTTTCGCATCCTCTGCATTCCCAGTTCCTCTTCGGCAGGTGGCGTTTTGGCTTTTGCGGCTTTTCGCTGGTTTATGCGGCTTTTTCGCATCCTCTGCTTTCCCAGTTCCTCTCCAGCCTTTTTGGCTTTTGCACCCTTTCATTGGCCCGCATCATCAGCATCACCAGTTCCTCCCTATTTGAATCAACGCACCCCCCCACTTTTTCGAGCGTCCAATTTCGCGAGAAAATGCGGCAAAAAATACGATATTTTAGGTAATCTGCATAGTCCATGTATATCTGTATATACATATATACATATATTTATACACTTCTTCAAACATCATAAGGGAAACCACCCTCGCCAACCCTCCCGCTGCCTTTGAAATTCTATCGCACCCTTTCTTGAATCATTGCACCCCTACTTGAATCATCACTTCTTCCGACATCATGTGGAGGGCTGCCACCCCCCAAACCCCCCGCTACTTTTTGGACTTTTTGCAGAGATTTAATTGCACCCCTATTCGAATCATCACTTCTGCGAACATCATGGGGGGGCTGCCGCCCCCCCCCAGCCCCCCCGCTACTTGTTTCTTTTTAACAGGGATTGAAATGCCCTCCTATTTGAATCATCATTTGTTTGACCCCGTCAACCCGCCAGCTACTTTGTTGATTTTGTTACCCACCATTTGTTGGTGATGCTAAGGATGTTGGCCGGACATGCGGGGGATGTTGAAAACAATGCTGGGGATGTTGACGGGCCAGTGTAAAATGCGTCAATTTCGCGAGAAAATTCTGTAAAATACGACATTTTACTGGCCCGGACAAAAAACGAGAAACAAAAAAACAACCCCAAAATAAGTCCGCACCCTTTCAAATTTCACTAAACCCGTGTCCCCAGACCCTGCAGATCCAATTGCACGATGAATCCAAAAAAGTGGGCGTTTTTGTTTAGTTTCCCGTCCATCACAACCCAAAGCTCCCAATCCCAAAAAAGCAAGAGTGTGCTTGCAAACGGCCCCCCATTGCAAGACCCGTTTGGTGGTTCACAATGGGGAATCCATTTTGCAATCTTTAAAGGTGGGGGTTCAGATTTTCCCGATACAGCTCCAACCGGAGTTCCTTGGGGCCCAGAATGGCGCAACGCTTCCCTTTTTGACGCCAGAAAAGAGTGCTGCCTCAAAAGAAGACAGCCACAAAGTAAACCACCAAAAAGAGTTTGTTTACCTGGAGCCTCCGTGACCCTTTAAAAAATGGCGTCATTGCCCCGTTTTTTAAGGGTCATGGAGACTCCAGGTAGCCCATGCGTGAGGATCAAAGATTTGGCGCGGCAGAGCAGCCGGCAGTTCCAGGAGCTCCACCAAGGCCAGCAGCGCCAGATGAACGCCCTCTTGGCGATTGTCCAGAAGCTGGAGGTGTGGCCCAAGGGATCCGACCCCATGGCAAAACCGCGTTCCTTTGGGTTGTGTTTTTTTCAAGTTGGACCCTAAATCGGTGAGGTGTTCCTTTGGGTTTGTCAAAAAAAGATGGACGAAAGCAAACGGGTACCAAGATGTCAAATGGAAGCCGACATAGGAAGCCTTTTGAGTGCGTCGAGCCCATTTGGGTACTCTTCCTAAATGGCAACGGTTTCCACTTAACCCAACGGGGGTGCCCCCAAGCAAAGTCACCCCCAAATGTCGAACAGGGTGTTGGAGTTGCTACCCTTTTTGGGGGGTTGTGCGTGACCTGGGAGATGTTTCCGTGACAATCAATGCCGAAGGTGGTCCCACGACAGGAGATTCCTCAACTCATTGCTTTTTGCGGTTTTCCTGATAGCTTCGGTGAACTGGTGGGTGATTGGCTTGGTTGAAAGGATCAAGCAAGCAGTTCAGAAGGCCGGTTTGAAGGGTTCGTCTCAAAGGGTGTCTCAAAATATGGTGAACCAGTGGTTGTGTTTGTCCTGTCCCAATGCATTCTCTTCCATCGTGTGAGACCAGGTCATTGAGGACAAGATCGACGACATACCCGCAGCTATCAGGGAGTCCCGATTTCAGGACCTTTCGAGACTCGAGAAAGAATCTACTCAGCCGTGGTCTGAGACAGAGACAAAAAGGCTGAAGAATCTCCAAAGGTGGTTCAGACTTTCTTTCCCATCACAAGGCAATGTACCCAGCATGATGTTTGGAGTACTGCAGAGTGTCTTGGGTTAGTTACCAAATCAAAAGCTGGCTTTTTGCACGGGGGTCCTGCCCCACACAGCGAGTCCCCATGCGCAAGCAGAGTCACCCAGCGACATTACTGTAACATTCATGTGCAGGAGAAGAACCTCATCCAAGTCCATGCAATCACTTGTGTTTGCAACATGTATAGATCGTCAGCTGTTGCCTGCAACAAACGGATGCAACAAACGGTGGCCCGTTTTTGAGACCGGCAAGGCATCGGCGCGGTGCACGCACCGGTTTGGAAGGTGTACGGGGGGATCAGATTTCTAGAATTTTCATAGGACCGACATGTTCACATGTTGCACATTGAACCAGACACGGAACCATCGCTGGCCTCCCTCAGGCCAATGGGAGAGTTCCAGCTCGCCAGGACTTCATCTATCAGTTCAAGAGCCTGACCGTGTCGATGGAGAATTTGCTTCAGCAGTTCCAGGCGCAAGTTTGTGAGCCAGTCATACGCTGGATATATATATATATATATACTTTAGAGCCTCCGGCTCAGTCCGCCGACATTGTCCTCTCCCTTTTCTCCTTCCTCCTCTCTCCTTTGTCTCCCTTGTGTGTTCTGTTGTCCTCTCTCCCTCCCCACCCCCCCCAAGCCTCTCTCTCCCCAATCTCCCTCTCTCGTATGTATGTATGCATGTACATATGTATGTATGCATGTTTGTATGTAATGTAAGTAAGTAAGTAAGTATGTATGCATGCATGTATGTATGTATGTATGTATGTATGTATGTATGTATGTATGTATGTATGTATGTATGTATGTATGTATGTATGTATGTATGTATGTATGTATGTATGTATGTATGTATGTATGTATGTATGTATGTATGTATGTATGTATGTATGTATGTATGTATGTATGTATGTATGTATGTATGTAATGTAATGTAATGTAATGTAATGTATGTATGTATGTATGTATGTATGTAATGTAATGTAATGTAATGTAATGTAATGTAATGTAATGTAATGTAATGTAATGTAATGTAATGTAATGTATGTATGTATGTATGTATGTATGTAATGTATGTATGTATGTATGTATGTAATGTATGTATGTATGTATGTATGTATGTATGTATGTATGTATGTATGTATGTATGTATGTATGTATGTATGTATGTATGTATGTATGTATGTATGTATGTAATGTATGTGTATGTATGTATGTATGTATGTATGTATGTATGTATGTATGTATGTATGTATGTATGTATGTATGTATGTATGTATGTAATGTATGTATGTATGTATGTATGTATGTATGTATGTATGTATGTATGTATGTATGTATGTATGTATGTATGTATGTATGTATGTATGTATGTATGTATGTATGTATGTATGTATGTATGTATGTATGTATGTATGTATGTATGTATGTAATGTATGTATGTATGTATGTAATGTAATGTAATGTAATGTAATGTATGTCATGTATGTATCCTTGCACTTCCCCTTTGCTCCCCAGTATTTTCCGCAAAAAGCACGGTTTTCCTGCGTTTTCGCAAAGAGGACGACCAAAAACATTGAGTTTTTCCAGATTTTCGGCAAAAGGATGCAAGAAGCCCAAGCCAGCCAAAAAGCCGGCAGGGGGAATCGAGCCTGGGACCCCTGTTTTGCGACAGGCTCCCCGAAGACTACGTTTAGTGGAACGTCATCAAATTGCCGCGCGGTACGCGGGGGAGGGGGGTGGCGACCGAAAAACCATGCGTATTTGACGTGTCCCGGGGGGGACTAAGGGGGGGGTTATCCTCTATCCTCTCTTAGGTATCCAATAGTCCTCTCTTAGGTATCCGACACGCCGAACAATGTCGGCGGATATATATATATATATATAACCAATAGAAAGCAAGTAAACAGACCACAACCAGCCTGTCAAATTGATGAGATCTTGACTTCTGCTTGATTGCATTTGCTTGACTAACGCGCGGGCCCACCTTGGGGCCGATCTGACAATCTGACGCCAAAGTTGGCTGCGCGAGAAAGGCGGCGCTTGGAATTGCCGTGAGGCAACCCCATCCCCAAGCGGGTCCCAACATCGCCAAAGCGCAGAAACGAACTGACGGCGCCTTTGTTCAAGCTGCTCCTTGGTATGCGGCCCGGACCAAAGTTCAACCAGCATGCTCTAGGACGCAGTAGGCATCATACAAACCGTGATCGTTAGAAGGTTGGTACGACAATGGGCAAGTCGATGGTCCCGCGACAATCAAATTACGCAGAGTTTCCAAGTCAATCGCCATCCACTTGAGGCGCCAAAGTTCGGTGGATAGGAACAATCGTACGGACAAATTTGCATCCGGTCACGGTGCCCTATCCGATCCGCCAGCATAAAAGTGAACCAGTTCTTCCACCAGCCTGCGTTTCCTGTGTTGATCTGATCCCAGTAGTAGCATCTCGAGTTCTACTCGTGAGGGTTACTTGTTGGCTCTGCCAGCATCACTGCCATCGGCGAACACATTTGATCAAAGCCAGACTCACTATTTCTGGTACGAATCAAAGATCAGAAGCCAAACTTGTTTTGTGGGTTGGTTGAACAAAAACCAGTCGTGAGCACACGCGCCTGAGCCGGTGTTTTTCTCATTCGGTTGACGGCTGCAGATATCAACACGTGGGTCGCATTATTATGTGTCACATGAAAGATGGCAAACCACCAGCTGGTGTTTGCTTTGTAGGCACCAAAACAAACATTTGGCGTTTCGTTTCACAAGCTTGGCAAAGCCTCCCAACAATGCCCTAAAGGCTTGTTTTACTACCCCATTTTCTTAGAGACCCCCGTTGGGAGAGTTCCTTAATTATTGTGAGACACGAGGTAAATGGCCCTTCAAGCAACGTTGTCGCTTGGGATGCGCTAAACGCGGTCGATTCGGAAGCAAGCGCTTTGTGCACCAACAGAAAAGCGTGCCGGCTACAGACCCACCTGGAGCTTCCAGTCCAAGTTCAAGCCTGCCCCGAGGGCCTCGAGTTTAATTTGGTGTATGCGGCGTCTTGACGTTCGAGCTAACCCATGTTTTGAGGTCGGCTTTCAGCTGGACACCAGAAGCCGTCCTGTTTCATCCCATTTGCCGTCGAAATCCTCCGATTCATTTCCCTGCCTTCAACTGTTCGCCACGTGCGTGTTCCAACTCACAGGACTTCTCGGACCTGCGGCGCGGGGACATCACGAACCTGCAGGCAGCTCAGGCGGCGTACCGCTCCTGCAGTGGCCAGCTGGATGATGTGCCACTTGGCTCCGTTGCTCTTCAGGTTGGAGCACGTCCAAGTACAAAACCCTGGCATGTTGCAAGCTGCAAAAAAATACCCTGTTTCCTACTTGCAATGTGTGCAATGTGTGGGGCAGCCGATGCCATTGCCATTGCCATCCGGACCTCCCTCCGAGTCCGTCGCTTTTCCGAAGGGGCTGGGGTCCTTTGCTTTTGGGAATGCGTGAACCACAGGTTCTTGCGCCTTGCCAAAAAAGGGGCTTCGAGGCTCTTGGCAACAAGGGCCGTGAAGCAGTCCTCGGCCGAAGCGATGAAGATGCTCCGCACGACTTACAACGAGGCCGGCTGAATGGGTTTGTTTGGTGACCACCAGCAGCCAATCAATCACAGGAAAACGTTACACAGGCCCATCGGCGGTTTTTCTTGGGTGCCCGGTTACCAAAAGCCTTTTCAGAGAGCGCAATTAAAGGACCGGATAACCCCACATGCTATGTTTTTGCCAAGGATGTGAGTTCAAATGTCCACACACATGTACCGTGCGCCGCTTGTATGGATGCGATTACAGAGCAGGTCTAGCGCGCTCTTTTCATCGCAGGCGTTGCTAACCTACTGCAGCCCGAGCCGCTAATCAACAAAACAAAGCAAGTTCGAGACATTCTCGAACTTAGTCCATCTTGTTAGATTATTGGCTGCGCCGCACGTGCATCTCAGGAGGTCATCTTGCAGCTCAGCATCGGAGAAGATCTGGACACTTTCCCAAAGAGAAATAGCACTGTGGTATCCGTTGGACGATGAAGTCAAGCTTTTTCAGTCAGATGTCCATCTCAAGGCTTCTCCGCGGGGAACCTGCAGGGCCTGCCTTCCTGAAAGGTTCCAATGAAGGTGCGCGCTGCGGCTGGAATGTCGACAGAACGCGGACCGCTCCGCCTACATTGTGAATCCATCAGCAGCGCCGAGGGCTTGGCAGGGCAGCCGTGGAGCAGCTTATCCAACTTGGAGCAGCTCATCCACGACTTCGGCAATGGCATCTCCACACCCAGATGCACAGAATGCAGCGCCTGCCACGACTTCGGCAACGGCATCGCCAAAGTGCTGCGCCTGCCACGATTTCGCACGCCCCCCGCCGCGCGCGCTGCGCCTGCCACGATTTCGCACGCCCCCCGCCGCGCGCGCGACAACATCCTGTCCCGTTAGACAGCTGCCGAACGCTGCGCCTGCCACGATTTCGCACGCCCCCCGCCGCGCGCGCGACAACATCCTGTCCTTTTAGACAGCTGCCAAATGCTGCCCCTGCCACACAAACACACACCCAGATGCACAGAATGCTGCGCCTGCCACGACTTCGGCAACGGCATCGCCAAAGTGCTGCGCCTGCCACGATTTCGCACGCCCCCCGCCGACAACATCCTGTCCCGTTAGACAGCTGCCGAACGCTGCGCCTGCCACGATTTCGCACGCCCCCCGCCGCGCGCGCGACAACATTTTGTCCTTTTAGACAGCTGCCAAATGCTGCCCCTGCCACACAAACACACACCCAGATGCACAGAATGCTGCGCCTGCCACGACTTCGGCAACGGCATCGCCAAAGTGCTGCGCCTGCCACGATTTCGCACGCCCCCCGCCGCGCGCGCGCCAACATCCTGTCCCTTTAGACAGCCGCAAATTTCTGCCCCTGCCACACAAACACACACCCAGATGCACAGAATGCTGCGCCTGCCACGACTTCGGCAACGGCATCGCCAAAGTGCTGCGCCTGCCACGATTTCGCAACGGCATCGCCAAAGTGCTGCGCCTGCCACGATTTCGCACGCCCCCCGCCGCGCGCGCGACAACATCCTGTCCCTCTAGACAGCTGCCGAATGCGACCCCTGCCACACAAACACACACCCAGATGCACAGAATGCTGCGCCTGCCACGACTTCGGCAACGGCATCGCCAAAGTGCTGCGCCTGCCACGATTTCGCAACGGCATCGCCAAAGTGCTGCGCCTGCCACGATTTCGCACACCCCCCGCCGCGCGCGCGACAACATCCTGTCCCTCTAGACAGCTGCCGAATGCGACCCCTGCCACACAAACACACACCCAGATGCACAGAATGCTGCGCCTGCCACGACTTCGGCAACGGCATGCGCTGCTTTCCGCAACGGCATCGCCAAAGTGCTGCTGCCACGATTTCGCACACCCCCCGCCGCGCGCGCGACAACATCCTGTCCCTCTAGACAGCTGCCGAATGCGACCCCTGCCACACAAACACACACCCAGATGCACAGAATGCTGCGCCTGCCACGACTTCGGCAACGGCATCGCCAAAGTGCTGCGCCTGCCACGATTTCGCAACGGCATCGCCAAAGCTGCCTGCCACGATTTCGCACACCCCCCCCGCGCGCGCGACAACAATCCTGTCCCTCCTGTGAGTGAGTGAGTGAGCGAGTGAGTGAGTGAGTGAGTGAGTGAGAGTGAGTGAGTGAGGTGTGTGAGTGAGTGAGTGTGAGTGAGTGAGAGTGAGTGTGAGTGAGTGTGTGTGAGTGAGTGAGAGTGAGTGAGTGAGAGTGTGTGTGAGTGAGTGTGTGTGAGTGAGTGTGAGTGAGTGAGTGAGTGAGTGAGTGAGTGTGAGAGAGAGTGAGAGTGAGTGAGTGAGTGAGCGAGAGTGAGTGAGTGAGTGAGACGGAGACGAGCGGGAGGAGGAGGAGGAGGAGACGCGCGCGCGACGACGAGCGGAAAAAGTAAGAACCCCACACAAAGATGTGGGGAAAAAACAGAAGCACCTGAGCAGTGGCCTTTTTGTAACGGGCTGCGATGGGTTCGCGGCGTAGGTCGGAGTTGCTGACCTTGCAGGTGGTTCAGCGGTTTGGGCAAGTAGCCATCCTGGCCGTGGACGCCGGCTTCTCCAAAATGCACTTTGAAGCTTTGGCGGAGCAGATCGCCGAAGACTTGCTGGCCAACAAGTCCCAACTGGAGCTCTTTCTGGCCCAGGCAGGGTTCGGGGATTCCTGACTTCTTGGCGGTGCTGTTCCGGTCTTAATAGGAGTTTTATAGGACGTGGATTAGCTTCCAAATGGCTTGATATTTCTGCCATGCACAATCCCCCAAGTGGAGACGTCCCAGTACTTGGACCGCCAGGAGAGCTTGCAGAGTGTCATCGTGGCAGATCAGGATGCCGCTCCGGCTTGAAAGCTGAGAGCGTTCCTCATTTGACCAAGAAGTGGCGCTTGACGGTACCATACCGTAAGTGAAAGAGTTCCAAGATCAGGGAACCCTTCTTCATGTTTGCATTGGGGGCCGGTGTTGGGCTTAGTTTTGAGAAGCAGACACGCTTGGACTCTGATAAAGCACAAACGCAACATGAGTCAGTGCCCACGCCGATCTGCACCATCTGAAGTCTTGGTGTTTTGGGCTTGGTCGGGATGGTCATTGTGGGGAGTATTGAGGTGCACCATGAGCCCAAGTTTTGATAGCCGTTGTTTGTTCCACGCACCGCGCTCAGGTTTTGTATGGCAAGGAGTTGCAGGCAAAGTGCTCCGAAGTCTGCGTACCCCAGAGCCTTGCCAGCCGTTTTCGACGCCCCCCCTCTGCACGTAGGTATGAGTTGCAGGTTTCAGCGGATAACGGTGCACCTTAGCCTGAGGGGCTCAACTGACATTTCTCAGCTGCATCTCTGAGGGTTGGCACGACACTTTTGCGTGTCAAGATTGTGGATCCCCCAGACGAATGCTTTGCCTTTCGTTCAGCGTAGAACAACGGTACCCTCCAAGAAAAGCACAGGCCTTTGAATAGTTGCTTCGATCCCCAGCTCGGGATCAAACAGCTTGCATTAATTGGTACACCTTGATGTCACTCATGTGCACCAGTAAGTGATTGCTTTCCAACCCAAGTTTCTGACAGACATTCTGGGGGGAGTCCCGTCAGCTCCCAGGAAAGTCAGCAAGCTCGAGCCATGCACGTGTCGCCCAGCTTAAACAGCGCCGATCAGTCGAACCAGCGGGATCGCATATCGGTGTTTTGTTTTCCCGGATGCGCAGAATGGTTCCCTTTAAAATTTTGGGCTGGCGCAGTGTGTTGAAGGGTTGCACGGCTGCCTTGCCGTCCATTGCGATTTGCGTTTCTGGGGTTGTCGTTTGGAGGTATTTGCTGGGCAGGCGCGTGCAAGGATTGCTCGAGTGTCATTTTGTTGGCCCTGCCGTGCAATCTGCGGGTGTGTCAACATCGGTCGGAATCACTCTAACGCCGCAATGCCCCGCTAGTTTTCAGTATGTGTTGCGGACGGAGCAAGACTGGATGGAGTGCCTTTGGTCATGTTTTTGGGGGTTGTAAATGGGCGTCGTGCTAAAACCCATGTATTTGGTTTAGTATTCTGAATTCCCAGGCTTATATGGCATGAGGTTCCCACTGTGTGCTCGGAAGAGAGGCGGAGTGGCGGCGGAAGAGATGCGTAAGGGCCGAAAACCGAAAACCGAACACCTTGACCTAAAACCAGTGATAGCTTGCGTGCAGATAAACAATGGGCGCGAAAGTGCGCGGAAGGTTCGCGGAAGGGCGGCGGGAGGGGATTTGTCAAGAGAAGCAATTTGGCACAACCCCCAAATTTGTTTGCATCCGGGTTCGTGGCCTCTGAGACTGTTTTGTCTGTCGGCCCTTTTCAGCAGGGGGATAGTTTGGGTTTGTGTCAAAGTGATTTGTTTTATGTGGGAAAGCCAAGGAACGAGTTTGCCCGTTTGGTAGCCCCGCGTTAGGCTCTGACGGCCGGCGGCCCCTGCAGAGGGTGGCCGCCAAGTACCTCTTCACTCCCGCGGCAGCCACGATGCTCTTGGAGTGGACACAGCAGGCCCTGGACGACGTCCCCCTCAAGTATTCCATCGTCCTCAAGGAGCTTTCATAATGTGAAGGTGATGTTTTTGACACACAAGGCATGGCATAGTTTCCTACACCCTCTTTGGCTTACACGGCCTGGCCAGCAATGTGAAGGTGACATGCGACAGAACAAACATGTGCACATATGTGCACATACCCCCTGTTGGTAGTTTGGATTCGCGATTTGGGGTTTGACCCCCTGAGTCTTAGCGCGAACAATTGGGAAAGCGCCTCGTAACCTCCAAGACTTGAATCCAAACCGCTTATTAGGAACAAGCCATGTGCCCTTCCGCGAAACCTTCCGCAACCTTCCGCCCTCCACAGCTAGCTTTCCGTAGCAGCTACCCTGTTCAAGATGTTTTCGGCAGGGGTTCCGCAGACTTTGTTTGCGCAACACCTCCGCAATACTTTCACGCCCACAACTTTGGACACTTTGCGATGGTTTGGCTTGAGGGTCACCGTGGCTGTTGGCTTGGGTGCATTGCTCTTGGCAATGAGAGCCAGTCGCATAGATTGGGCTAGATTCCGCAGATTTTCTGTGGAGCTTTTTCAAAAAAGATGGATTTAGCATGTTCTGACCGTCCGAGAAGCAAAGAATAGGTTTCTAGATCCCAGTGTGCTGCCTGTTGGACCACTGCCAACTTAATAACAAGTGGCCACATGCACAGATAGGATCAAGATGGATCAAGCACGCCCGCAACGCAGACAAACAAGCAAGCCTTTACTCAAGTCAACAGATGACTATGCCAGAGAGCAAGCCATGCGGGACCACTTTTTGCAGCAGATCCTCCCACGGTCTTTCTCGACTACAACCGGTACCACTTTCTTTCTTTCTTTCGCTAGCGTTGAGAAATCCTGCATAGTCGGGCCCCATACGTGCCTTCCACTGGGCAGCGCGATGACAAGACTCAAAGGCACTGGTGAGGAGCTAACTGTCCTCCTCTTGCTTTGCTCTTTGAGCAGGCAACTCACCAGTGCACATCCGGAAAAGCGCCTTATTCGAGCGCGCCGGATATTCTTTGGCTCTGGCTGTTTTCAGTAGATCCAATGTGCGATTCGCACGGTTCTGCGGGATGCTCCACAATGGCAATCATCCCAGTGGCAACGGCAATCGCACAACAGCAGCGCTGTCTGAAGTAGTCATAAGTAGTCTGTTGGATAACTGGAGATGCCAAAGTTTTCGTAGGCGTAAGTGACAAAGACCCCACGGCTCTTGTGGTCTTGGAATCAGATCTCGATTAACAGTGAACCACCACTATGGCCAACTAATCGCTAGAGCCTTAGCCGGTACGTTTGACTCCAGGAGTTCTGGATCCCAACAAAAAATGAATTCGCTTGAGGCGGGTTTTGAGGTGGTATTTTGCGATTGTATTCCTGGCAATTGTTTTTGGGCGGACCTCACAGTTGAGTTGGCGTGTCCCCTTCTTGGTGTTTGTTTAAGGGAAGTCCAAGAGAATTCGTCTATTCTAATGCTCCCATTTGGAGTTAGGACCTTTACACGCAGATCACCTACCTGGAACGGAAGTTCGCCTCCTTTGACCTGGAGCCTCCCTCCAGGCGGGGTGATGTGTTCTTTGAAGGAGGGGGTTGTGCAACGCGAGCACAGTATCGCATGATGAGCAAACCCGGTCAAGCGCACCCGCCCAGCCGAATGTTTCAACGCGCTGCGAACGGTGCTTTTCAGAGATTGTTTCGGCGCCTCATGGCGAAATGTGCGTGGCACGGGTGTTAGAACCCGTGAAATTTCAGGCTTGCGTGTCTCAAGTGCCCAGGGCGCGGGATCAGTTCTGGGCGGACTGGGAGCGCATTGCCTTTGACATGGAATCCATCCGCAAGAGCTACGCCATGGTCGACACCAAGGACCTGCCGGATAAATAAGCCAGAAAGGCAACAGTTGAGGCGGTGTTTGATGCGAAGACAGTAAATGTTCTTCATCCTAAGGAGAATCGCAGGATAGTGGTTCCTTCAGGCCACAAATTTAGTTTTACCCGTGAAGTTTCACTGCCGTACGCCAACAGGGGTGATCTAACGCCAATATGGCCATGGGGCCTAACCTATGGCTCCATTTTGGCGGTGGATGAACCTCCATTTGCCTCCTATTTTGATGTTCACCAGAAGTTCAGGGTGTTGCCCCACGGCCTTTCTTAGTGGGTCCACGTTGTCTGGGGGCTTGAGCTCATTTTTATTCGCGGGTTCAGTTCAGGAGCGGGCGGTGCTGGGGAAGCTGCAGCTGAGCCAGCGCTTCTTGGACACCATGGCGTCCTTCTGGAGCCCTGCGCCCTTGGAATGCCACAAGCCCGCGCTCATGGAGCTCGGGGCCCTGGCCTCAGCAAGCAAAAACCTCAAAAACCCGGGCCATGGCTCCAGGGTTTATTTCTTTTGATGGTTGCTGGTGGTTGTCAAAGTCACAAAATGGGGGGGGGGGGGGGTTCCCTTTAACCCACCACTTGCGGGGTGACTTTGATCATGGTAAAATAATGAGGCCAGCCCGATGGGTGGTTTGGATTTTGCTGGTTTAGTGGCTAGGGGTGATTTTCCATGTACCCTCTACACGGGTTCAAATCCCCAAAGTCGCCAATCGAACCACCAACTAAGGGTTGCCTGATTGCCTTCAAAACGAGGGGTTGGCAAAACGGAACTTGCCTATCGTAGCTGAGGAGTCATCCTTGGGCCACCTGGCACTTTGGAGCCCCTTGCAGCATTGCTGCATTTAGCTTAAGCCTTTTTGTAGCTGCAAGGCCGTTGGTGTCCTCAACTTGTTTCGTTTTCCCTGGCTAACTTTTTGCCAGGAAGCAGAAGGGCGGTGGTGCGGCGTGGCTGATCCTGCGGCAGCCCTCGCGCCTGCTTCAGACCTCCGCCCTGTCCTGGATGCACGACGCACATGCCACCGATTGCCGGGCCATCCCCGATGGCTATGCGACCTGCAGTGAACTTGAGATGTTTTGTTGTCCAGCGTGCTTCATTTTGGCAGCCTGACTGTTGACAGAATGTGGCAAGCCGGTCCCTTTGTTTTCTCAGGACAACCTCGAGGGGCTCATGCAGAGCGGCTTCGTTTGTTGGACAGATTCTGAGGGAACTGCGAAAGTTCGCTCGCTTTGCGATCCCCGCGGCCTCGAGGATGTGGTAGATGCTGAAACTGAACAGTTGGCATGTGCGTTTTCTCTTTTTGAGTTCCTTCTCATTTGTTCAGCCAGGGAACTTTTTTTTTCTGAGGCGGAGCAAACAATGGAACCTGCGTGGTCCGTAGACCGCTTCCCCCTCTAGCAGCAGACCCGGGCTTCCCGCGTGTTTTTGGAAAGACCCCTTTGTGCCGAGGAGACCTCTGGTTTGAAGTGGGTCTCCGAGGAGAAGTTCTCAGAGTTCGGGTCCCAGAACCCTCTGCTGGTGCCGATCGCCACCTCGGAGTTCCGCACCACGCCCTTGGAGGCGGAGGTCTTCTCCTACTGGGAGAGGCGCGCGGCATCGCGCGCGCGCCTTTCGCTCGTGCTGTTGGGAGTGGGGAAACCTGACCAACTCCGGGTTTTCGTGTCTTTAGCTTGCAAGCCCAAGCTTGTCAAAGGAAGCATGTTCGCCAGAAGAGCTTGTCCCCCGAATCCGACTAATCTTTAGCCGCCAGGCAGATGTCATTCATTGCCGCCGCGCAGTGCGGCAATGGCAAGCTTGACATCACGGAGGAGCGCTCGGCTGTGGACTTGGGCTGAGTATAGCATTGGCCCTCGCAGTGAGGCACAAAGCTCATGTGCCTTGCAGGAGTGCGATTCTCCTGGAGAGGGCTGCGAGAAGTGCAAGTCGGTTCCAGGATACGAATCCTAGCCGCATTTGGCTAGCTGCGCATGAGTCTGCAGCCGTTGACTGAGGAATGCCCTGTGCCTGGCCAGCCGTGCCAGTCGATTTGTGGTGACCACACGGCTGTGAAGATGGAGGACTGTGATGAAAGCGACCACAACAGCAACGACGGCTGCACGCCTTTCTGTCAGCTCGAGTATTGCCCCAGACGCGCGCTGAGTCTGCCGATCAAGCACGCGCAGCAGGCGAGTCCCAACCCTTCGCCCGAGCTGGAGCTTTGCGCCAGTCAATCCAGGGGCGGCGTGTTCAGTTTGGAGGGCTGTGGCTCCTTCAGCGAGCTCGTCTTCGCGGGCTTCACCATGGACGGCCACTGGGTGCGCCATGACATCCGCTTGGATGCTACCCTCGCCAGCATGGGAAACGGCCCGTGGGCGTCAAAGGCCAGCGGATGGGTCACGCTTGGGGCGCCGTACAAGCTGTGGCTAGACGGCACTTCAGCTGTCGTTGGTATACTGTGGGTGAGTGTGCATGTGTGTGTGTGTGTGTGTGTGCACTCTGTTGACGAACATACATATACATATACATATACGATATATGTGAAACGCTTTAAAGCTTTTGTAGCGGATGCCCACTTAAGCTTGTGTGATATAAAAAAAGCTCCCAGATCAAGAGTTAAGGGACCAAACCAAGCGCTTTAAAGCTCAGGACCAAGTACTGGACCAACGTCTGGGAGAGTGCCCCATTGCTCCCTTCAAGGTTTGCTCCCAACGCCTGGGTACACAGAAACGTGTTTTCCTTGGTGCCCCATGCAATTTGGTACGTTGATCATAGTCTTGTTGGGATATCATGGTGTTGTTTTAGCGTTTACTGAAACGCAGATCCATGGAAGCTCTGGAACTCGAGTGCAATCAGTTCATACGAGCTGTGTTTGTGTCCCGAATCGTTCCTTGTACTTGTGCGTGAAAAAGCGTGTGCCCTGGCTGCCATAGCATGTGATATCCGCTTCGGCAGTAGTTCCAGCACCTTTGGGCGAATTCTCTCTGCGTCTTGGCTTTTGCCGTGAAGGTAGACTCTTATCATGCTGCACGAACTGAGTCTTTCAACACGTAGCGTGTTTCATCAATCTCCATTCTTAGCATTGTTTGCTGCACCTGTAGCATTTTGCAACAATGAGTTCAGTCCAACAGCCCAAGCACTAGCCTGTTACACTGTTGGTGAGAAGGACGTGGCGGGTTCTTGCGGTATCCTCCGCAACTTTGCAGGACACCCTAGTGTTCATGGATATGTAATCCTATCATGTCTGAGGAATTGTTTCCACATCCTGGGCTGTTCTCTGAAGGCATGTAGTAATCTTAGCATGTTTGTAAGAATCACGTCTTTTCAACAGCTACAGCTGCTTGTGCTTAAGACCTAGTCCTAGCAATACTGCAGAGCGTGTTTCCCATGTCCGGGATTTTGCTTTTGAGGGAGTACTCCCATTGTGCAATCCAAGTTCGGGCCTGCGCAGGCCACTGTTGCCAGCGTAATCCACCAAACTGTGGACCGGGGAGTTGCATAGCTCGACATTTGGCGGGGGGCGGGGGTGGCTGTTTATAATATATATTTATAATCTATATACTTATATATGTATATTCTTGCTATATCGTAGTATGGCGCAGCGTCCCTTACCCCCCCCCCCCCAACCTACAGCATAGTGGTAACCCCTCCCCGCTGTTGTCTTGTGGTTCTGTGGTTGGGTTGTGGTGCAGGGTTGGTTTAGGATGGGTCTAGAGTTGGTTTTTGGGCGGTTTAGGGTTCGTTTGGGGGTTTTGGGATTGTTTCGGGTGGGGGGGCCCCGAACTGTGGGTTCCGGAGCAGGAGGGGGCTTGGGGGTCATACCATGGGGAGGGGGGGGGGGAATAACGCGGGACAATATATATATATATATACATATATATATATATATACATGTATGCGCATAGGTCAGTCTTTGATTTCATACAGTGAGTTTGGGCGGATTTCCCGCAACCCTCCAGGTGGAATGATGGCACTTCGGTCTCAGTGACTTGCCGCGGTGCTGACACCAGCACTGGATGCCTCTTTTGGTGTGGGTTCCTTGGCAATGTCAAGATGTTCTGCATCAAAAGCAATCCGAAATTCAGGATTTGTGAGGAGGACCGCACAGCAATCAGGCAATCAATGTATTGTGTTTTGGTTGAAGTCAGGTCTCTCGTGAATTCCTCCGACTGCATCCAGCCCTGGCTCGTGCAGACGCATTCGAACAGAAGCCAGGACTGCTTGGGGTGCCCAGTTTTGGGTATGACATGAAAACCAAAGTGAAGCCACCCATTTTGCGGGTTGCCCATTTCTTGAGCCAAACGCATGCGTTGGCGTTCACAGGACGTGCACGCGGAGAGATTGTTGGTCTACGGGCGCAAGTCCGCTGCCGCGACGGACCTGCAAAGCTGCGAAGGTGGCGCGAAGCTCGTGTCCCTGTCCTGTGGGGATGGCCAGATCACCGGAAACGAGGAGTGCGATCCCCCAGGCAGAGCAAAAAGCGTTACATTTCATAAACCCAAACGGCAACAAAGGAAAGCCCAGGGCTTTTGGGTTGAAGCGATCTGGCAAAGGTCTCCTTTGCAGAATAGCTTCAGCCCCACACTCAGCAAGTTTCCTTGGGGCGCCAAAGGGGTGATCCATCATTGGGGACAGAGGAACCCTGCAGGTGGCTGCTGTGATGCGCAGTGCAAACTTGCCTCAGGGTGGCAATGGCAGGACGGGCAGCCAAATCAAAGTTCGGGTGCCAAACGAAGAGTAACCATTATTGCAGCGAGAAGTTTCATTAATTTGACAAGGCCAAGTTGTTGTTTGTGACCTGGGACTGTTTGAGTCCCTTTCTGGGTGGCCGTTGGCAAAAGTTTTGTTTTTGGCAGCTTACTCTGTTGATGATGTGGGTACACCTCTTTCAACACGTGTCCCGCTTGGGCTGATAGGCTTTGTAAGCCAAGCCTCCGTGCAGCCTTCTTGCTGCGGTTTGGCCCTGCCTTGCCGGCCTTTGCGAGCTAGCTCGCCCGCCAGCGAGCACGTGCAGTCTGAGACGTGCTGCCTGCAAAGATGCGCAACATGCATGTAATTAAAAAGCAAAGCTTGCCATGAAAGTTATTCTTACCAATGTTGCTCGTGGCATCCTCGCGGATAGATGATTCAAACGCGAAGCACTTCATTTGACCCCAAATAGGACTCAAGTATACTACTGGGGTGCAGTGGTCACCTTGGCGGTCTTCGTCTTTTTGTGCGCTGGTGTGGGGATTCGGAACGCAGCGGTCAGTGCAGCTGCTCACTTTTGCTGCTCTTTTTTTTAGGATTAAGCAGTCACGTAGGCGACGATTATAGGTTGACATGTCGCGCGGGGTGTGCTTTCTTTGAAGGGGTAACAAATGCGAAGCGTTGTTCTCCAACAAATACTCAGGCAGGTTTTGCGTAGGCGTAGCTTAGGCAGGACGTCACATATCCAACCATTGGCTCGTCCTTCCTTTGCAGCCCCTTGCCCCTTCTAGAGCTGGAGCGGCCAAGTTGTGCTTTGAGAAACGCGCGCGAATATAAAGGCTGCGATTTGCGGGAGCTGCCAAGGCGTACCTCTACTCGAATTGTAGTGACACGGAGCTGCCAACATGCACTTGGCAAGTTGCAATTTTGCGCAGCCCTAAATGTATTGAGTCGCTTTGTCGCGTCGGCGCGAGGAAGGCGTGTAGTCAACTTGGTCTCACGTAGACGTTTTTGCGGGAGTTGTCGCTTTCGGCGTAGCGGCGTGGCCATGGCGTGGGTAGGACAACTATTGATGAGGCCCCACACAAGCAAAAGACACTGCCCACTTCTCTGAGATCGGATGGTGGACGCCACAGTTCGTTTGAGATGATCACGCTGCGAGAGGAAACTGAATGGAAACGCCACCCACGAGGCCAAGTCGTGGGTCTTTGGCGGAGAAACCCCAGGCTCTCGCCCAATGACTCCCCCTCAAGCAAACCGTTCATGCTACGCGACTTTGTGAATTTGTCCTAAATGGAAAACAATGAAGGCCAAAGCCAGCGTCTCATGTCTAACTTGTAGGATTGCAGAGGGCACGCGAGGCCGTTTGCCGCAGGACGGCTGCAAAGCCATTTGTGGCGACGGCGTGGTTCTTGGAGAAGAACAATGCGATCCGCCGATGGAAGGGTGCGACCAGCAATGCAAGCTGGAAATCGGATGGAAGTGGGTGCAAAACAAAGCCACTACGACTTGTGGTGACAGCGTGGTTGCCGGCAAAGAGCCTCGGGCCAAGTAGCCTTTTCCTGCGCAGATGTCCGAGGCATGAACAGACGTCGCATTTTTTTGCCACTGGGGTTTGCTTTTGATGTTTTTCCCAATAGCCTAGGAACAGTGCGATCCCCCGAGCGTGTGCTGCAACACCACATGCAGCCTGCAGACAGGATGGCAGTGGCAGGATGGGTTTGGTCTTGAGTCTTGGGTGCTCAAAGTGCAAAAATGCAGTCGCAGAGGTTGACCGACTGTGGCACAAAAGAACGGCCCGCCAGAGCAAACCCATGTTTGGCAGGACGGCTGCAAAGCCATTTGTGGCGACGGCGTGGTTCTTGGAGAAGAACAATGCGATCCGCCGATGGAAGGGTGCGACCAGCAATGCAAGCTGGAAGACGGGTGGAAGTGGGTGCAAAACAAAACCACCACGACTTGCGGCGACAGCTTGGTTGCCGGCGAAGAGTCTCGAGCCATATAGCCCTTTCTTGGCAGATTTCCGAGGCATGACTACGCCATTGCAGTTTGCTTTTGATGTTTCCCTGATAGCCTAGGAACAGTGTGATCCCCCAAGTGAATGCTGCAACACCACATGCAGCTTGGAGACAGGATGGCTGTGGCAGGACGGGCTGGGTTTGGGCTCAAGTGCAGCAGTGGCAGGGTGCTTTGCTCAAGTAGACCTAAAAGCCGAGTTAGTAATTGACAACCTGAACAATACTTTAGTACACCCGGAGTTCAGAATCTTTAGCCCAGAGCCAGACGTGTTGCAAGGACGGCGGCTGCAAGCGCGAGGCGTGCTACCCCAGGGACCCGGAATGCTTTTGAGGTAGTGCGACTTCTTTGATTGGCCCTGATTTGCAGGTTGGTTGTGAGTTGGAAACCGAACAGAACCCTTTTGCTGCCTTGGCTGCTGACCATTGTTTGAAAGCTTGCAAGCTTCCATGGCACCAAACATTTGCGAACAAACAAATCTTCAAACATTTGATACTTGCGACCATTGCCCAACCGAGTTTGCAAACGCATGACGTGCTGCTTTGCTGTCTTTGCTTACATCTGATTTTGGTGTTCAGGTTCATCAACGCAATGATGCGCACCATGCTCCACAATGTTTGGGGAAAAAAAATCAGGAATTGTTTCTTAGTTCAAAGCAGCCATGTTCTCTTGCTCCACTGCAAGAACATCATGCTTGACGGCTTTCGATAACCCCAAAAACAACTTTGGAAATGCTTCATTCTTCCTAGATCTCTGAAGCCATTGCCGCCCACTGCTACTGTCACTTTGTAGCTCGCTTTTGCACTGCAGTGTCTGCTGCATGAAACGCCAAAGCTGTTACATAAGATTTTATGCGCTTCTCGCTGCCCGCCTCGACCAGGGGCTGTTTGATTCAGAGGCTCCGTTTGATCTCCGGTCTTACTCCAAGGGCCGCGTGGGGAAGCCGGGCAACTGGCAAGAAGCGACGCTCACGCCTGGCAATGCCGTGAAAGTATCAGCTGCGTCAAAGAACCTGCTTGCACTGAAGCACAGCCACCGTAAGGGGCTGGGGGCCACGAACTGAAAGGCCACGAGACCTGTGGGCGGGGGTCTGCTTTGCCGCGCCACAGGCTGGGCGCGGCCAGGTTAAGATCCCGACGAATCATCCTTGACTGCCTGCCGATGTCAGTACCAAAACTTTGGCCTCGCAACTGGCCTTTTCGCGCATCGCACGTTGCCGGGTCCAGTCTCTTGGCCTGGCGCGCACATACCGGCTCTTGCTGACCTACCGACAAGACCGCATCCCTAACGTTGATTGCCAGAGGTCCATCCTCCTGTCAAATACGCCAGGATGGCCGTCTTCGCCGCTGAGAATGCTGAGGTGGGTGCGAATGTTTCAACAGCTTCTTGGTCATCCTTGAACTCTCTTGCGGCAACGTGACATCGCCGCTTCCATGCTCCGTCGAGAAACAGCCAGTATCTTCTTTCTGGCTGATACCGTATTGCGCTCACTTTGGCTTCTACTGCCGCGCAAAGCTTTCTGAGCTTCATGAACACTTCCTTTGCTGCTGCCTCATCAAGCCGCTCCTTCTCCCTTTCTCTCACGCTTGGTGGTTGCTGATCGTTGTCAGGAATCTCTTCAACTTCCACGACGCTTCTGAAACCGCAGCATCCAATCCTGCTGGAGTATCAACAGCATCCTCATGATCAGCATCCTGCGTTGATATTGCTCTTTGCCTGTACGCAAGGCAATGCGCAACTCGTTTTCTGCGGGTGCTGAAATGTGTTCAGCAGCGTTGCTGAATCATACCCTACAAGGACTCTTCTCACCCCGGTTTGCCCCGCTGGCTTTGAGCCGCAAGGTTGGCTGCCCATAGCCTCTGGAATCTGTCCACCTGTGCGTAACTCCTTTCCGGGACCGCTTGGTTTCACCGAATCGCTTGAACCATGCAACGCCCTGATCCAGATGCTTTGCTGTCCGTTTAGTCTGGTTGCGCCTGTTCATGTCTACTCTCAGGGTCGTGGGTTACCTTGTCTTCCGAAGACATCTTGACTGTCCTTGACCAGCAAAATGGTACTGCATTCAGCACACACCAGTGGGCGCCGATCCAGGTTCTGCACAACTGTGTTGCATTGCACGTCCCAGCTTGCGCAAAATGATTGGTTCTGGCCACAAAGTTCCAAGCCCTCTGCGAGCCAGAAAGATTATTTGGCTCTCCGTCAAACACGAAAACTATCAGCCCAAAGGCACTCTAGGCGGAGGCCCAGTATTATGTAAACAAGCTTCTCATGCTCGCTCGGGGCGCCTTTGCTGAGTTGAACCGCTCGCCAAGCTTTTGTTGCGGCCCTTGCGCTTGTTGAGCATGAGGTTGAGGCGTGTGTTCGTCAAATCCAACCAACCCGTACATGCTTGGTAGGGCATTAATTTCCCGCGTATCCAGCGGTCTTTTCTGAGCTCTCCATTGCCTTTGTCCTTTGCCTTTCTTGTTTTTTCCTTTCCTGTAATTCCATTTGTATTCTTTCTTGCCCTTGAACTGTCCAATTTCACCGTCCTTTCCACCTTGAGATTTGTTTTTCCCTTTCCAGTGTTTGCCCTTTTGCTCAACACGGTCAATCGACTTCTGACTGCGCACGTCTCCTAAGGACGGGCACGTTCGAAGCGCTTTGTCCCAACTCAGTTTTAGATGAATAGCTTCTAATGGAGACGAAGCCAGTAGTAGTAGGAAGTGTCGATTCTGTATCAGGGATCATCTTTCAACAGGACCTATCTTTATCGTCTTTATTCCAATAGCAGTATGTATTGCATTAGGGAAAATAGTATTTCTGGTGAAGTACTAGCTAATTGCAATACCAGCACATCCACTATTTAGTACCCTCCTTATTATGCATGGATTATTTTACTTGGAACATAAACATCTTCTTTATTATTTAGTGGAGCAATTGCCTAGTTAAATTGAAAGTGGATCCGCAATCAGTGTTAGTTATGTGAAAAGTTGTTTTGCTTCTCCGACGATTAGTCAATCATCTCATACGGTTTTTGCTTTAGTTGTGAACCCAATACTTAGTCTTCCCTTATATTCATTAATGCCCTATTCCAGAGCTTGCTTTCTATTTTATCAGGAACCCACTCTCCAGGCTTCGCTCTGAAGACTTGGTCCAACTGCATGTATCCCCTTCGAACAAAACGACCTGATTCATGGCTTGTGCAGTGGAGTGCAGTTTGACTTTAAGCGCGCTTGAATTTCACCCTTCTCGCTTCCAGCCTTTTCAGGACGCGCCGTTCCCCGGCTCACCCTTTTAAACTGTCAAGAACATGCCGTGTTGCGTATCAAGCGTGTGAGTCGTCCTTGTCCAAGTGCTCCAGCGCAGATATACCATTGCAATAGCCGAGCCATGCCCATCACCTCCAGGGAGCACAGAAATACCATAGCCATACATGTTTGCAGCAAAATGCAAGCAAACCAAATCGACCCGTGCCAAATTCACATGTTTGCTCGAATGCAGTGTTGGTTCTTATCGTGTGGCTTCCCATATTGCTAATTACGACTTTTGCTCATTGAAGCTGTTACCGTGCTGCTACGCTGCGTGCTTGCCAAATGTTCAGCGTAGTTTGAGACAAATCAATACCAAGCAAATTATTTGTTGGCACCATGCTTTGGAACATTCATCCAACCTGCAAATCGCGGTCCAAGTCATGCAAAAAGGAATCCAAGGGAACAGTTATTACGTGGCCGAAGTGCTCATGCTCTAGATGTGTTTCAGCTTCTGCGGTTTGCGCACTACTTCCAGTCCCTTCTCTCCGCAAACCAGCGTTTTTTGGTGTATTTGGAAATTCCTCATTTGGATTCTCATTTTGTTGTGTTTTTGTTTTTTCTCAGACGAAGCGAGCAAGCAAGTGAAAGAGCGACTGGTGAGTCCAACGAAAGCTATCACGGTCCCTTTTTGTTTTCTTCTTTTTTTTTATCACGCCTGTGGGCGTGTGTGGTTTTTTCTATTGAACACAACCCTGGTGGGTCCCGGGTGTTTTTTGTTTTTATTGTATTAATTTTATTTTAGAGTCGCGCCTTGGGGCTCCTTTTTTTGAACTGACGCCTCTGGGCCTTCGTGTTGCTTTCTTTTGAAATCACGCCTGGGGGTCCTCGTGTGATCTCTGTTTAAATCATGCCCGGGCCCACAGGCGTGAATTCCAAACAACGCGGATCCCCAAGGCGGGATTTCAGAAGACAAACACGAGGGCCCAGAGGCGTGAGTTCAAAAACAAACACACCAGGGTCCACCAGGCGTGATTTAAACAAGCAAACAGCGGTAAGTCAGGCGGGATGTCAAAAGCACAAACACGAGGGTCCAGAAGCATGCGCCCCAGGCATTTCAAAGTATGTGATTCCAAAACACAGAGACCGGAGCCCTTCTCTGCGCGTGTGGATGCCAATCCCACTATGAAAATAGTCTTGCGACAGATTCAGCCTGGATCACCAGGCTGCCCGCTGCCAAGTAGTAACGAACATGAACTCGCATTGCGAATGCTACCCAAGAAACTATCGCCAACACCTCAGGTCTGGCAGGTCCAGAATTGCCAACATCCGCTTTAGGGAGGATCATGCAGGCTTGAGCTAGACTGGTTGCCACATGCCTCACGGCGGATTTCGGCGCTTCGGGTTGCACCAGTCAAAGGTGGTTATTTCAAGTTGCAGCGCCAGGTAAATTGCGGTGCTGTCACCGCTTCGTTCGGAATGGGCATCGGCTGGAATTCTCCGGCCACCGTGAGGGAAGGGATCCTGTCGCAGCCTGGCGAGCGTGACTCAGCTGGCAACTCTTGAACGTTCAGGAATGCTTGGAGTTTTGCCGCTGGTTGATTTGCCCAATTGCTTGATTCTGTTCAACCCTCCCTTCAGAGATTCAGCCAAGGCGGGTACAGGCTGCAGAATGTCCCAGCCGAATTGATCGGCGGCAAATACATCGGCCACAAGACCTGGCCCTCTAAATCTGGCGGGACCTGGACGATCTCCTACACAACTCCAGTGACACTCTACGTGTGGGTCGTAAAAGAGGAGCACAATGCAGGTATTGATGCCATGCTCAGCAACGATGGCTGGGCATTCGTGGCAGCTCCTGGCTTCAAGCGAAGTGACGGACCGGCGCTCCATGTGTGGAAGCGATTCTTCGCCACTGGGAGCACCTACCTCATCAAGACGAAGGAGTTGATGGTGGGAGGGGTCATTTCCTCGCAGGATTGCGAGGCGGGGTGCATGCGCCTTGGGATTCCCGAGGATTGCCATGTGTTTGTTGATGTGCTTTAAATTGTGTTTTCTCGCGTGGCAGTTCTGGTAGCTGTGCGGCTTTTCTTGTTCGCGGGCAGTTGGTGGCTTGTGTAGCAGCTGTTGACTTAAATTGACTCTAAATTCAGCCAAAACGAACCCAAAAAACAACAAACCAACCCTGGCATAAAACCCACCCTGAACCCCGCGTAAGGTCAATGAACCAGTGACCACGTATCATGTACAGCATTGGGACAGAGTTCAGCTTAAGGGGTTACGCTCCTTCCAAAGATGTTTGAGTGTTCCCTATGGCCATTCCCATGAAGTTGATCCACGGACACGATGGGAAGCTTTGGGTGAACAAAACCAAACCTAAGCCAACCCAAACCCACCAAAAACCACCACTCACCACCAAAAACCGAAGCGCCAACGCAACAATTCACCACGCAGCGAAGCCGAACCATGCTCGTTGCTTGAGAGTTTTCAACACGATGCTAGTGTTGCTGACCGGGCAACCAGCTGGAAAAACAATGCATGTAATTTGAATATGAGCATGCCTTTCTTGATTGGTGATTCACAGGGATGGTTTTGAGTTAGAAGCCCTTGTTTGCAAAGGATGGCATGCCCCACAACCAGTGAATTTTGGCAACATGCCTGTCTATTTCAAATTGTCGTTTGTCACGGCCCCGACCGGGCAGCCAGGTAAGTTGCGGCGCTGTCACCGGTTCATCTGGAATGGGCATCCCCTGGAATTCTCCGGCCACCGTGAAGGAAGGGGTCCTGTCGCAGCCTGGCCAACGTGACTCGGCTGGCAACATCTGGCAACTCTCTTTTGCGGTGTTCGGGCATGCTTGAAGGTTCGCTTCCTTGGATTGTTGCAGGGTGATGGACTTTTTTCGACACCGATGTAATATTGACCGGTGACTCAGATACGGCTAAGGCGCGTACACGCTGCAAAATGTCCCAGCCGAATTGATCGGCGGCACATACGTTGGCCACAAGACCTGGCCATCCAACTCTGGCGGAACTTGGACAATCTCCTACACAGCTCCAGTGACACTCTACGTGTGGGTCGTAAAAGAGAAGCACAATGCGGGTATTGATGCCATGCTCAGCAACGATGGCTGGGCACCCGTGGCAGCTCCTGGCTTTCAGAGAAGCGACGGATGGGCGCTCCATGTGTGGAAGCGACACTTCGCCACTGGGAGCACCTACCTCATCAAGACGACGGAGTTGATGGTGGGAGGGGTCATCTCCAAGGCCATACCCTCGGCTTGCAAGGCTGGGAGCTGGAAACCGAACAGAAGCCAATCTGCGTCCCAAACAAAGAAGACGAACCCCATTGAGGTTACCCAGTCGGATCTCTTGGTCTTCGGAGGTCGGAGCTTCATTTCTGGGCTCAAAAGGAAGACCCGTATGTTCAAAACAAGATGGACCAAACCCGAGGTTTCGCAGGGCCATGATTTCGCATACGCCTGTTGGCAATTTGAGCAGCGTAAACCCGAAAGAAGTTAAAGGTGTTGTCCTGCATGCTGCGCGAAAGGAAAACACTGGGCACAGGGCCGCGAAAGCTCGGTGAAAGGGATGCGAGGAATGTTCGCAAAAGGGGCCGCGAAAAGGCTCCTTGGCATGTGCTCCGCGAAAGGAAAACTGTGGAGTGGGTTTGTTCTTCCTGGAACCCAGGTTGAGACCAACGCTGATTTGGGTTTGGCTTGGACCTGAAAGTGTATCCATTTCATGTTGCATGTTCGTGGGGCCCTAGCTGGGGGAGACAGGTGAGTTGTGGCGCGGTGGCCGGTTCATCTGGAATGGGCATCCCTTGGAATTCTCCAGCCATCGTGAAGGAAGGGATCCTGTCGCAGCCTGGCCAGCGTGACTTTGCTGGCAACTCTCTTTGTGGGGTGTTTAGGGATGCTTGAATTTTTGCCACAGCTGGTCGATTTGCCTAATTGCTTGATTGTTTGCACCCCAAAGGGTTTAATCCTCCCTCCAGAGACACAGCTGAGGCGGATACACTCTGCAGAATGTCCCGGCTGAATTAATCGGTGGCACATACATTGGCCACCAGGCGTGGCCATCCAAGTCTGGCGGGACCTGGAATATCACTTACCAAGCTCCAGTGATACTCTATGTGTGGGTCGTAAAAGAAAAGCACAATGCGGGTATTGATGCCATGCTCAGCAACGATGGCTGGGCACCCGTGGCAGCTCCTGGCTTTCAGAGAAGCGACGGATGGACACTGCATGTGTGGAAGCGATATTTCGGCAGTGGGAGCACCTACCTCATTAAGACGACGGAGTTGATGGTGGGAGGGGTCATCTCTTCCAAGGTCAGCTCTGAGTGCAAGGCGTGCCTGCGATTCCCGAGTCCTCAAATCTTGCAAGATCTTGCAAACAAGTTTTCGGAAAGCGTGGTTGGAAGTTTGGAGGGCTCTGCTCAAGGTGGTTTGCAGACCTTTGTGAGCGAAACATAGGCAATTTAGCGCTTCTTCTTTTTGGGATGTGCTCGCGCCTACCACGTTCTGCATGCTTGTTTGTGTTTTTCGTGTTCTTCTTCGGGCGTCGCATTATCCTGTTGCCTTTATTGCGCCGTGATTTGGGCTCGCCATTTGCGCAGCGTCAACCGTTGTCAGCAGCGTACTCTCGCCTTTGATGAGCGTTTAATTAATACGCTGACAGCTGTAAACCTGCTTCCACTTTTTGTTTTGCAAATGCAAGTCGGAGCAGTACCGCGACCTGGAGGGTTTGCGCAGTCGTGCCTGTCATATGCCGCGATTTTGGAGGAGGCAGTTTGCTTGTGTGGTCGCCTGGGAGTTATTCATATGCGGGCTGTTCTTGGACTTTCGCACAGTGCAAAAGACTGCAACAAACACAGCCATATATTTCTCTAATTTCGGCGACGCCTGGCAAATCGTGCGGGAAATGTGCCTAACGTGTCAAAAAGTTGCAATATATACCATGCGACAGGCACAAGGCTAGAGGCATCAACAAGTTTTGCAAGGAAAGGATTGGCCACAATACAGTTGGAACGCCAGATGAATAAACCCCTGATTGCTGAATAAAGTGTCCCCTTCTAGTGAGGTTAATCACTTTAAATTGAACCAAGCCAACCCCTAGTTGTCCGAGTAGAAAGCAAAAGAGTAAAAAGAGACAGAAACGAGAAGATACAAATATAATGCGGAGAAAAACACACACATTCAAACGAGGAATAGAAGAGCGAAGAGGAAGAAGGAAAAGGAAGAAGAAGAAAAAGAAGAAGACAACAAGCAAGATAAAGAGAAGGATAAGGAAGAAGAAAACGAGAAAGCTAAGACAAGGATAAACAAGAATAGAAAGCGCAAGAGAAAGAGAATGGGAAAGAGCAAGGGGGAGTAAGTTAAAGAGAGAGAGAGAGAGAGAGAGAGAAAAAGAAGAAGAAGATGGAAACTAGGGCGGAAAAGAAGCTAGCTTCAAACTATGGCTTTCCCATTGCTTTGAAACATCGCCCCCGGCTCCGCTCTTTGTCTCTTCTCTCTCTTTATCAGTATCTTTATCTCTGTTTCTGTGTCTCTTTATCTGCCTCTTTCTCTTCTCATTTTTATTTATCGTTCTTGTTCTGTGTTTTTGTCTCTTTCTGTACTTATATTTTGTTTGTTCTTTGTCTTTGTTTTTTTCCAGATTCTCAGTCCTTTCCATTTCTCTTTCTCTTTCTCTCTCTGTCTCTCTGTCTCTCTGTCTCTCTCTCTCTCTCTCTCCCTCTCTCTCTGTCTCTCGAGTTTGTGAAGGTTGACCCACCCAAGTCCGCAGAGGACCTTTTTGTTAACCTTGTTTTAGGTCGACCCAATCGAAAGTCCACAGAGGGTCACACGAGCAAAGTGCAAATTGATAGAAAAGCACATGTGTGTCTCAGGGTCGGCGCGCCAAAAGTGCGCAGAGCGTTCACTTTGTTCAAGCTGCGGATGCTTGCTTTCTTTCTTCCTTCCTTCCTTCCTTCCTTCCTTTCTTTTCTTTCTTTCTGTCTTTTTTCTTTCTCTCTCACTCTCTCTCTTTCTTCCTTCCTTTCTTGCTTTCTTTCAGTCTTTCTCGTTCCTTTCTCCTCTTGCTTTCTCTCTCCCTCTCTCTCCCGGTCTCTTCCTCTAAGCCAAGCAGAGCTGCGAATTCCCAGTCGAAAGAGCGAGCAAGGCAAAGTGACAGCAAGGTTGAAAGACCGCGCCAGGTAGAGCGTAAGCAGGGCCAGCCACGATTGAGTCACAGGCTCAACAAGACAGCGGGCGCAGGCGCGTGAGAAACGGCGACAAGCAAGTGAGCAAGCAGGCCAGGCAAGCAAGCCGCGAAAAAGCAGGCGAAGCGACAAACAAAACAAGGCAAGTCAAGGATCAGAAAGGGCCCGGCGAGCTCGCGCCACGCTCGATGCTTGCGCTTTGTTTTGTCTCTTCTCTTTCTCGCCCGTGGCTGCTTGGCCTTCTCCTGGCCTCTGCGCGCTTGCGCCGATGTTTTGCACGTTCCCTCTCGTCGCTTTCACTGGAAACGGAGTGCGTGCCAAGCGAAGCAAGACGAGCGCAAGGGCGATGCCGCGCGCGATTTTTCTTAGCACGCTGCTCAAGCAGCGCTCGATTACTTACTAGTTCTTCTTTTGTTGCATGCTTTGCTTGACCTCTCCTTGTCTTTGCGCTCTGCCTTACAGTATGCCTTGCCTTTCTGCTTTACGCTGCCCCTCAGATTCCTCACGTCTTGGTGGGCATTTTCCGCGTACACGCGCGTGTGTCTTGCGTGGCCTTTCCTTGCAACATCTGGCGACGCGTTTCCCGGCAGATTGGCGTTGCCCCAGGCCGCGGGCCAAACAGTGCAAAGCAAAATGACAAGCAAAAAGGTCAGGGAAGCCAAGCCAAACTGCAATCCAAAGGTAGGGCGCAAACGGAAGAAAGCGCCGCAAGTGAACGAGCGCGGCAAGAAAAGCCAAGGGCCGCCAAGCCACGAAGGCATGAGCGAAGAGGCTTGGGAAAGAAGTAAGTGGTTGCCTGTCTCTTTATCGTCACCAGGGGATGTGGATGGAAAATAAAGAGACAGGAGAAGGAGAATAGGAAAGCCAATTATCTTTTATCTTATAGTCTTCTCGGCTCCACACAGAGGAGCCTCCCAGCTCCACGTTTGCAGAAGAAGCCATCCACAAAGGGGTTCCGTTCCGTCTCATGAAAGCCAGGCAGCAGCAACTTGTGGCGCAGTGGCCGGTTCATCTGGAATGGGCATCCCTTGGAATTCTCCGGCCATCGTGAAGGAAGGGATCCTGTCGCAGCCTGGCCAGCGTGACTTTGCTGGCAACTCTCTTTGTGGGGTGTTTAGGGATGCTTGAATTTTTGCCACAGCTGGTCGATTTGCCTAATTGCTTGATTGTTTGCACCCCACAGATTTGAGTCCTCCTTACAGAGATACAGCTACACGAGGCCAAGAAGGGTTTAGCCCCCCAGAAATGAAACTAAGGCGACTACAAGCTGCAGAATGTCCCAGCAGAGTTAATTGGCGGCTCATACATTGGCCACCAAGCATGGCCATCCAAATCTGGTGGGACGTGGACGATCTCTTACACATCTCCAGTGACACTCTACGTGTTTGTCATGAAAGACTTGCACAACGCGGGTGTGGATGCCATGCTCAGCAACGACGACTGGGTACCCGTGGAAGCTCCTGGCTTTCAGAGAAGTGATGGATGGGCCTTCCATGTGTGGAAGCGATTCTTCGACACTGGGAGCACCTACCTCATCAAGACGAAGGAGTTGATGATCGGAGGGGTCATCTCCAAGGCCCTTCCCGAGGAGTGCGAGGCGGGAAACTGGACACCGAACAGAAGCCAACCGTGCGCCTCCCAAAGAGTACTAAGACGAACCCCCACAGTGCAGCTTGCTAATTCCGATCGGAGCATTTCTCGGCCAAAATACAGATCTCCAACCCCATGCTTAAGAGACAAAACCTGAAGCTTGCCAGGTTCCATTTTTTCAGAATTTCGCAGATGCCGGTTGGCAGTTTGGGCATGGCTTGCACTGGACGTGCTTCCAGCTCCCATTGCATTTTCTTAGGGCCCCACAACTGGGAAAGCCAGGTTAGTTGTGGCGCAGCGACCAGTTCATCTGGAATGGACATCCGCTGGAATTCTCCGGCCACCGTGAAGGAAGGGGTCCTGTCGCAGCCTGGCCAACGTGACTCGGCTGGCAACTGGCTGCTATGTTTTGGCGCGGTTGATTTGCCTAGTTGCTGCTTGATTTGTTATAGGCCAAGGGCCAAGAAGGGTTTAACCCCCAGAGATGAAACTAAGGCAACTACGAGCTGCAGAATGTTCCAGCAGAGTTACTTGGCGGCTCATACATTGGCCACCAGGCGTGGCCATCCAAATCTGGTGGGACGTGGACGATCTCTTATACATCTCCAGTCACCCTCTACGTGTGGGTCATGAAAGAGATGCACAATGCGGGTGTTGATGCCATGCTCAGCAACGACGGCTGGGCACGCGTGGAAGCTCCTGGCTTTCAGAGAAGTGACGGATGGGCGCTCCATGTGTGGAAGCGATACTTCGCAACTGGGAGCACCTACGTCATTAAGACGAAGGAGTTGATGGTGGGAGGGGTCGTCTCCAAGGTCCTCTCCAAGAAGTGCAAGGCAGGAAACTGGGAAGCCAACTGGGCGTGCGTCCCAGAAAATGTGTGAAAGCCCACATTTGACTCTGATGCATCCATCGTAGCTGCACAGCCGTGATTCGACTTCCGAGGGATCTTCAGGCCTTTTACCAATTTGGTTTCTGCCCATGGAAAAGCATTGTGCCTGACCGGCTTCATCGCGTGGAGTTGCCTAGGGCCTTGCTTCCTCAGTGGTAGCGGAGCAGGATCTGCCCGCCCGTCTTCCCGCAAGCAGTCCTGCAAGGGCAACCGGACTTCGAGCGCGCTCTCGTTTTCGCTCGGCGCGCCTTCCCGTTTGGCTTGGTGGCGGTTCTTCCGCCTCCTACGCGGTACGCGGGCAAGGCGGCGGCGCCTGCTCTCCTTTGGCGCAGCGAGCGAAGTGGCTGCTGCTCGCTGGGGTAGAGTGGCATCGTCAGGCGGCGCGGGGCGAGGAGTTCTTGAAGCGCAAGCCTGCTAAGACCGCGGTCACACGGGTGAGGGGCATGGGATCTCTGAGCTTGGAGCAACCGAAAGCTGATTAGAAGGCTCAGAGCTTCACGCTGGTGGCTGATCTCAGAGTGGACGACACGAACCTGCCAGACATGGATTCTGCTAGGAGAAGCCTGGACCTGATCTTCTTTCTGGAGACCGGCCTTGGAGGGCGATGTGTTCCAGGCGGAGCCGCTGCAACTCTTCAAGAATTTGCATTTTGCTCTTCCCCTTCAAACATTTCAACAAGCCCAAGCTGACGCACCGTAGGATGTTCTTTCAGTGCTCTGGCAGCGCCAGCGGCATCCATGCTTTGACTGCAAGCAAAGCGGGCACAATGGTCTGGGAGAATCTCTGCCACTGCCACGCAGACCCAAGTGAAAAAGTGCGACGATCTCACCTGGGAACGGACGTGGTCTTCCAGTCACAGCCTCACGCTGTCAACGAGCTGGGACATCATGGGGCGATTTGACCAACGAGGCGTTAGCCAATGCAGCGCCAAAGCCAGGCTCAGCTGTCACCCCTACTGCGGCGCAACCCTCCTTGACCTTATTGCCCGACAGATTGCGTTTGCGAGGCTACCTGAAGATCTTGAACGGGGAAGCTTCTTGGCTTTCTGCAGCGCCGGAGGTGGCGCCTTTGATTTGACACCAGCGAACTGGCGGCGGCAGCACGACTAGGTCTCTTAATCACCTTCGTCCGTGTCTTTGGCAACTGCGCCTTCGGCTAGTCTGCCTGCTCTGCGAGTGGACTTCTGCAACGTCGTTCTACAACACCTTCTGGGGAAGGAAGAGTTGCGCGGCAGAACTTCCTCAACCCAAGTGATCGCCAAGCGCTTCCTGCCTTTGAGAACTTGGTTGGGCAACGCCGCTAAGCAACAATTTTGCGACGTGCAGTCGCAGGGGTGATGAGATGTGGCGACTGGCTCTTGAGCCTTGCGTCGCGAGTGGAGTCTGACCTCTGTCAAGGCACTTGGGGCAGCTTTCTTGAAGGGGCTCTAACCTGGAGTTTCCACACACGGAGAGAGCTTGCCAACTTCCAAAAAATCGGTGGAGCAGGAACTTTCCTGACTTGTGACATGTCCTCAGTGTCACGATGGTGGCCAACGCGGCCCTAGAAAATGCAAAGTTGGACGGCAGCACGGGCCCCGTGTCGATGGCCGGCAAGGGCAGCGTTGACTAGGGCCTCGCTTGCCCGTTCAGACCCTCTTGATCTTCGCGGCACGCACCAGGTCAAAAACACATCCCCACGCCCCGTGGGAAAAAATGGATGGACAAAACCTTAATTCCCGAAAATTGCGCAGCTGCTTGTTGGCACTTGGGGCTTGGCTTGGGTTTGAAAGTGCTTCCATGCCTTTTTGCATTCTTCGGGCGTCGGCTGGGAAGACCAGGTAAGTTGTGGCGCGGTGGCCGGTTCATCTGGAATGGGCATCTCATGGAATTCTCCGGCCACCGTGAGAGAAGGGATGCTATCACAGCCTGGCCAACGTGACTTTGCTGGCAACTCTCTTTCCGGGTGTGTAGAAATGCTTGGAATTTTGCCGCAACAGGTTAGCTGCTGACTCATGTGTTGCAGGCAAAGAAGGTTTAACGCCCCCTCCAGAAAAGCAATTAAGGCGACTACAAGCTGCAGAATGTCCCAGCAGAGTTAATTGGCGGCTCATACACTGGCCACCAGGCGTGGCCTTCTAAATCTGGCGGGACCTGGACGATCTCTTACACAACTCCAGTGACACTCTACGTGATTGTCTTGAAAGACTTGCACAACGCGGGCGTCGATGCCATGCTCAGCAACGACGGCTGGGCAGCCGTGGAAGCTCCTGGTTTCAAGAGAAGTGATGGATGGGCCTTCAATGTGTGGAAGCGATACTTCGCCACGGGGAACACCTACCTCATCAAGACGAAGGAGTTGATGATCGGAGGGGTCATTTCCTCCAAGGTCAGCTCCCAGGGCTGCGAGGCGGGTGCATCCACCTCTCGGGTTTGCGATTCCATCAGTTGTGCTGGTGTTCCCATTGCACACAAGCTTTCTGGATATGAGCATGCCTTTTTGATTGGTTCCTCCGGTTTCAGAAGGAGATTCAGGACAGCCCGCTCTCAGAACCACTTGCCCACACAGAGGTCCAAGGGCGCAAAACGATCCGGGATTTCCTGTTGCATTCTTTTGCGTGCTGTTCAGCACAAGGTGCCTTGACCTGGAAGCTTCTCCTTTGCTCAGGCATAATGCTACAGCTGAGGCCAAGGCGGAAATTTTACAGCGGGTTTAGTATGTTCCTTTTCGCCCGAGCGCCGCTTTGAATGGCTGCGGAAGCACCGCTTTGAAGGGCTGCGCTCTGGGCCTGCAACCGCCCCAACTTTTATGATTCATGATGTCTGAGTTGCGCCGTTGGAAGAATTTCCAGTTTTCACTGGCCCAGCTTCAAGCAAAACACAAAGGCAACACAATCTTGCCACTTTGAAAGCCATACCTGTCAGCGTCGATGAGTTGCAACCACGCTCATTTCATCATTCTAGGTGTTTGATTATCTATAACCATATATCAGGGGTATATATATATATACACATTTGAGGATTGCCACCAATTGCCACCTCCCTCTCCTTTATTTTTTGACATGAATCTTTTATATTTTTAATATGTTTTAGAAGGTTAGGAATTAATAAATGTTAAACAATTAAAATTTATTATTTTAAATAATGATGAAGGATTTATATAATGGGTGAAATAGAGATAAGGGGTATATTGTTTTCCTTTCGATAGTAAGGGGTTATTAAATTTTATGCTGGAATTTGTGTTTGTGATGTTTTTATATTATATGTTTGTTTAATATTTTATTAGAATAGTTTGTTAGTGGTTTTTATTGAGTTCGTTAGCAATTCTTATCGAATATTCTATTAGAATGGTTCGTTAATAAATGCTTTCGAATATTTTGTAAAATTGGATTTTGTTGAATATTTTAATAGTTAGTGGATTTCGGTAAGTATTTTATTAGAATAGTTGATTGGTGGATTTTGTTTAGTATTTTATTAGAATTGTTTGTGAACGAATATTTGTTAGAGCGGTTAATATATCTCGCTTAATATTTTGTTAGAATGGTTTGTTAATGGATTTTGCCGAGGAATATTTTATTCGAGTTGTTTGTTAGTGGATTTTGTTGAGTATTTCGTTGAATATTTTATAATAATTTATTAATAATGAATAATTATTATATTGTTTTGAATAAGCAATTTTGTTTATTATTTTTTTGGAAGGGTTTGGTTTTTCTGAATGGAATTGATTTTTGTGTTTTCGAGATTGGTTTATAGGATAATTGGAATTTAATATTCATAGATAAGATTTTTAATGCAAGATTAATTAAGCAATTATAGATTTTATGTTTGTTTATAGTTGTAAGTTGGGTATTGCTCGAAGCGATTTTTTTTGTTGGTTATTGTATTTTAAAATTTAGGAAGGAAAAAATGAAATGATAGAATATTGGTTTATTAAATATTATTTAAATATTATTAAATTATATAGAATTTGTAATTATTTATATTATAGAAATAAATTATATATAGTTTGTAATTGATTTTAATAATTGTTTTAATTAAATAATATAATCATAATATATATAAATAAATATATATTATTTTAAATAAACTAAAATATAAAGATATATATATACATATTTAATAGTTTAATTCAATTTATATTATATAAATATATTATTTATAATTTATAATAAACCAATTTTTATTTAATATAATACTCATAATCCGGTACGGCCTCGAGGTCGTATTTCTCGTGCACCGGCAAGCCGTTGTAGCGGTACTCCGGCCAAATCAAAGTGCTTGCGGCGAGCGGCTATGCTTGTGCCGGTCTTTTTTCGTGGCACAAGTTCCCATATCTTCGCGCGGCCCGGAAGGCTCCGAAATTTTCTCTTATAAACCGGTACGGCCTCGAGGTCGCATTTCCCGTGCACTGGCAAGCCGTTGCCGGCCGAATCGTAGTGCTTGCTGCGAGCGGCTGTCTTTTCTCCGCGACACAAACTCCCGCCTCTTCGCACGGCCCGGAAGGCTCCGAAATAGGTTCTTAACAATTTTGCTTAGAGTTCCCGTAGCGTAACCCGGCCAAATTTTCCCGAATTTTGGGTCGCTTCCGGCGACGCGGCTCTTAGGTTTCCGGACATTACCCCCGCAAATTTCTTCAGAATTTGGCGGCTTTCCGAAAAAAATACCGGGCCAAATGTCGGGGAACAATTGGGGGACCTGTCCGAGTCGAAATTTCTTAAAAATATTGTGCCGGATGTCTCCGTATCTTTGCCTCTCTCTATGTGTGTTCGTATCTATCTATTTCATAATCTTTGTCTTTCTCTGTCTATCTTTGTGCATCTCTGTGTATCCTAATTTGTTTCTTTTGAGTGTTTGTGCCTCTCTGTCTCTATCTGTCTGTTTGTGTCTCTCTGTCTCTCAGGTTGTCTCGGTTTATTTCTGTTTGTCTCTATGTATCCGTGGTCTTTTTGTATCTCTTTGTCTATTTCCGCGTGTCCGTGCTTATCTGTTTGGTAGTATCTATTTATCTCTATCTCTATTTTAATCTTTCTGTCTGTTTATGTTTGTTTTGCGGGTCGGTGCACAAAAATTGCATACTTCTGCGTTGTTGTGTGCCGTACCTCTCCCTTTAAAGCTCCGCTTAATTCTTTTTATTCTGTCTTTCTTTTCGTTTTTGATCGTTGTTATTATTGTTCTTTCTTGCTGCCTGCTTCCCCCAGTTTCTCTTCGCCCATGGGATAAGGGACAGCTTGCTTAGGTCCTGTTGGGATATTGGCTCGTTTTTTCCGGGGCCGGAAGTGGCTTTGGGGAGCTTTCATTTCGGGTATCTCCGCTAGTAATAAATCCTCTTGCCATGAATTTATCTCTTTCTTTTTCTGTCTTTTTCTCTTTCTTTCTTTCTCTCTTTCTCTTTTCTTGTTTTTTCTCTCTCTTTCTTTTTCTCCTTTTTTCGCTCTCTCTCTCTTTTTCTCTTTTTCATTTTCTCTTTCTTTATCTTTCTTTTTCTCTCTCTCTGTTTCTTTTTCTGTTTCTCTTTTTTTCTCTTTCTTTTATTCTTGGCTTTCCTCTCTTTCTTTCTCTCTTTATTTTTTTTCTTCTTTTTTTCCCCTCTTTTTCTTTTTTCTCTTTGTCTCTTTATTTTTTCCCATTTTATTTTTATGTCTTTTATTTTTATTTTTTATTTTTCATTTTTTTTCTTATTTTTTTTTCTATTTTTTGTTTTGTTTCTTCATTTTTTTTTATTGTTTTCTTTGTTTTTTTTGTTGGTGTTACCTGGAATCTATGTTTATAATGTTTTTACATCCCCTCCGGAATGTTCCCGGTGATAACTCGAGTGTTTTCCGTAATAGCTCCTGGAAGAGTGTGGTTATCTAGTAGGGGGCAATAGTCCCGATTGCGGAAAATTCCTCGAATTGGAGGAAGCCTGAATAGGACGTTGGGAATTGTTCGTAGTGATGGGTACTAACATTAATTGTGGACAATATTGGTCTTAACAGAATTTCGAGTTTATTAAACCCGTCTTCCCCTATGTTTTATTGGTCTAGTGGTTTAATAGCGGTGCGTTGGCTGGCGGATTCTTATCCCTTATTTAATATTTCATTAGAATAGATTTCCAATGGATCCCATTAAATATTTCGTTAGAATAATTTATGAATGGATCCCGCCGAATATCCCCCCAGAGTTATTCGTTAATAGATCCCGTCTAATATCCCACCAAAATTATTCATTAGTGGATTTCGCCGAATATCCTGTCAGAATGGCTCGTTAATGGATCCCGCCGAGTATCTTAGTAAAGCGGTTCGGCACTAGATGTCGAGACTAGAGTAATGAATCCCGACGAATATGTTACCGAGCGGCTCGCTAATAAATCCCGCCGAATATCCCACCAGAACGAATCAGTAATAGATCCCGATACATATCCCTTGCCGGTGGATCCTGCCGAGTATCCGGTCAATATCGAGCCAAAATTATTTTCATATTTTAAATGAGTAGATCCTAATGCTCAAAAAATAATGTTTTAAATTAATTCCCCAATAAATTTCTTTTTAGAATAAATTCATTTTTAACCCCAAACCAATCTCAATTCATTATAATTATAATCATATACTCATAAAAAAAAAACTAATAGTAAAAATATTATTAGTTACCATCAACCATATATTCAATATTATATATTTTAAAAAATGCAAACAACAGAATATTTGTTTTATTATAAATATATTATTTACTAAACTATTTGAATTTGGTAAAACAAAAATACTATATATATAATTTATATAATAATTTAATTTATTTAATAATATAATTTTTATTTAATCATAATATCATTATTTATATGTTTTTCTAATTAAACATAAAACCATATATTAATAATATAATTTATCAAAAATTATATAAATTTATATTACATAAATATTAATTTTATATTATATTTTTTTATTTGCTTTTATTAGTTATCGATTTTATAAATTTGTATAATAAATATAATATTAATTCTATATATTAATTATAATAATACAAATTAACTAAAGAAATATTAATTAATATAATATCTTTACACAATTAAATTTAAATATAATATATTTATTTAATAATTATAATATATTTTATCATAAATAACAAATAATATAATCAAAATCAATATACAATTATACTATCCAAATCAACAAATATGCAAACCAAATCAAATTTCTATTATTCAATTTCAAACATAAAACATATAATTTTTTGTATATATACACATATATTTCTAAACCAAAATACATGTTCAAACATAAGAATTCAATTCTTTCCTAATTCAATTTTACTACCCTAAACAAATCCAAAATCCATTTTAATCCCCCACAACTAAATTTCTTCATACAATTTTGAATCATCGCTCATATTAAAATAACAATCATCCACATAACCAATACCAAATACAAACTCATTCACAAACTATCATATTCATTCACTCACTCACTCACTCACGCACTTAACTAATTAAGCAAACACAACACAATCTTCTACACAGAGCTTTGAAACTACCTAACTCTAACTCCCGCAATTCAGTCCAACGGGCCGGGGTTTCATAACAATCGTCCCCTCGCTCCGGTTTCGCCAACAACAACTGCACTGTACTTTCTACTTGCTCTCGGCTCATGCAATCTAGTAAGAGAACATTAGGCGCAGCGCAGCAGGAAGCTCTAGGCAGTCCGGGCCCCAAGGCTACCGCAGGTGAAGCTCTAGGGTTTACGCACGCTTGGGAGCATGAGGGTTGCCAAATTGCCAGGCAATGTTGCAGTGTTAAGGTCTCGAAGTCCCCAACATGACGCGGGCTTTCCTGTGCTAAACTTGCAGCCGCTGCGTTTCATGATCGCGAAGCGAAGGTCTTCCCAAGGATGTTAAGAATGGCATCAAGATCAACGGTGCTACGCACGATGAACTGAAGCAGCAAATCATCAGCAAACACAGTGGCCACATCATGAAAGCCAGCGCAAGAGCGCGGAGGAGTGCAATAGTGATGAGCAAGGGTGCAGCCCTGACGAACGCCACGTTGACGGAGGATGGAGGGATCGCGCGGAGCTGTGCGGTAGGCTATGGGCTCATGCAAACTGTTTGATGGTAAAGGCTGTGGAGGAATCAATGGAGACAGTAATGGTGGCAAGACAGCGGGTAGGCACACACCCAAGCTCGCGTCTGTCACGCGCAGTCACACGACAGGTGGCCAGCATGTGGCGAACAGCCGCGCAAGATGCTGCGCGGGCAATGGCATGATCGAGCCCACAAGCACAGAGCTTGGCTTACTCCGTGCGTGGGAACAAGGTGCGTGGGGGCACGGCCAGAGCGTTCAGCGACGACCACCTTTTTTGCTGACCAAAGCACTTGTTCCTCATGTTTGGTGATGAAGTGGATTCCTCGTCCCTGAGCTGCGCTCTGACACGTGGAGTCTTGGGGGCAAGACGCTTGATGATGCCATACAAGGCCTGCCTCTCGCCTCGCACCTCAGCTTGCGCAGCAATTGCAAGGGCTGCGTCGAAGAGCTGCGACTAAGTTCCTTTGCAGCGTAGGCCTTCCAGACTTGCCGAAGTGTACACCTGCCCATGTTCCGCAAGGTCCTCCAAGGCTCTACTTTGAGGAGGACTGCGCTGGAGTCAACCCACGCAGCATGTGATTAGCGTGCTGTGCCAGGTTGGCCGCAAGCCTTCGCGAAACTGCTGCTAAAATTTATGCCTGCTGCGCATCACGGAGCCTTGATTCGCGTGGCAGGCAAGCTCAAGGCTATCCGCGTAGTGAGAAGCGTTTACAAAGTGCGTAGGGCCATGTCTCCAGCGTCCGTGCAAGCTGGCTATAGGCTCTCCTAGTGCTGATAAAGTCTATCTGACTGGCCCGACACCCGTTCTCCGTTCTCTGAAAGGTCGCCGCTCCGTTGTTCGTGGGTAGAAAGCCTCGAACTTCTGCTGCAGCTGCTCAAACCCCTACGCCAGAGAACTGTAAAGCTCATTTCTTCGTCAACTGTGCTGGGTCAAGCCGCTCATCCTCCAGTTTCAACCAGAAGCGGTTCCTGTCTCATCTGGCAGGGGTGCAAGCTCTGTCCGGCTTCCAAAGCCCGGCCTCGGTAAGGCCATGCAGGCTAACGTCATGCCTCCTACCCAATGCGAACATCCGCGGCGCTATAAAGGGATACCGCTGTATGGGTGGTGCCGCGCTGATCAGGGCGTGTGGGGTGGCTTGATTGTGCCAGAAGTCTACGCAATCCGCCCAATCTGGGATTGAGAGCGCAAGAACCTCACCTCTGGCGTTCCCGTCAAGAGTACCCGAAAAGCTGTTAGGTCTTGACTGCGCAAGCAAGAACTGCTCGCAATCCTGCTGGCTGTGAAGATCACGCCATCCCCGCATCACTAGTTTCCGCGGGAGCAGAGACATGATGTGCAACGGTGTGTTCCTGTAACTAAGCAGAGCGGCAAGGGCTGAGCGAAGACCTCCGCCCATTTCAAGTGGACAACAAGTTAGCAAAAATGAAGCTCTTTGTCAGGAAGCCCACTCTTCCACCGCCGCCTCCGCCTCCTCCTTCCAAGCGTGCGCGCACTGGACCGGCAGCGAGCACGGTGCCCGGATTTGTGCCCGAGCTGGTGGCAAAAATGGCAAGATAGCGACAGGAATTCGCTGCGCCAGCCTATGTAGCGTTTCGAAGGGCCTGCGCAGATCTGCATGAGAGGCCTATGCAAGTGAGATGAGGAGGCAATTGTCCTCCCAGCCATTGCTGGCCGGATCTATAGGATCTGTCTCACTTTTAGTCGCGCAAGGAACACTTCCAGAACGACTCACTCACTCTCACTCACCCTCACTCACTCTCACTCACTCTCACTCACTCTCACTCACTCTCACTCACTCTCACTCACTCTCACTCACTCTCACTCACTCTCACTCTTACTCACTCTCACTCACTCTCACTCGCTCTCTCTCGCTCTCGCTCTCACTCTCGCTCTCACTCTCGCTCTCGCTCTCACTGTCGCTCTCGCTCTCGCTCTCACTCTCGCTCTCACTCTCGCTCTCACTCTCGCTCTCGCTCTCACTGTCGCTCTCGTTCTCGCTCTCACTCTCGCTCTCACTCTCGCTCTCACTCTCGCTCTCACTCTCACTCGCTCTCACTCTCGCTCTCACTCGCTCTCACGGACTCTCACTCACTCTCACTCATTCTCACTCACTCTCACTCACTCTCACTCTCTCTCACTCTCTCTCACTCTCTCTCACTGTCTCTCACTGTCTCTCACTGTCTCTCACTCTCTCCCACTCTCTCCCACTCTCTCGCACTCTCTCGCACTCTCACCTTCTCACCTTCTCACCCTCTCACCCTCTCACCGACTCACTCACTCACTCACTCACTCACTCACTCACTCACTCACTCACTCACTCACTCACTCACTCACCTCACCTCACTCACTCACTCACTCACTCACTCACTCACTCTCACTCTCACTCTCACTCTCACTCTCACTCTCACTCTCACTCTCACTCTCACTCTCACTCTCACTCTCACTCTCACTCTCACACTCACACTCACACTCACACTCACACTCACACGCACACGCACACGCACACGCACACGCACATGCACGCTCACACGCTCACACGCTCACACGCTCACACACTCACACACTCACACACTCACACACTCACACACTCACACACTCACACACTCACACACTCACACACTCTCACACTCTCACACTCTCACACTCTCACACTCTCACACTCTCACACTCTCACACTCTCACACTCTCACACTCTCACCCTCTCACGCTCTCACACTCTCACTCTCTCACTCTCTCATTCTCACTCTCTCACTCTCACTCACTCTCACTCACTCACTCTCTCTCTCTCTCACACTCTTTCACTCTCTCGCACTCTCTCGCACTCACTCGCACGCACGCACGCACGCACTCACTCACTCACTCACTCCGCCACTCACTCCCTCACTCACTCCCTCACTCACTCACTCCCTCACTCCCTCACTCACTCCCTCACTCCCTCACTCCCTCCCTCCCTCCCTCCCTCACTCACACTCACTCACTCACTCACTCACTCACTCACTCACTCACTCACTCACTCACTCACTCACTCTCTCACTCACTCACTCACTCACTCCCTCACTCTCCCTCACTTTTCCTCACTCTCCCTTACTCTCTCGCGCTCTCCCTCACTCTCCCTCACTCTCCCTTACGTTTGCTTAATCTCCCTCACTTTCCCTTACTCTCCCTCACTCTCTCACCCCCTGACTCCCTCACTCCCTCACTCCCTCGCTCCCTCGCTCCCTCGGTCGCTCGGTCACTCGTTTGATGAACATATGAAAATTAGCCATTCACGCACATATACATGCTCTATATGTGCTCAGCACTGGCAGGAGTGGCTTATCTACGGATGCATTTACATAATTTGTAAATTACAAACGTCATATCCACCTATACTTACAAAGTCAGGTGATATATATATATATATATATGTATACATATATTATTACATATCTATATTTATATATATATATATATATTGTGTAAGTTAGTTCAATCTACGCATGATGTTTTGTCACGACCGACCACGCAGCCAATTGCAAATGCAGCAGCACATGCGTGATACGAAGTTGCGAGCCCTGCCGTTCTGGTCGGGGCTGATGGTACTCTCGAACATGAACGCCGGACTCCTTGGTTCACGAGGCAAGTCAGGCAGCTCTGGGACAGAGTTCGATGTTTGGCAGCTCGAATGTGTTCCTTATACACACCAAAGTCCGTTCTCGCGACTCGTGGGTTCCGAGTCGTCCATTTCCAGACGCATCCTAGTGTTCAACCTCCACTAAAATAAATTTACCTGATCAAACTCAGGCAAACAGTGGTGGCTAGATTCACCTCCCTCGTTTTGATGGTGGTTTGAATCGCAGGGCAAACCTGGTGTTTGGGGCAACAAACAAGGCTCCAAAACTGACCAGGTTTCTTGTTCGGAAAATCGAGAAAACCCTCCCTTTTGTGAGTTGCCTCTCGAAACCAAAGAGGTTGCTCCCCAAAAACGGGGTACTGAGAAAATGCTTGGGAGGGAAGCCTTTCGGGGTTAGGTTCTTTGTAAGTTGGAATTGCCTACCGTTCAAGGCATTGGACATCTTTCATCTTGATACTCTTAGAACGTATTATTGTCCTTTCTATCTATCACTTGTCTCACCCATTCACACCCCAAAGGCAAACAATAATGATAAATGGGGAAGTGACAGGATACAAGGATGAAAGAGGAGAGAGGCTCCTGTCACGTTGACTTGCGGGTCCGAGCGGAGAATGAAGGAAGACCCAAAAGGGCCAACGGGCAAAAAGGTCGCTCCAGTCTACCAGCGCAAGCAACACGCAAAACGGAACAACACAACCAAAGCGTTGATTAGTCGATGTCTGCGTCCCGGGGCGCGATCTGGATTTGGGCTGGCACCAAGTGAAGAGACACAGCAGCGCCGGCTCCATACGTGCGGCAGTGGCGAAATCCTCGAAGGCCACCAGGCGCCGTCCTTCTGGGCTTTGCACCTGGAAAAAAATACAACAACAACAAAAAACATAGGGCAGAAGCTCCACGGGGCGGGTCCGCCCTTTTGTGGGTCAAACCTTGGCGCACAAGAAAAGAGGGAAAACAGAAAACAAGATGCACTGATTTCTTGCTTCTTGGTTACCCCAAGATGTAGGATCTGTTTGCAGAAACCCTCATGTGCCGTCATTACAACAACGTTTCGTTTCCACTTCACCTCGTGGAAAGGCAACTCCCAGAAACCCGGTTTTCAACATATTTGCCACTAGAACCAACCCAACGAACAACCCAACTGGAAAAATACACATACACCTACAAACAAGGAGGAACCTGACAAAAAAACCTCAACTTTCCAACTCCAATCAACTTCAACCACCATGACCCGTGCTTCGTGCCGGAACACTCGATCGCTCACTCGCGCCAACAAAACGCCGCCGTACCCTTCTCCAGGTTGGATTTTAGAGACAAAGAAGAAGAACCCACCCGTCTGTGGACCCTCGAAGCAACATGAAGGTCACAAAAAAGGTTGCCCTGGGAGTCAAACCACCATCAACACAGCGGGGTGAACATGAACCACCATTGTTTGTGTGGGGTTCATCATCTAGATTGGATCCTTGCCATTCTTCTGGAGTTGAAGCCTAGGGGAAGTCCCGAAACTCTGAAGCAAGTCTAACATTTTGTCGGGTGGGACAAGACACCTGTTTCATTGCAAAGATCCCAACAAACAGCAAACAAAGAAACGGGCCCTCCGTCTGAATGCACTCGCAACCAACCGCTTTTGGGCAACTTGTGAGTGCGTCGGCTTCTACCTGGCTTCTTTTTGGGGTTAGGTACCCAACAATGGCGGTGTCCCTTTAACATGAGCCCAAAAACATTACCCTCAAAACAACACAAACCCGTTTAACCTTAATCATTGGTTAACAATAAGTCCATGGGTTTTGGAACCTCATTTTATCGAAATACCAAGTATCGTTTTCACTGTGCAGCCAACGGGATTTTAATTCTGCCCCAATTGTGCGCTTGGTCCTTTTTTACAGGGGACCTAAAGGGGACCAAAACAGGTCGTTTAAACCAGAGCGGCTTAAACATGTTCAAGCGGGCTGAGTCGCCCAAGCTCTGTAACCCATGTCAGCTCATGAAAACACAAAGCAGCACCAGCATGTTGGACCCAGTGGTCCATGCTTTCCCCTTAAAACCGATGCATCCAAACCAGGGATACCCTAAAACACCACCACAGAGGCACACAGAAACACGCACACACCCACACCCACACCCACCCACACACACACACACACGCGCACAAAAAACAACACCACGGGGCTCAATAGTTTGCCCGTGGTGAGTCATTTGGAGATACTTTCTGGGGTATCGGGGCGGGGTGGGGGTGCAAAAGAAGTAGCTTTGTTGATTTCCCGTTGAAAAATCCTCAAGTCACCTTGGCGGCTGCAAGAAGACGGCAAAGAAGTGAATAGTACGGAGTGTTCTGCTTCATGGACCGGTCCTCGGCTTCTAGGCTTCAAGCGAGCTGATCTGATTCGAGTAAGATCTGACAGAGCGCAGAACCCACGAAGCCGTTGTGTTAGAGACGCCTTTGCGAACCTCTTGGGCTTCATGCAATGACGAGTATCACTGTTGACTTGCTGTTGCACAACCTGCACAAATCGAAAAACCAAAACACATGCAAGACCAGAACACTCAGGTCTTTCCAACAATTTAGGGACTTCAGGTGGATTCCCCTCTGCCCCTCCAAACCCTCTCTTTCCAACCCAACTAAAAGGAATCCACCTAACCTGATGAAACGCTTTTGATCCGAACCAAAGTCCCCGCGAAACCTCCTCAATCCTGCCAGCTCTCTACCAAGGAAGCATTCCGCGAGGTCGGCGGGGTCATAGGCAGCATAGACAGCGCACTGAGCATTGAGGAAAAAGCACCGGCCACTTTCTGTGATATTTGGAGCATTCACAAGGCGGGCCGCTTGTCGAAAAGTCACCATTACCCACTATTAGTCACTAGGCTACAGCTATGAATCAGATAGGACTACGTTAGAACATGGCCTATCAACATGTATGCGAGAGCAGTCGGAAGCACTTGCGACTTGGCCCGCCTGCTGGCCGCAGGGAACGAGGAAGCTGCCTCCTGACATCCGAGCCGACTGCTTCATGGAGGTTCCAGGCTTGTCTTCACTCGCTTCAAAGGGAGCCCCTCTTAATTTGGATACACATGTAAAGGCCTTTCTACCCTGATTTCACGAGAGAACCCCTAAACTGGCCAAAGGTTTTGCGCATTTTGCTGAAGTAGGATGCCCGAGAAGAATGGGTAGAGCGAGGACAACTACGTTGCAGATGCAAGTGCCAAGCCGCCAACGGCAGGTGGTGGTCAACCCCACTCACCGTCACAACCCACTCCCACCTCTCTGGCCAACCGTTGCAGGCGCGGTATGACCTGCACAGGGCAGCAAACAAAGAGGCTGCTCCTCAAGCAGCTCAGCTTGAAGCAAGTCTGTTTGAGGTGAAGACTTTTCGCATTCGCAAGACATGGTAAACTGCACAGTCTGATACAAGATACAAACTCCAGGAAAATCGCCAGGAAGATAGCCCAACACCCCGCAAAAAAAGGGGGTGGTGCGAATTTCCTTCAGGTCCCTGGAGCTTGTTTCTTAGATCTGAGGGCATAAGCTGTGTGTCATAACGACAAGCCCCATCTGCCTACCCTGAGGGTCCCAACTGCTTTTGGTTTCGTGGAGGCCCCTGAGGAATTGGTCGGGCTTCTTGATTGCAGGGAGGGCTCCGCATCGGAGGGGTCTTGCCCCTCCGAGTGGCTTCCCCTCAATGCTAGCGTGGCTTATGATGAGCGTTCTGCTGAATCCCACTTTGAGCGCGGAAGCACCAATTCCTGTTCAACCGGAAGCCGTTGGGTATGAAGTTGTGGTTGGATCCCGTGGGCATCGTGTCAACACAAAAACCCGTAGGGGGTGTTCATGTTTGAGTGGGTATAGAATCCCAGAAACAAGGCCTGCCTATACTCTCAAGCTGGTCTAACTGGCCCAAACCCCAAAACAAAGATAGCGAAGCGAGATGCACCCTACTTTTTGGTGCCACGATTGGTCAACTGGATGTTAGCCAGGCATAACTTGAAACGGAGGTTCTTCGAACTTTGCCTATCCAAAGGCGAAGGTGTGGCAGGGCCGGACGAAGGCTCCGGAGCCTCATCGCCACGCGAGAGAGGTCGATTGTTGGATTGGATCAAGGCCACTCGGAAGAGAGTGGCGCACAGCTCCATCACGTCGCTCAGCATCAACCCTCCTCGTCCTCACAGGAAAACATACACCCCCAACCAAAAGCAAACTAAACACACGCTTTCCGGGGTGTCAACACCTGACTAGAAAAGAAGGCATTCACCATGAAACAACTGGTTTTCCCTACAACACTCAGGTAGGGGTACTCCCCACTCCACATATTCGTTTGTTCAAGGGTATATGCTCAAAAACCTTCCATAGAGTCAACAAAATATTCTTGAATCCGGGGGTTGACATCACACCCCCACAAAAGATGGGTATTCGGAGTAGGTGATGCGGACTTCGGATTCAGACCGGAACGAATAAATCCCCACTGACCGTGCTTAGTTTGCATGTTTGCCAAACAATGGTGGCCATATTATCCCTGTTTTGATGGTGGTTTGAATGCCCAAGGTGTCCAAAACCCTTAGCTTCCCAAAAAAGCCTTTGAAATTCACGCTGGTGGGAGAACCGCGATCAATTTGGCCTCCATGGAATCCTCACGTCCGATCGCGTGGATTGCCCAAACACACCAAAAGTGGTCTTCCCAAAAAGGTGACTGACGTCCAGGAACTTGGGGAGTGAGGGATGCGTTGAAATTCTGAACGACCAACCCTGTCCAATCGCGCTCCTTCAGAGTCAAAGAGGTCGAAGCAAACCTCACGCTGTTCCACTGGCCCTTTGCAAGCTGGGGCAGGGGATTAGATTTCCCACCAAAAAGCGACATAGGCAACCCTTCAAATGGCCATGGTACTGCAACCAATTTGATCCTAAGTGAACATACATGACCCTGGTGTAACACCAGTTTGGAAAAAAAGGGCAAAAAGGAGTCGTGATTTGGCGTGGTCCCAGCGAATCTGTGCATTTGCCACAAATTTCAAGACCTACAAAAAAGATCCCGAAGCAAAGAACCTTCAGCATGGTGAGCTCATAGTGCCCCCTGGTGAGCTCGCCATAAAATATGCACATGCCTTCCCACTCCCTGGTCGACGTCTAAGCCCGCCACTTGCAACTTTTCGTCCATCGTTCCCAAAGCCAAAGCTGACCTCAGCCGGCTTTGTCACCCCAAAAGGATTCTGCATGTCTATGGCTTTCCTGGAAAGAGGAATGTGTTAAGATACCGCAAAAAATGCCGCTGGCTTCCCTCCGACGGATTCACTTAGACTCTCACCCGGTCCCCCTTCAGGTCTCCAAAGCATCCCTCCAACAAAGTACCCAAATGTGAGGATCTCCATTAAGACAATGCCCGCTGCCAAAAGCATGGGATGCCAGTCCAGCCCCGCATAAGGTTCTGGGAGCGACAATCTCCCAAACCCAGTCCAGGAGTGAAATGCTGATTCACAGTGTAATTGTCATGAGCCAAAACAGAGGGTGGCAACTCGACACAACGTATCCAGCGCTAAGACAGTGGTGGAAACCTTCGTAGCAACCATCTGGGTGGGAACACTTCCACGCTGGATTCTCACTCACCTGAACATCTTCGTAGGAGTTTGATCAGAATTGAATTAGGAACCTAGCAAGTAAACGAAAGACAAGCTGTCTGCTTCTTCTAATTTGGCTGGTCCTTGAAAGGCGAAGCACCACCAGAATTCAAGGAACATGCAGTTTCAGTTCTATTGGTTTGCAAATATGTCTATTTGCAAGGTGTTGTTTGAATTCCAATAGGATTTAAATAGAATTGAAATCGGAATTCATGTCCAAGTAGCACCTCAACTACAATTCATTTAGCATTTAAACAGAACCAACCAAGCAAACTAGTAGCCCTACCAAAGACAAACAATACTACAAAAACCTCGAGAAAACCGGAACAAACAACCTAGAACAGGCTAACAGCCACAAAAACAACTCGACAAAACCAAACAAACAACTAAGAAACCATGCTTCCAAACCTTTTTCAACATGAGCTCTTCTCCAAACTGTAGTTTTGGCTGGGGTTGCCCAAATGTCCCCTGTGTTGCTTGGAGTTGGGCAACTGCCCAGCTTGACCAATGCAAGACTGGAAGCATCAAAACACACAGCAAAAAAAGCACTACCAGAGTCTCGTGTTCTGAGACCTTTCCATCCATTTGAACGTGGTCGGGGAAAGCGAATCCGATCTCTGTTAGATACTCAATGACGAAAACCCCGGAAACTTTTTGAGTGGCGCTTTGCCGCTTTGTGGAAAACACCGATGGCAGTTGGTTCGAACTGAACTGAACTATTGTCAACTCAACTCAGCTGAAAAGGACCCCGCTCTTGATGGCAAAACCAAGCCTCACCCAAAGGAATACCTATTTGAAGGGGCAGGACACTTAGTAAGAGGTGAGGCGCCATGGTTCCAACCCACTTATGGTTGTGTGGGAGCGACGCCAACCACCCCCAAACGACAAGCACCCCAACAAGGCAAACCCCTAATAGCGGGCGATTGCAAAACACGCGAAGCAAGGGGCCGCTCAAGCAAGCGCCCAGATTTCCTACTTATTCTCCCTTCCAGTAATATAGCACCTGACAAGGGGTTCAAGGAAATCGATCTTCTGGCAGCTCCCAGCTACGTCTACGTTTGGAGGGGGTTACCTGCCTCCGGGGACGGCACATGCCACAGGCCAGCTCCACAAAGGCGAGGCGGCCCACGCTGAAGCAGTCCAGCTTCCTCAGTCGTTTGGAGATCGATTCTCAGTTTTTGTTGGCCTTGAGTTTGAATTTCTCCAGTTTGATCAGGGATCCTTACATTAACATTATTCACCTGAACATTGCCTTGTAAATGGTGGTTTCCTTTTATTTTGCTGGACAAAGCCATGTTTCAAATGGGCAAAATGTATCTTTTAAGGAGCCCTATTGATCTGGAGTTGTTTTGAATACCACCAAGGGCTTCCAACGGCTGATTGGACACCAAAGGGGCCACACAAGAGAACTTCAGGCAAAAATGGGCCGCCCTTGGCACGTGCTGGCATCCCCCTTTGGGCTTCTTGGAAAATTGGAAGTTGCGGGGGTATTTGGCACACATGCTTCCAGTCACACTAAGGTTGCGTAGGGAGAAGGGGCACTCTCCCATCCTGAGTCGTGGTGGTGTGGGTGTTCGCACGATTTTCCGCTGGGGGAGCCGCCAACCCGCCACCGGCCCTGGCGAGTGGTTTCCATCGCCGGCCAAGAGATGACCGCCACTGCAAAAGACCAAAGACACTTGCAACCAGGCAGCAATGGACAAAACATCAACTCTTCTCCCAATGGACAACCTGTAAGTGCGTTGGGGAATGAACTTACCTATCGAGCCAGCAATTGTCCTCCGCGTCCCATACCCAGAACCCGGCCATTTTTTGCTGGTTGAATTTGACGCAACATGGTGGTGGGAATACATCTGATACCAAAATAGGCAATCCCACTATTTTCTCACTTTAGGAGGTTTTCTTGGTATCACATAAATGGTCCTACCAAGTTTGCTATAACCACGTGAATAAGGGACCCCCCAAAACTCCCACTCCAGAGCCACAAGCGCCAAGGACCCTGACCCCACCCCCAACCACCACCCCTCCCACCCCAAGTCAGTTGCCAAGTTGCGTGAAGAGTCGCCCGCACAGCTCAGTCGGGAACTGCGGCACCGCGCGCTTCACGAGCTCCTCACAAAGCTAGCTCATGTGGCTGTGGTTGTCAAAAAAAGGGTAACCCCCAAATGGAACCAGAGTAAGTGGAAACATAGACCAAAACATGCGGTCCCCTGGTAGTTTAATTTTGACCCATACCCATGTGTTGCTCTCTCCAAAACTAAAAGGATTTAGAGCTAGCACTGATACGGTGCAGAAATATCTCTGGAGGCTTCGTTTTAAAGGGTCGCCGGCGTTTTACGGCGTTGTAGCCCGATTCCACCCGAATACATATTCTTGAGGCGGAGTTTTCAGGGATCCCTCACATGGGCTTAGCGTTGTGACCTACGCTCTCAGCTGAACTGGGCGTTGTCCTGATTATCATTTTAAATGGTTTCAGTACGTTTCTCTTGCAAGCCCACACAATTTTCCGAGGCGATCTTGGAGAAACAGTACGTCAAAGGTAGACATCATCCCCTTCAAAGCGCGGAGGGTTGGAGTGGGTCGTCCAGAGGTAGTTTGGGAACAAGCTCACAAGACACAGAAAGCCCACCCAAGCTTGCAGGTTAAGTCTTGTTTCCCATTGTTGTGTAGCTTAGCAGGGCTACCCCGCTTGGGTGAGAAAGATCCCGATCTTATAACTAGCGTTCTCCAAATTTGGACAAGCTCTAGCATGCCAACTGGCCCCCGAAGTAGCCCCTGCTGGAGGATGGCTGCTTGACAAGTTTACTATTTGATAGCCTGTGGTTGTCCTGGCTTTTTTATGGGGTGGTTCCTTGCTTATACAGCTCACTATACAAGCAATGCTGCCAACCTAAGTCGCTAGGTAAGTAAGTAAGTAAGTAAGTAAGTAAGCAAGTAAGCAAGTGAGTAAGTAATTAAGTACCTAAGTGCGCAAGAAAGTAGATAAGCTAGTAAGTACGTAAAAGACAAGTAAATAAGTAGCTAATTGATTGACTGACTAACGGACTAACTGGCTATACAACCAACCAACTTTGTTTGCACCTTTATGCTTCTGGTATCCCATTTTGGGGGCCCGTGAAGTCGTTTAAAAAAGAGGAAAACATAAGCAAACGCGTAACTAAATCGTAAGAAATAGTGCAAGTTTGGTCAAAGTCAAAATCGTGGGGAATGTATTTTGTACGCAACATGTGCATTTTGTTTGTTGTCGCCGTGTTTGTCTACGATCTATTTACGAATGAAATACGATAGGATGTACGATTTGTTTTATCGATTCCGGAACCCCCTGCCTTCAGGCGGGAGAGGTGTTTTTGTGCTTTTTCTCGGAGGAGGGGTGCCTGAAATAAATGCAAACATATTGAAATCGCAAATGTGCACTAGCGCCTACGCCCAGCGACATTTAGTTTGTCGCTCCCAACGACTGATTTGTCTTGCCACCCCCAAGGAAGTCGTTGCTGTTTTTGGGTGGCTCCTTAATGAATACATCCAAACACCAACTGCTAAGCATCCTCTAAATCAACTGTAAAGGTGATTTGTTCAACTACTCGCCCAAGCGTATGCTTTAAGGGACCTGGCTCTGTTCGGGGACATGCCGGGGAAGATCAATCTGCATTTGTTCTTGAATCAATTTCAACACCAACAAGAATTGGACATGAGTGCAGCACCTACATAGGCAGTCACCCGTTTCAGCCCAACCCCCCCCCCCCCCCGGATCGACGGAATCGCGCGTTACAACCCTCAGCCAATTCTTGGGATCCGAGCTTGATACCCAAGGGGACTGATCCCAGTGACCCCAGCGAGTTCGATTCGACGCCTTGAAGCTGTCGAGGTCCAGCAGGGCCTCAGAAAGCCACTCAGTCTCGCTCCGGCTCGAGAAACTTGTCACCCGCGGTTTTGGAGGGGATGTAGATTTTATGAGGTCCCCAAACCTTGGGTGGGGTTTCAACCCCTTGGCCTGGATCTGGGGCACACAAACAACTGTATTGGTGGAATATCCTTCATATGTAAGCAACTCGAAACTATAACTCATTGGTGCGATTTCAGATGAGTCAGCTTCAGCTTCGGCCCTTCATCGAGTGCAGCAAAGAGGCTGGCTGCTTGGAATTTTGCTTCATGGTCTCCACTGCAATTCGCAAGCGCGTGATCTCCTCGGCGGGACAAATGGGCCTTCCCAGCCAATACTATTCCTATTGTTGATGTTGGAAAAAGGCTTTCGGGGGAACACCTGGTTCCATTCGGTATCCTTTTAAACAACCCCGAAAGGGTGCATTTACTGTCGAGTTTTTTGAACGTGTCAAGTTGAAGAAACTCAGCGTAACCCATATCGACTTTGACACTATGGTGGCCAGTTTCAAAAAGTGAAAGCCACGGAGACCGAGTGAACGGCGAAGCCATGGATATATGAGCCATGGTCAAAACTCCTTGCATAGCCCCCTCAACAGGATTCATTGTAATGGCTTACCCCAAGTAAGGAGGTCCTTTAATTGTGGCACATATGAAGCCATGGGAACGCATGGTTTGCTTCTGCCGCAGCTTGGCTCGGAGCTCGGGGATCACATATTCAGAGGACCCTACTGTGAACGAATTCTGATCGCTGGCGCGGCCAAGAAAACGCGGTCAGGACCATTTCCCATAAATGCCTAGGGAGTTGAATCAGACCACCTCAGATGGATAGCTATGCTGCTGCTTGGTTAGATTTCCCAGCAAATTGAAGTCTAAAGATTTACTGAGGTCTAGTTTACTAGTGTCGGTGCCTGATTCATGAACACGTACCAAACACAGGACAGTTTTGCCCAAGTTGTTCCCTACCCCAGAATGAAAAGCTGTATGTAATACGATCGTTTGTCCGGGAAAAACACAATAACAACAAACACGACTTCATCCGGAAAACTACCCCCATTGCCCAAACTGCCGATTTCCTTACACATCCTGTATACAAAAGTGCCCAGGCGACAAGTTTTCCTAAGGGGTAGTACCCAAAACAGCTGAGAAAGCGTTTCCAGGCCAAAAAAACAAAGTACTACCATACCCACAGCCAATACTAGGCTGGTACGACTCGTAAAACAAAGCTAGTCCCAAGGCAGCACAAAGCAATACCAAACCAATACAACGAATACTAAACTAGTAAACCTATAGTTCAACATCTAGCCTAGCGCTGGTATTTGGGTATGCGCCAAATCAGGGATGCGGACCCTAAAATAGTGGCGGTAACCCCCGCCCCCCCCAGATCGACCCCACAGATCCGATTAACGTGGGCCCAGCGGCATCGAGGCTGAAGTGTGTGCGCTGGGCCAAGGTCGTCAGCTGCTCATCAACTCGGAGGCATGGATACATTTCTTGGCGCACCAAAAGGACAACACATAAATTATGGTTTTCTGGTTCTGTTCCATATTAAGTGTACCCTAAAATATATTATGGTTTTGAAAGGTACAAACTGTCTGAGTGCGACTTGTCACCACAAATTGCCACTGAATTTGTCTTCCCTAAAAGTTTGAAGTCGACAAACTGCTTTTTCGACCGTCAAACGCTGTCTGATTGCATTCATGGTTTAAGAGACCCCCCCACCCAAACAATTTTTACAACCCTCCTCCCCCCAACTCCAAGGACTGCGGGTTCCTATGTCCAAAATCCGCGTGTCCTTGTCCAGGGTCCTCAAGCTGAACATAATTCAGTCGCCAGGTGCTGCGATGCCCCCTTTTGGGCTTTGGCGTTCCCCCTATTCTGACACACCTGAGTTGCGGAAAGAAAATATTTTCACCCAAAAAACAGTGGTCATCTGCACAAACCGCCCAAAAAGCCAAGGGGGGACGATCGTCCTCAAGGGCTGCTAGGCCGGGTCCGATCTCTGGAGAATCAGCTTCGAAGCCAGACCTCCAAGTGTGGGTTCGCAAGCCTTAGTTCAGAGCCCCGAAATCTTGAAAAGCAGCTGGACCCCAAAATTCATCAGGACGCTTAGTCTTTTGTCGGGGGTATCCGTTTTCGAGTTGGTTGCAAGGGCCCCTAGGGCCTCAAACAAGTGAAACGTAAGCAACTTCCAACTTTCTGGATGTGCCTTTCTTAAGGCTACCCTTTTTATGTTTAAAGGAAAACATCATATGGCTGCGGCTCAAAAGACCGGTACCAAAATGGAACCCTGGCAAGTGGAAGCATGGACCAAAACCTGCGTAACCCCTCCTGTTCAATTTTGAGCCGCACCATATCATTGGAACCCCAAATTCCTCCCCTCGCCCCACATCCCTCGCCCGGTACCCGGATGAGCTCCCGGCCATTCCCGGCGCAGTCGGCGATGGCCTGCTTGCGGCGCCGAACCTCATCCCAGAGACCTGGGCGCTCAATAGGACGTCCGAAAGGGAACGGCACTGATTGAAACCCAAGGGTAGCCCAATGACCCAAGAGGCAAAAGGGCTTTCTTCAGGCAAAGGGGTGACATCAGGCAAAGGGGTTAGTTCTTCGGGTGAGCGCAGGGTTCCCAAGCCCAGGGTTCAACTCCCGCAAAATGGCCCAAGGGAAGCTGATGTAGATGAAACTCAGGCCCTTTCGATGGAAACAATTGGGGCAAGAGTACCGCAATAGCATTGTTTACCCTGAGTTTCATCATCTAGCTTTGAACTCTAGGGAAAGTTGATGCCGGATTCACCAGCGTGGTGGATGTGGGGGGGGAATTGGCCAAAGGACTGTGGCATCCCCACAGAGGATGATGGAAACTTTGAAGCACGCAGATGTCCCTCCTCACGGAGTAGACAGGGGCCCCATTTTAGTAAGACATCCTCAAAACAAGTTACCCTTATGGGGGTTTTAATGGGGAACCACCCCATTATGATTGTTCACTTGAATTTAAGGGCCCAGTCTCACTTCCAGAGTGGATGGGTCAACAAAGCAAGCACCGTTTGTCTACCATCAAAGGAAGCCACAGGTTGTTCCCCGGAACTTCTGGTCCCCTCCAACTCCATCGGGTGCGCAGAACAGTCTCTCTGGGAACCCGTGCCATCAAAGTCGCCGGGGCTCTCTGCCTTGCAAGGCGGCAATCAGAAGCAGAACCAGAAGGACTTGCCCAAAGGGGATGGAAAAACAGATGGAAAAGCAAGCCACTGGTTTTACCC